CCAGAAAGTATTGTGTGATGTCTGGTGTATTTATACCATACTGCACAACGTTGTTGTCAATCTACTGCTGCAGGCTTCCACATTCTAGTGTCAGTCACTGCGTATGTTTCACCAGTGTAAGTTGCTGCAGTATAGACCTTACTCGTCCACCGATTTTAACCATGCCCGATAACGTACGGATAATTATTGGTGTGCTAACCACTGACATTTGTTCACCCACATATATAATACGGTACTCCTTTATAGGAATTTCCAAATCCATTACATTAATACAACTGTATCTAGAGCTAAATTGTAACACCTATCATTTTTGAACTCACAATATGTAAACATAGTTACACACAACATTGTTATTATACATCCAACCAATAACCGATCATTTATGTAGAAAATGTTCAATTTACGTCAGCAAAATGTCTGCCCCATAATACAATTATAGCAGCCTACAATTTGTACATTAATGGGAACCTGCTCATTAAGATGCACCCCGCTGTGCTAGCTGGCATGGTGCCCACTTATGGTCCACAGAAATTAGTGTGCCATTTCATACAATACACTACTTGCCTCAGCGGTTAGCGTGGCATTTCTTGAATGGTACACATGTACAAACATGATGTCCTTCACATGTACCCTCCTTCACGTTGAAATAGGGATGAAACATAATTAACTTGATGCGTTGAAGTATTGCATTTCCTCTAGTTTTGTTTTAACTATAATTTCTACAAACATTTTGAACGGGGCCACTCGAACCCAACTCTGCTTTGTGTGCAACGGTGCAGATGGTGTGTGCCCTCTTTTTTTCCAGTGCCATAATTGCACAGCTGGAATCGCCGTTCGCCCGAAGTTTACGGCAAGGACGTGAGCTCACGACATAATGAGTTGTGCCTGCGGTCCATGTACACTTGCCGCCGATTCTCTGCCCGTCCTCTCACGCACGCCTCCCTGAGCCTTTCATCTGTGTATTCCCTTTCAAGTGTGTGTGGGGTTTTTTTTCTGGATCCCGTGAGCTCTGCGGAGGTTGGGGGGGGGGAGGGGGATATTGTGGCAGCAGGGCAGTTTGGTGCATGCACGGATTGGTGAATGTGAAGTAACCCGCTCAAGTGTGCGTGCCTTCACGTTTTGTCAATACAAGATTTCCGATAGCATTGGAAATGCTCGCGCTTGGAAATACCTTTCCAACCAAACGTGCGCGCAATGCTTTTTTTTCCATTTACCCTGACTAAAAACGGATAACTATATGCACACCCACATACTCTATAGTCCATACATACACTTTCATCCAGCAAATGGATTGACCGAGGTTGTTGATGGTAGTATAGTATATGGGGAAGGTGCCGTGACACGGTGATTAGTACACCCATGGCGCTTTGGCCCTGGAGACCCGAGTTCGATTACTGGCCATGGCGAACATAAGTGACGAGTGATATCTAAGTGCGTTCTGCAGCGCCCTCTTTTCCAACAGCGCACGTTGATTAGTTTGGTGAAATATGGTCAAACAAACCCCCGTGACTAACACAGCATGTTCTTGGTTCTTTCGGTAAAGCCACCACGTAGAAGGGAAACAAATAATAAAAATATAAAACAATAAAATTCTCACGACGTTTCGACTGCAACACAAGCAATCATCATCAGGTGTGAAAACCACAGCAAGAAAATTTGAAAAAAAGTGGCGGGTTTTTTTTAACGTTAGCACCATGGAGAGCGATTCGACAGTTATTCTGATGGACGAGTCCATCTGTTCGGAAAAGAGGAGGGGGGAGACAGCAAATTTTCATCATCAGGTGTGAAAACCGTTTCAAAATTTCTTGCTGTGGTTTTCACACCTGATGATGATTGCTTGTGTTACAGTCGAAACGTCGTGAGAATGTTATTGTTTTATTTTTTTATTATTTAATTGTTTCCCTTCTACGTGACTTTACCAAAAGAACCAAGAATATGAATCCCTGCAGTCACGAAAGCTTTAAATCAAAATTTAACACAGCATGGGCAAGCCTTCGTGCAGCAATAGATTGATCTTAATTCTAATTATTTTATGCAAGTGTAGCTGTCAGTCATGAATGTTTTTTTTCTTTTCAGAGATCAGAGCAGCTGTTGTAGAGATTAATGCGTCACTACCATTTGCTTTTAATGAGCAGCGTGTCATTTTGTGTTTTCTGAGCTACACAAAAAGATTAACAATCATGTCCCAGAAATTGTCTTGCATATCTTATGACAAGTTGAAATGCGATATACACGTGGTGATTTGAATTACATAATAACTACAGTTCGTTAATTACGCATTAATTTAAATGCGATAGTTATGGATGTGTATTATACTAAATTGCCAACTTAGTCCCAGGTTCAGTGAGGCAAAATTGTAAAACCAAATCTGCTCGGCAGCAGTTGCCTAGTTTTACTTTCCACTATTCATAAGCGAAGGTTCCGTTGATTAACAGTTTCCGCAAACTTGCCCGAACTTAAATTCCTCTTATTTGGTGTTGGATTCTGTTTCGCATGCAAAAAAGTTTGTTTTGTGGTCTAAAGGTGCCTGGTAGAGATGAATGGCTTAAAAAAAAATGTAATTCCACACAGTAGTGCACTGTATACGAAAGGAGCAGTAACATATTCTTAGACCATTGCTTCTGCTCTCTTGGTACAAATAAAGAGTTGTTCATGTGGTCGCTGTGATGTACATATTATATTTCACATTGAGCGTGCTTATAACCTTTTGATGTTATTACAAAAAAATTGAAATTTAGTTTTGGGTTGCATCCCGTGTACGCAATAATAACAATAATTCACAACCGCTTGCTACTCCACTGCTGGGTTGATGGTGTCCCCAACACGCCGTGTCGGTCATTGGGATTGGTTGACCACACTTCACCATGCTGGTCAGAATCAGACTCGGGTTGCTCAGGTTCATGGCGTTCAGCACTGTGCCACTGCTCCCGTACATTTTGTGGGTGCCTATATATGATCCTCACCTTCACAGTTGTACTGTCCTTGTATTAGCACTGGCTATGTAAGATGAAAGCATGTTAACCCCCCGCCGCCCCGCCTTGCTAGATACTGGATTGTATTTTGCACCCATTTGTCGACGCTGTTCCTTTGTGACCCTGCCAGCATGGTGCCTGATGGTGATGAGCCTGCAGGATTATTGAGTTTGCCACTGTTGACCCTCGGTTGACCCTCAGTGGCTTGGGGAGGATTGACTTCCCACCAAGCCTCTTGGTCTATCGAATACTAGACTACTGTAGATAGTAATTCATAGCAATATATTTGCAGATATTATGTACGCTCTCCTGCATACACGTGGCATACCGTATCAGGAGTATAAGGTTTTTTACAGTGTAATAACAAATACATCATTAACCTTTTTCCAAAGCACTAACTAGGCCATGGAAGCATAAAGGAATGTGACACGCTTGGCTGTGATGTACAATTCATTTTAAGGATGAGGCAGAGCTGCTCATTGCAGAGCATAGCCCACATCTATCATTTCTAATAGTAGTTATTTCTACGTCTGGTTAAGGGTAAATTACTTTACAGTCTATTTTTTTAAAATATGATCATTATCGTTATGTGCCCCGTATATCTTTTGCTTAGCCCACGCAAAATAATTGTTCTCTGCCTCTCCAATTCCCTATGCCCAAATTATCCAGAATGCACCCAATTCCATCAGACCTCGGAAGCTGAGCAGGCTTGACAATGCCTGGTAGGGCGACACCGTGCATAACAGATGTTATAGGCTGCTGCGGGGCAGCAGAGGGCAGTGGGGAATACTCCATTGTACTGCTCTTCCATGCTTCTACGTTTATGCTCCTCACCTTCAACCCACACTTACCACCAGCTTGACAAAGCAGGGTCAATGAATCCCCATGTGTATGTATGTTGAACTTCTTTCGCACCGTACGTAGCCAACCGTGCTAATCGGAGTTGCTGGGGAAGGACAACAAACTAAATACAAAAAGCAGTTCTAAAGAAATTAGTTTTCAATTTAGATTAAAATTGCATAGCTCCAGAGACTTCCTAATATCGGAACGAAGAGCATTCCAGATGGCTGCAGAAGCGCATCTGAAAGCGCACGATACAGTGACAGTCTTTGTTCGATGGCTAGACCAAATGCCGCTGTTGCGAGGATAACCGGAGTTTGCATGATGGTTTATGCTCCTTGACGAGATTAGCAAGGTATTGTGGTTCATTTGTGGCAAGCACTTTCTATGTAATAATGAGTGCGACATCATAATGTATTCGTTCGGCAACGGGGAGCCAATGTAGCTCGGTGAGCACTGGACGGACGCAGTCGCACAGTGCGGGGAAGCCCCTGGTACAGCAGTGGATTGACAAACTTCTGCACTTGTTCACGTGTTAAAAACGCATTTGGTCAAGCACACCAGCGTTCGCAATCTTACATGTAGCGTGCTGTAGAAGGTAAGGTGCTTTCCTTGTCATTACCAGGCCATCAAGTTCTGTTAACCTTCCAGGTCGCTTCAACCGTGCGCCACCCCCCACCCCCGCCTCAGTCTTGCTCTGGACCTGATCCATGTGCTTCAGTCTTGCTCTGGACCTGATCCATGTGCTTCCTGGCTGTGCATGTGAATCCCTGTGTGGCGGCTCCCCGGTGGAGCCTGCAGCGATCAACGCAGCCGAATTGCAAAAGCAGCCGTTGCATAAAAGGGGATGAAATGGAGGGGTTGGAGGGGTTTGGGGGGGGGGGTCACTCGCACCCGGCCTCGTTGAAATGCTGGCCCTGTTCCCAGTCCTTTACAGTGTGCACCAGTGTTGCTGGAACATAGTGTTCTTTAATAGTGAGAATTTACCTTGAAGGGTGGAGAGCATGTACTCTAGAGTTGTGTGTGCTAAAAAGCCTGGCTAATTGCGGAACTGTTGTTGAACGGACGACGAAGGAACATGATTCATGCATTTCGGTGTAATATGTGATTTAATGTATTGATTTGTGTATTTCATTGCAAGATTATGCGATTGGACACGATTGAAATGTGTGTTATCCTCCCTCCTAGGTGAGGTGGATGATGTACTGGATTGTATTTGCACTCTTTACAACGTTCGAGACCTTCACGGATCTGCTGTTGTCATGGTAAGTCCGGTTTACATTTATTACCCAGGGAAAACTGGCACGGAATTCAATAAAGCATTATTAGCAAAATTTAACAGACTGGGTTTGTTTCCCTGAGTGCTCATATCAGGCACAGCCAAGGCAGTCATCTCAATTATTAATACAGTTCCATGCAGTCGCTGAATTAAAATCCATTGGCCACACCTGATTTGTTAAGAGCTTGAGTGGTCTTGTTTTGTGAAGCAAAGTAGTCTCTCATGTGGCGTAAGTTGGGGAGGAAATGCAAATTTACGTGCACAAATTAAACCGTAAATTTAAATATTTAATTGGCATTTGAGTTACACTAATTAAAACTGCTCCGATTTCCAGAACACGTTGAGGTGAACTAATACATTGGTCAATTTCCCATATGTAATGCTCTTGCATTTTACATAACATACAGGATTTTGCCATAGTGTAATGGTTAGCACATCGGACGTGCAATGCAGAGTTCAGCCGGTTAATCTCCCGATACGGCTGTGAAAACAATGGGCACGTTTCTTATTTCGCCCCACTTCTGTTCACCGAGCAGTATAAATGGGTACACAACACAGTTCATCGGCAGGTTGCATGTGGTGGGGGCAAAGTGTGGGTAATCTAACCTCTATCGAAATGTATAGTCAGCGTGAGAGAGCAGGCCAGATCTCCTCTCTAAAGGGTGCTCTCTAGAGCTCCCTCTAGAGCTCCCTTTCGTGGAAAGCCCTTCCACTAATAGTTGCGTGAGTGAGCAAATGCAGGGCTGCACATTTGTCTTTTATGTTTTTTTGTGATTTTGCTCCTTTGTCCTCTGCAGGATCCCTTTTTACTACGAACTGAAGATAGCCCTTGTGGTGTGGCTCCTCTCTCCGTACACCAAAGGCTCCAGCGTTCTCTACAGGAAATTTGTGCACCCTATGCTTTCATCTCGAGAACAGGTCAGTAGGTTCTAGCAAATACAATGAAAATTATATTAAATTGTGTTTTGGACTCCTTAAGTATGCGTTTCATCTTCTTTACACAATTTCCTTTCGTGTTGGAGGTCTCATTCTTCCTTTGATTCAATGCACAATTACCTCTGTATCTGTTTCAAACAATGTAATGAATTTGGAACGTTCATCGTCACGTAATGTGGACGCCAAACAAAGATTTTACAATTGTGTACAATTCCTATTCAGAACTTGGGGGGGGGAGCAGTGGGGAAACCATCCACAGTCAGTTATTTTTTTTAAGCTAGAAGATTAAGAAGGAATGGCGGTCAAGGTTTTCACCCACAGTTATTGGGTTCACAAGCATCTGGGTGCAATTGAGTGCTTTGTGTATTATTCACTCTGTCAGATGAATCAAAGCGTGGTGTCTTTGTCACTTTCCAATGCGCACTGAATTGCCAAGGGGGGGAAAATAATATACTGGGAACAGCACATGACGCATGCAGTAACAAGTAAAAAAAGGGAATTGATTTAAGATTTCTCATCCCAACAATGAAAACAGAGCAAATAAATATCACGTGCATATTACTTGAAAAAACACATGTCCCCCCCCCTCATAACAAATATTTTGGTCTTGGCAGCTGATGCCTTGGCAGTAAAATATTCGTTAATGGGGGCGACAAGGAGGTGAGCCTGTAAAAGGCCTCTTTGTGTAGTGTTGATTCTGTGTTTATTTCCAAATGAACAGGCACGAACTTCAGCAACCACCAGCAAGTGCAGCATTGAATAAATTATGAGGGAGCTGAGAACTTAGTTTGATGCTGCTGCTCTATCTGTGCAGCACAACTAGCCGACACATCGGTGGAGTGCGCGTAGCTTGCAATCATGAAGGTTGTGGGGGAAGTCAATAGTGGTTGTGCTTTGGAAATACTCTTCCCCCGCCATAGAAATGTGGACCTTCCACTACTGCCTCAGGGCTGTAAACAGAAGATGAGTACTGCCGAATTGAGTGGAAAACCACACATTTTTTTTCTGTATGTACATTAATTGCCGTGTTTTAATGGTTGTCCATTCATAGTCCATAGGTGGCCAGACTAACGTACAGTGTTACTTTATATATATTTTTAGATTGTCTAAATGTGGTCGAAGCATGTTCATGCATCTACATGCTTCCGGTTTAACCCATACATGGTTTATTTTACAAATTGAGACGCGGCTGTTTGGAAGGCAGTAGTATGAATCTGGTGTGATGTGAACACGAGTGAAAATCCAGATCTTATTACATGTACCCAGAAATGGCTTTTGTGGGCACTGGTCCATACATTTAATTTAAATTATGTGAGCACGGTGTGTCTCACCGAATGAAATCTAACACCGTGATGGAAGCTTTCTGTATTGCTGCTAAGGATGTGTGTGTCCATGAGTACATTGTAATGCTGTTGTAGGACAATTGCATTTTAACAGGGATAGGTAATATGGCACTGTCTTTTTTGGCTATTGGGCTTAGTTCGAAATTTTAATAGAGCTCAACACTTCCATTAAAATAACACTGTGGTAGATGAAGATGCTGTAAAAAAATGTTAAAATTTTGTTAATGAAATCTTAGATTTGACAATGCAGAGCCTGAACTTGTTATCTACGTTTTGTAGTTGCATTATGCCTTGCTGTAACACTTTAATTACTATTGGTAGCATTTGGTGTGTGACCTTCAGTATATTGAAGCATTTAGTACTCGCCCATTATATGGATTCTTGGCACTGAAGATTAAGTGCGTCATGTGGCATGAAGACCATTCTAGTGGGCACTGTGTAAAACACATTTCCACCAAATGATTGTGTTAAAAATCTTTAAACAGTATCAGCAAATTTGTTTTATCTTGTCAGCTGGTATCTAATGTACGAGTCTTACAAAGAGTAACTTGCCTTAATAATGGCAATTTTTAGTTTTATTTTTCACTCTGTTACCATTCCCCTCACAACCGTGTTGAAATAATGCATTGATAATTTGCAAATTGCATCTCATCTTTGGGGTAAGGGTGCTTCATCATTACTGGCTGTAGTTTTAGGTATTTATAATATCTGATTAAATTCCCCAATGCCATGAATGAACTCAAGAGGTTTATAACCCTTTATGCTGGATACCCCGAGACTGATTTATATGCAAATTTTATTACAGCCACTTCTCGAATGAGGAGTACTGTGGGCATATCGTATGTAGATCAGCCATGCAAACTTTTCAACGCTCTACAGGAACAGCTCATGAATTTTGCATACGTACCCCCTGGGAAAGCATATGTACATGTGAAATAAATCAATACAGTGGTGACATCCTACCCACCCCTTCCCCCCACGCAGTATATACTGATGTTGAGAATTTAATATAATCATTACCTGTGGGAAAAAATGTTTTTAGTGTTTAGTTTGTTGTCCTTCCTCCGTACCTCCGATTATCATGGTTGGCTACGCACGGTGCGAAAAAACTTTAACATACATATAAATTGCTTTTACATACATATAGTGTTGCAGTGTTGAGCATACCCTGCTACGAATCTGGCCACCCGAGTTCGATTCCCGCCCACAGCGATCGTAAGCGGCGAGCCCTATCTGAATATGTTCAAACAGTCCCCATGACTGAATTGTTTGGGGGATGCCTTCATCCAGCAGTCGATTCACAAAGGGCTGCAAATAATCATGGAAACAAATTTATGGAAAACAAATCAATTTGAGCGGGTTTGCGTGCTTGTGCTGTATAGGTCACGTGGAGCGAAACGTCGGGCATCAATGGCAAACAACACACCTTATAACCCGAAAGCACCAAGAGACCTGATAGGGAATCTGTTTCGAGAATCTGTTTCCAGGGGGGGTTGTCTGATTCTGTCGTATCTGATGCATTCCCTCTTTTCACCTCTTGTACAGTAGCCGCACGGCACTCGATGGTAAGCTACGTATCGCTGCGAGATTGAGTCGGCATGCTTCCCCCCTCGTCTCATTCGTCCGCCTGCTTTATGCCCCGCAGGAGATTGACGAGTACATCGTGCAGGCGAAGGAGAAGAGTTACGAGACCATGGTGCGTTTTGGCAGACGTGGGCTCAACCTGGCGGCGAATGCAGCCGTGACGGCAGCCGCCAAGGTAATGTAACGCTCCCCCAGAGGTCAAGCAAGCAGCTTGCGTTACAGAGCACAATTTACGAGTCCATCATCATTACCGTGTTATGATTGCCAGTGTGTGAGTGCAGATGCATTCCGTCTGCATAATTGGCCCATGTTTTTGTTTTTCCTCTGTGAACAAATTTCCAGGTATTTGCCGATTGACGACCAAAAAAGATTTTGATAAAAGACTACGGTACTCGAGTGCTTATAAGATTTCTAGCTGTGTTGTAGTATTTAGAAGCACGTCTCATGGAGCCCATAGATTGAAATGCATCGGTGTGTAATTCTTTGAATAATGTATATGGTTTCATATGGCACTATACGGGAAAGGTTTGTGTGTTAAAATTAATGGCATGGTCGTTTGTTGTTTAATAGTCCAGAGAGGAACGGTGGTCATAGTTACCATTCATATTGTAATGTTTAAAATAAAATGACATCATCAGTGGCCCGTGCACATTTGCATGCAGTCCACATCTGTGGCAAGTGACACAAGTCCTCCTCTGACCATGCTGTATCAGCGCCCCCTCGTGGCACTTTAAAGTAGAGACTGTTGAACGCTGAGCTACAGCACAGGAATCCCTCACCAAAAGATTTGCCAACCGCGGATTCATGCATACAGTGGTCCCTCGTTTATCGCGGGGGATACGTTCTAAAAATAACCCGCAATAGACGAAATCCGCGAAGTAATCAGCTTTCTTTTTTTACAATTATTATACATGTTTTAAGGCCGTAAAACCCCTAACCACACACTTTTATACACTTTTCTCAGACAGGCATTAACATTTTCTCACATTTCTCTCTTATTTAAACACTCTCAAAGTTCAAACTTTCGCAGATTTAAAAAAATAAGTACAATATTAGTAAATGAAACCAAAGATCAAAACCTGTTTTCAAGCCCAAACATTTTTATAAATCTGGCTAGCCGAACGCATTCTGTACTCCCTTAGCTAATCAGGACGCAGAACACATGTGCGGTTCTCCCTTAGCCAATCAGGACGCCGAACACAATGCGCGTTCATACTGTACGCAGGAAAAAAAAGCATGCAAAATTACACAAAGAAAAATCCGCGAAACAGCGAGGCCGCGAAAGGTGAACCGCGTTATAGTGAGGGACAACTGTACACGGTTTATTATTTGTATACCAATTTACCAACCGCGGCCTGGAAATTTGAGTATCCATGGGTAAGCACAGTGGTAAGGAAGTCGCATGACGTAGAGGTAATACATCATTGCATTACAGCATTGTGACGATATTTTCTCGGGGCCGTGGTTCTCCGTGCTACAGCGCCACCATCCCTTCCCCCGTCATCTCATTATCATCATCATCGTTAGTATTAAAAGTGTGTAAAGTTAATGTAATGTTTATTTATGTTTTATTATGTTGTTTAATGTACTGTATTTTATTTGGCGTTTAGTTAATAAACAGGCAACTTATTTAAGCTATGACGAGTCTGACCACGGCCGTGGTTACTCTAAACCGTTATTTCCCATAGGCCCCTGGTACTCTACCAACCGCGGCATTTTCCAGGAACCTAACCCCCGCGGTCGGCAAGGGATTTCTGTATATTGTTGTTGCCTTTGATCAAGTCACCCAGGGTTGCGCCGAGATATTGCTTAGATAGGTGATCGCCACGCATAAAATGTGTTGTAGGCTGCTATAATGCTGTGTTGTCAGCAGAGAGCAGTAGAGGAAAATCCAAAATTGTAATGTCCTATGCTCCCCTCCTTCACTAATCCGCACTGACCAGCAGGGTGTCGTATGTTCAACTTACCCCAACAGCCTGCAAGGCATGCAGAGGCCCTCATCCAGCAGTGGATTGACACAAGGGCTGTACATGTACTTATTTTTTAAGCATTTTGGCAGAAACACGACCTTTATATATTTACGATACACAACGGTAATTTGTTTAAATTAAAGCCAAATATATCAATATCCTTTAAGACCAAGCAAGAGCCACGTTGTGACTAAAAGGTATCATTCTTTAGGAAGATTTCGATTGGCAAGGCAATACAAAATGGTACGTATTGATCAGGTAAGGTTTAAAAGTAACATCAATCTTGGTCAGAATAGCAACCATCGTGCTTCCGATCACACCATCATGTCTGTTTTTGGAGCAACGGCAGCAATTTTGATGACACAGCACACCTTAACTCGTGCACTGCAGGGCCAGGGAGCCTTAAGCCAGAGGCTGAGGAGCTTCAGTATGCAGGACCTGTCCTCCATTCCGGATGAGGAGCCCATGCACGGTGACATGGGTGAACACTTGCGTTCAACGCGTGACACCAAGTTCCGCAACACTTCGCGCTCTTTTGACCTTTCGGACTCCCATGGTAAGTCTCACCTAACATTACAGTATTAGCAGAAAGTGTTTTGCCAACTGTTATGTAAAATTGTAGCTTTTATAAGAATATCACTGTGACTGATAATAGGGTTTTCTCCTTTCTGGCAATAAAACAGACAGATTTCTTTAGAGCCTGGTCTCAATTGGTGCTAGACCAGATGACGCCAAAAGGCGGTTTCAAGGACAATGCATATATTATCAGAGTGCGTTTTTTGTTCGCATTTTGACTGCAAGTATTGTGGTTAATGCAGACGTGAATCCTTGTAAAAAAGGTTTCAGTTTTGTTGCCAGAAAAAAGGGGAAAAACCCTATTATTATATTTTGGTACTGGCAAAGGAGGTCCAATGATGTAGTGTTAGACCTGTGACTAATAAGACTACTAGATTGAATGTGTCCTGTTACCATCATTATCATCAGCCATGATCAATCCACTGCTGGATTGAGACCTTCCCAGGTTGTTGCCATCTCTCGCGTTTCTGCGGTTCAAAAATCCACCGAATATCTGCACACGAGCTGTTTTTATCGCTCCGTTCTAATCATTGACAAGTTATCACTGCCTATTTTATCTTCCAGTTTCCCGTTGCAATAACAGCATCGCATTCTGAATTTGATACTTGTACCAATTTTCCACAGTCCGTAAAGCTCCCCAGAGTTTTTAAGACTGCATTCTGTAATTAAGAGCGTGCCAATATTCCCCTTTAAGCTACTCAGGGTTGGAAATCCTGAATAAGTGGTGTCTTGTGGATTAATGTCAGTGTAAGCCAAGGAAAAGACACTCCCAAAAAATCTGCAGTACAGTACATTAGTGGGAGCAAATTCACATAACTTCCTTTTCATTCTTCATACAATGGTATACTTTTTTGTTTCTCTCCCTGGTTTTGTTTGAAGAGCGATTGCAGGATGATCCAACCATGCGAGGTCATGTGTCAGATGGAGAGAGATCTGATGGATTTGATGATGACGATGAGGTCGAGGAAGGGTCACCAAAGCCAGCCGTGAGACGAGCTCAGAGCCTCCGTGCGCGTAAAGCTATCAGGCCACAGCCACGTTCAGATGTATGTAAACTGCTGGCTATGCATTATATTGCTTTTAAACACTTTAATGTCTATTATTATCGTTGTAATTTTTATGGATGTTAATGGCACAAATCATTTACAAACAATATCTCCTTTTATATTCTTGGTTCTTTCGGTAAAGTCACGTAGAAGGGAAACAATAAAATAATAAAAATATAAAACAATAAAATTATCACGACGTTTCGACTGCAACACAAGCAATCATCATCAGGTGTGAAAACCACAGCAAGAAAATTTGAAAAAAGTGGCGTTTTTTTTTTAACGTTAGCACCACGGAGAGCGATTTGGCAGTTATTCTGATGGACGAGTCCATCTATGTTCGGAAAAGAGGAGGGGGGAGACGAAAATAATGGCTGCGGTCTGAAAGCCACCGTAAGCGTGAACAATAAATTAAGACCCGAAATGGTTTATCAAATTCTTCCATTTCGGGTCTTGTTAACGCTTACGGTGGCTTTCAGACCGCATCCATTATTTTCGTCTCCCCCCTCCTCTTTTCCGAACATAGATGGACTCGTCCATCTGAATAACTGCCAAATCGCTCTCCGTGGTGCTCACGCCACTTTTTTCAAATTTTCTTGCTGTGGTTTTCACACCTGATGATGATTGCTTGTGTTGCAGTCGAAACGTCCTGAGAATTTTATTGTTTTATATTTGTATTATTTTATTGTTTCCCTTCTACGTGACTTTATCGAAAGAACCAAGAATATGAATCCCTGCAGTCACGAAAGCTTTAAATTAAAATATCTCCTTTTGTTGCAGGCTGTCAGGAAAAGCCCCAAGCTAAGAATAAAGAAGAGTCTTCCAAGTAATTATTACGGCACTATGTAGGGGGGGGGGGCGTGTTTGTGTCTTACTTCGGAGCTTGAGATGGTTCCACCAAGAAGATTTATATTGAAATATTAAAACATTTCTACAATGGAGTCTTCATGCACCATGCACCAATACCTGCTGCCCAAAACTCCAGTATTTTCTTCTGTAATAACATGCTCATCTGAAGAACTATGCCATTTTTACATATTTAGTTGGACATGAACACATTTTTTTCTGCAACAAAAATAAAAATCTGTCCATAAATATATTTAAATGGTTACTTAATTATCAGTACAGTTGATGTTTTAAATAAGCAATTATCAACTGTAACCCATTTCAAAAGCAAATGTTGTTTCCAACGCAACCAATGCAACAGCTTAGTCTACCTTTCACACACTAATTATTTTTTGTTTTCACCTCCTTAAGTGGCTTTAACATACATAGTTTTCTGATGTACATATGCTCTCGTCAAATTGCATGTATTCATGATATTAAACTGCCTTAAAACAATGCAGATAAATAACACTATGTAACATTTTTGTTCCTGGGTAGTAAGTGTTATTTCGTAATTGCTTATAATCCGAGTGCATGACGACCTTCTAATAGCTGCCGCCTTGGTGCTGAGTTGTGACTAGAAGCTTCTAGCTGCATAGGCCTACCCCGCTCGCCATGTGCCAATCGTCCAAGGGCTTTGGGTGTGTAGTGTGGTGGTGCGATAGCACTGTTTCTCTGGAGGGTGCCAGTGCGCGAATTCATTTGCGTGCAGTGTCTGTTGCACACCAGCTACCGCACGGGGCTTAACCAGGAACCAAGCCTGGGTCCAATGGCAAGGCAGAAAACTAAGACGATTGGAAGGCTTGTCCAGAAGCATCAGACATCCAGTGGCTCCTCCGCCATATGCCGTTGGCCATCTGGACCGTAGCTCAACCGCCCACCGAGGTGGGCCGTTAGCCACTTGGTATCCACCCGGAATTTTATCAGGGTTTACTCCCTTAGCCTGAATGGCTAACCAGAGCCCCGTTAGCCAGACAGGCCTTCTTGGTTACCGAAGCGGCCCAGATGGTCGAACCACCCACCATATTTTGCCCTGTCTGGCAATCCTGTACTTTACCTGTTACCTCCTCCCATGACTAGGACGAGGAGTTGGTTTTTGGGAGGTGCATCGTGGCAGCTGTAGCTGTGACTGAGCAGCCCACGAGGATCCACTCTGCTCGCCCCAAATGGGGAGGGGGCTAGAAAAGGTGCCCTAAACAGAGCCTGCAACAGCCTGTCTGACTTACCGCGACCAGAGAGAGCTTCAATAATTGCGGTCGAAACAAAAAGAAATATAACCTAAACATTGGATCCTGGAATGTCAGGACCCTCAGACAACCCAAACTCGCAACGTCCAGAGCGCCGAACAGCTCTTGTGGCACACGAGCTGAGACGATTTAATATCCATATTGCCGCCCTCAGCGAAACCCGTCTGGCAGATGAAGGCAAACAGACTGAGGCTAAGTGGAGGCTACACCTTTTGGAAGGGTAAACCAGCGCATGAACGACGCCTGCATGGTGTAGGGTTTGCAATAGACAACATCCTCATCGAGAGCTTCAGTGAGCTCCCAATTGGTATCAATGAGCGTTCTATGACCCTACGCCTGAAACTCGCAAAAGACCAACATGCAACCATCATCAGCACCTATGCACCAACACTGGACTGAAGAAGACACCAAGGAGACCTAATACAGCCAACTCAACCAAATCCTTCAGAGTATGCCAAAAACTGACGAGCTGATTCTCCTCGGCGACTTCAATGCTAGAGTTGGGAGAGACTATCAAATGTGTAACGGTGTCATTGGTAAAGAGGGAGTTGGAAAGTCCAACTCCAATGGTCACGTTCTTCTTAAAACCTGTTCTGAGCACGACCTGACAATCACCAACACCCTATTCGGGCAGAAGAATAAGCCTTAAGACCTCCTGGTGCGACCCTCGATCACACCAATTGCATTTACTGGACTACGTGATTGTCAGGAAGCTTGACAGCACAGACGTCCGCATCACTCATGCCATGATCAATGCAGACGATTGCTGGACTGCCCACAGACTAATTCGATCAGTGTTGACTCAAACTAAACCACAAACACATCAACCGACCAAAACTACAGAGGAAAAGACTCAATGTAACCAGACTAAAATACCCAGCAGTACAGGCCCGACTGAAAGAATAACTAACTGAAAGACTCGGCATCAACCAGGCTTCAGGAAATGTTCATGAGTACTGGACACAACTGAAGACGGCAGTTATAACCAGCTGTGAAAACACAATTGGCTACATAAGAAGGAAAAACTGACTGGTTTGATGACAACGACCAGGAAATCACAGGCCTCATTGACAAGGAGGCCAAATTTGAAGTACAAACTAAAAAACGGGAACTGAAGAACAACTGGTTCAGAAACTAAGCAGAAGAAATACAACATCTTGCAGATTCCAATATCCCACATGAATTTTTTAAAGCAACCAAAGACTTATATAGACCATAAAAAACGGGCCTTGCACCACTTCAGTCTAAGGATGGGACAGAAATCTTCAAAGACAAAAATGCAATCATCCTTCACTGGCAGGAACACTTCAGCACTCTTTTCAACTGCAACGCTGTTGTAGACGCTTCTATATTCAGTGAGACTCCGCAACACTCTACCACTGAGGATTTAGCTGGAGAACCAACGATGCTTGAAGTGGCTAAAGCTGTCAAGCAGATGAAAGAGAACGAAGCTAGTGGGCTCGACCAGATTCCTGCTGAGATTTACAAACGTGGAGGACAACGCCTACTAGAACACCTGCACTCCATCATGGCCAGGATCTGGAATGATGAAGACCTTCTCAACGAACTGAAAGATGCTATAATTGTCACCGTCTTCAGAAAAAAGGTGACAAGTCAGACTGACAACTACAGAGGAATCTCTCTTCTTGCCACCGCTGGAAAAAATACTGGCAACAATCCTACTAAACAGACTTCTACCACTTGCTGAAAAACTCTTTCCTGAATCACAGAGTGGCTTTTGACCTGGCAGGAGAACCTCAGACATGATCTTCTCAGCCTGTCAACTCAAGAGAAGTGCCAGGAGCAGAGACTGCCATTGTACATGGCCTTCTTTGATTTGACTAAAGCTTTCGATTCTTTTAATCGTGAAGCACTATGGAGAATCCTTCTGAGATATGGCTGCCCAACAAAATTTGTTAACGTCCTCCGTCTGTTGCATGACGGTATGAAGGCTGTCATCCTCTCTGATGGTGAAACCTCAGAGCCAATTGAAGTAAGGACAGGTGTGAAGCAAGGCTGCGTTATTGCACCAACTCTTTTCTCCATCTTCCTGGTGGGAATGCTTCATCTGACAGAGAACAGACTTCCCAGAGGCATAAAAATCACATAGGACAGACGGGAACATATTCAACATGAACCGTTTCAGAGCCAAGTTCGAAAACATCAATCACATTCGTAATTGAATTCCAATATGCCGATGATGCCCAAGTCAGTGCCTGCTCAGAAGCTGACCGTCAGGTCATCGTCAACATATTTACAGATGCTTATGGCAGGATGGGTCTAACATTGAATACCAGCAAAACAAAGATCCTTTTCAACAAGCTCTGGGAGGACACTTACCACCCCCTAAAATCATATCCAACAATTCAATAGAAAACGTTCCCAGTTTCCCATACTTAGGCAGCAATCTCTCTAGCAATGTTTTAATTGATTATGAAATCCAACATCGGATTGCCTGAGCTAGTGCTGCCTTTGGCAAACTTAAGCACAAGAGTATTTGAAGACCACGACATTACCACCAAGACCAACGTGGCTGTGTATAATGCTGTGATCATTCCAACCCTCTTATATGGTGCAGAAACCTGGACCACTTATTGTAAACACATACAATCTCTCAATGTTTCATCAACGCTGTCTCAGGAAAATCCTGAACATCACCTGGGAAGAAAGACAAACTAATATCAGTGTCCTGGAGCGATCCAACTCATCCAGCATAGAGGCCACCATGATGAAGTATCAACTCAGATGGGCAGGTCACCTTGTGAGGATGAATGACTCGAGGCTTCCTAAGCAAATCTTCTATTCCCAGCTCAGCGATGGATCACGTGCTCCGGGAGGTCAAAGGAAGTGTTTCCGTGACAACCTTAAAATGCACCTCAAGCGAAGCCACATAGATCCAAACTCCTGGGAAATCTATGCTCTTGATAGACCATCATGGAGAGCCAAAATAAACAATGTAACTCAGCATTTTGAGGCCGAGCAAAGAGAGTTGATATCCAGGAAATGAGCACGCCGTAAAGTACATACGCCAGAGACAGACAACAAGTGGGAGCTCCAGGATGGACCATCCGTGCCCCCACTATGCCAAGATCTGCAGGTCACGGATTGGCCTATTCAGCCATCTCCGGACCCATGGCCAGCCAAGTCCACCTCACAACACAGACAAGTGACACCTGGAGGGAAATCATACTCGACTACGACGGATTCGGGAAAAATTGCTTATGCCTAAAAAGTATAGAAAATGGCTATTATTTTCCACAAACTTTGCTTTTGTGACCAGAACAGTGGTATTTTGAAATTTACCTATTTCCAATGAGAAAACGGGCGAAATTGTGTCTTTTCGTTCACATGAAGTCAGAAAAAACAACACGAATCAAAATTAGCATGTATTTATACTAAAGTAATACAAAAATTACAAAATATTTAGAATTTTTTTTTTTTAGATTTACGATTATACTGTGAATCACTTTCACGAATCAGCCCCCGAATGTAGTCTCCCATCATGTTCTCGTTATACTGTCCTTGGTAGCGGCGTTCAAAGTCCAGTATATCCTGGTGGAAGCACTTGCCTTGCTCTTCCGAGTACGCTCCCATGTTCTTGAATTGATCAAGATGAGCATCAAGGATATGGACTTTGAGGGACATCCTACAGCCCATTGTGCCGTAGTTCTTCAGTCTCAACCAGCTCCACATAGTTTTCGACCTTGTGATTGCCCAGGAAGCCACGAACCACTGCAACAAAGCTGTTCCAAGCCACTTTCTCCTTACTAGTGAGCTTCTTGGGGAATTCATTGCACTCCAGGATCTTATTTATCTGTGGTCTGACGAAGACACCGGCTTTGACCTTTGCCACAGACAGTTTTGGGAAGAAGTCTTGAAGTTACTTGAAGGCTGCCGACTCATTATCTACAGCTCTGACAAATTGTTTCATAAGGTCTAATTTGATGTGCAGTGGTGACATCAGCACCTTCTGGGGGTCCACCAGTGGCTCCCACTTGACGTTGTTCCTCCCCACAGAGAACTCGGTCCACTGTGGCCAGGCCCGCCTGTGGTAGTGCGCCTTGGTGTCCCTGCTGTCCCAAAGGCAAAGATAGCAGGGAAACTTGGTAAAACCGCCTTGGAGACCCATCAGGAATGCCACCATTTTGAAGTCTCCGATGACCTCTCAGCCGTACTCATCATTTCAAGGCATCCAATAAGGTCTTGATGCTGTTGTAATCCTCTTTGAGGTGCACCGAGTGAACCAGGGAAAGAGACGGGTACTTGTTACTATTATGGAGCAGCATGGCTTTGGGGCTCCTGGATGAGCTGTCAATGAAGAGGCGCTACTCATTCTGGTTACAGGGGATTCCGATTGCCTCGAACAGACTGGTCACATTGTGGCAGAAGCAGAGCCCATCTAGGACGGGTGAAGAAGCTGCAAAAAGGTTGGTGACGCTTCCTCTGATCTGCAACTGGCACACTTTTATCCAACAAGTTCCCCTGCTTGAGCCTCGACATCAAAAGCTCGGCATTGGACTTGGTCAGACCAAGACCTCTGATCAAGTCGTTGAGGTCTTTTTGGTTGGGGTAGTATGGGATTCTCTTCTCAGTTCCACCTCTGAAATTGTCATCTGGATCTACGTCTTCCTCGCTCTCTGACTTGCTGCTCTCTTCTAAAGACGGCTGCTCTCTCTCTGGAGGAGTGGGTACGGGGAGCTCATGGCAGTGTGGCACCGTGGCGATGGATGAAGGAAGGTCCGGATACGTGATAGCAGGTGCATTCTTGCCAGTCCGACGTTTGGAAGGGTCCACCATGCAGAAATAGCAGTTGCTTGAGTGGTCAGTGGGTTCCTGCCAAATTCTTGGGATAGCGAACTTCATGGCTCTTTTTTCCCCTCTGTACCATCCTATAAAAATACATTTATTTCACCCATGACTAGAGATTCTCGCAACATTTTTCATATATGATATATTGTCAATAAAATTGTAAAACATTTTAAAATTAAAAACTTTTACAATTTTTTTTACAAATTTAATAACAAGATTCTGAGCAACAATTGTCCATCTTACCTTCCAGAGGTTTTTTTGCATTGCTTGCAGGTGAAATAAGGTGCCCAGGGTTTGTCTTGATCCCTGACAGGCATGCCGAAATATGCCTTGTAGGCCTCACACATCTTAGCAAATGCTTCCACAGAGTACTTTTTCGCTCTTGTCTTTATAAATTGACCGCAGACATCAAAATGCGTCTGCCGGACGCTTGTAGCCTCTTGATGCCATCTCATAAAAATGCAGATTTGTATCCACTTAGGCAGCTGGAACTAAACTGAACTGGTGGGCTTAAAGCACCTGTCGTTATACTATTTATATTACTGGAAAGTTCTAGAATGTTCTAGAAGTTACTCCAAGTTTACTCAGCACTGAATCTATCGGGAATGTTCTGGAAAATAGATACATTTCAAAATATCACTGTCCTGGTCACAAAAGCAAAGTTTGTGGGGAATAATAGCCATTTTCTGTACTTTTGAGGCATAAGCAATTAGGAAATAACACTACTGAGGAACAAAAATACACAACTTTTTACACTAATTGCATGACAGAACGTTTAAGAAATTTTAATTTAATGTTGATCCTAAAGCTTTGGCCATGCCGTTGAGAAGATGGCAACAGGCGTCTGAAACATTTTTCTCTCCACTGACAAGTGACTTGCAGGGACTACAAATAATACTAGCATGAATCTAATACCCAAATATGCAATTATTTACATTGAAGCCATTTACAGATTGATGGATTGACTTTATTTCATCAGGTGTCAACCCATTGTGACAAGATGTCTCTTGTGCACGGATGACCTGGGTATTGATTGCTTGACCGTTGATAATAAACTGGCCATGGTGATGGTTGCAAATGTTGCTTTATCAATGTAATCTGCAGTGCTCTGCATCTCGCAAACAAGGCGACTTTCAAGAAAGTGCCTTTTTGATTAAATATGCATATTGTGTTACTTGCGCTAGCCATAGCTTTAAATGCAGATCAGTCACGCAAACTGTCTACTTTATATTGTATTTGTGGTAATAACTTGCCTTGGGTTTCTTTAAGTTGGGGGAGCTGTCCTCGTGCTAAGCCTTATTGGCTTTTAGTTTAGATAATTTAATAAAGGCATCATGGGTTCTGAGGCTTTTCATCATACAAACGTGCCTTTTTAATGCATATGCTGCGGTCGCACTAGTCATTCGAACTACTGCAACTCCTTGTGATGCCAAGTAATTGGATCCTTGTATTTTATTTTGCCGAGTGCTGTGTAAATGCTCTGCGTATATTTGAAACGGTTAAAGTGGCCTACATAAGGGTAAGTATATTTGCTTTGGTGCAATAAAGTATAGGCGTTAACAATATATAACCTGACTTTTTGCAACTATAAGTGGATGAAGGGGTTTTGGGATGTATTGTAGTGTCTAAACAATGCATTGGCACAACACTGTATATTTGTATTGCTGGAGCTGCTTGGTCATTTTATTTTTTCATTTTTCATAATGTTATGTTTTGTAGCATGTTTTACAAATAAATGCACACCTATGTATGAATACTGATGTGAGAATACTTATCATACACCTTCAGTAATGTGTTTGTGTGAACTCTTTTTTTCTGCACTTACCGAATTCTCATCAGATAATAATTTCGTGTAGTATGCACCCATGGCAGTGTAGTGTCATCAGAGAAGTGACCTTGGTTCAGAACTACATTGCTTTAAGCTTACTCATAGTGTCAAGTGTCTTAAACCACACAGCTAAATTAAATGTTAAACAGCATCATATCTCTGGGTTTCTTTTCTGGGTCCTTTGAGGTCTTTGTCCTCTATGTGCAAATGGATCTGAATGCTGCGTTTTTGACCATTTTAAACATATCAAAATATTTGGTTTTTCACTGATATTAGTTTAGTATTTTGATGCTTGCCTTTGATATACTTTATTACATTTTAGTTTTAACAATCACCATTACAAAACATGTTCTGTATATAGGCATAAATATTGCCATTGAACTTCAATTTTTTTTGTTACTTTACATTATTTAACATCATGCTGTTCACTCCAATTTGTATATTGATCATTTTCATTTTTTGATTGTCTTCATCTCTTAATATGTTTACAGACACCCCAACCTTAATTTAACACCATTTTTCCTCAATTATGGACTTTGGAAAGGTGAAGAAATTATATTTCTGTATTCCTGAGTACAGTTCTCGAAAGAATGTGATTTATGAATCAGGCTTGGTTAGTCATTCAAGAATGCTACACTAAAGACACTTTGAATTGCACATCGAAGCGTATCTGGAATTTCAAAGAATTCCAGCTTTTAACTTCACACATTTATACCAAATGCTTATGAACGCGATGCCAAGGCCATAGGTTGTGGCTTTACAATGTACCCAAGTACAGTGGAAACAAATTGGTTACTGACTTAACTCTAAGATTGAAAATTATACAAATGTTTGCCCAGCTCATGTAGTGGACTGAAATATATTTCTTGTTGTGCTCATTTTATTTTATTTAAGTTTGGAATGTTTATTTGCTGTGGACTTGTTAACATGACATTTATTGCCTTCATTGTGCTGCATTATTCTGCTGTAAGCTGTATATTAATGCTGAATGCATTCGAGCATTTGAATGGAGAATGTCACTTCGTCTGCATGATTGTCACGTTTGACTTTTGAAATTACTGTATACTGCATTGAGCAGTAATCCGATGTAGGATTCAATAACACTCCTCAAAGTGTAATTTCAATTGTGAATAAAGTTATATTCATTGGCTATGTTAACCACTCATTAAACACTATGGCATTATATATGCTTCTTGTATGTTTCCTGTGATGCTGTCTTGTGTTATAAAAAACTAAGTTCACTATCGTAAATATCACATTCTATTAAGTATACGCGGTATATTCATTGTCTGTTTTTACTTTGTTCTGATCAGTTACATGGAACACCAATTTATTTTGAAGCTTATCATTGGCAAAAGTAGTAATTTCCACCCACATTGACATGTCCTCTTTCTACCTCACTATAATATAGCTGTTGGCATTACAGGTTTATATTTTCTACTTTCTCATGAGCTTATTTTTTTTGTATTTTTATTTAGCAATGTGAGTGCAACAGTTGAGTACAGTACTTAATTTTATTTTTTTGTTAGAGGAAGAAACTCTCCACATGGGTGACAAATTGCCCATTTGTTAAGGGTGTTATTCCATGATCTATGAACACCTGAATGAAGTCCGGTTCCACAAAGGCAGATTCCATCTATTCCCTGCACACGTGCGAATCTCATCACTCCAGCTTTGTGGTGGACATAGTCTCGGGCATGTTCTCTTTGGCTGGCATTACTTTTCTTAACAGTTATTTTTTATTTCTAATTGGTATTTGCTTCCTGGTCCATGTGTTCCTGTCCCACGGTCTACGGTAATTCAAAATTCGAACCTCTCCATGTGTATTTGCATACTTTTAAGCTTTTGTTTCATTTTATTTGTTAACACTCATGTTTCATCTTCATTGCGTTGCACATAATATATACTGATTACAAGTTTTTTAATATATATGAATAGTTTTACTCATCGCAGCACGAGAAGGTGAATAGTGTCAGTTACTCAAAAGGGCAGACGGCAAGTGAAATATCGCACCTCCGATCAGCACGGTTGGCTGGTACATACGGTGCAAAAAAGTTCAACATAACATACAACTGGGAAAGGGAAGGGATGCCAGGACAGACGTACCCAAAAATAGACAAAAGAGCTCAAGGTTCAAGATGAGTAGCAAGAATAAAGGAGGGCCGGGCCGGAAGGAGGAGAGGGGAGGGCATGCCGGTGATGAGAGACAAGGAAGGAGCAAGGGGAAATCAGCTGCACGGAGCCGCATCTGTTTTCTCTTGAGGGCGGGGAGTAGGAAGGAATTCTTAGTGGTGTGGGGTGGCCACACAAGTCACGTGATTTACGGCAGGTTTGAGATCATTTAGATAGACCATATAAATGTTAGAGGTGTTTATTGTATTCAGGTTTATACTGCAAAGTGTACAAATGGTGCTGAGGATTGGTTTTGAGATAGAGGTTTGGTGGTGGAAAGACCAAATCAAGTTCGGTACACAAGTTGTGGCTAATGCCATGTGTTTAATGGTAAAACTGATTAAAATGAAAAAGAAATAGGCAAGGGTCTTGGCACAAAAATAAATAAATGTAGGTCCATCAGCCATATAGCAATTATTTTCCAACGTTTTCCAGAAGCATCACAATAAATCAAACAATGGGCCATTGCTGATTTCACGAGTCTAATCACGAGGTCCTGGCTTGTGCTGTTGGTTTTGTGGATATTATGTATGTAGGCTTTTTAAGAGTTTAATTTACGCCGAATTGTTACCTTTTGTATACATTTAAAATATATATATTTTTGACAACCATATTAAATGATTTTCCAGAATGTTTTTCAAATCAACTGCTGGTTGAAGGGTTCCCCAACATTGTCACCTTTTTACCATACGCGCATTGGTCAGAGTAGATATTAGAAATTATAAAATATAATCTCAATACAGTCGTGCCATTGTGAGTTTTGGTGGTCCTCATAATCCAATGCTGGAAGAAAAATCTTGAAAATTATTTAATAATTGCCACAAACTACGGTCGTGAAACTTAAAGGGACTAATCATGGTTCAGGATGTAAATTCAAATGGATATTTTAGAAGAAGTAGATTAGCAAATAATAGGGTTTAAAAACATGCCTTCAACTTCAGAATAAGAATATTTACTCTGGAGGAATCCGATGAGCTATAAAGCTCTTTTTCACATGTCCAGGGGATAACTCAAGAGAGCAAGATAGTCTCAGTCGTAAGTGACCTGGTTCACCAAAATAACAACGGTGATGAATATAATACTCTGCCCAAATAATAATATACTGAGACTTTATGCTGGAAAACAAATTAATCCGATTGGCTTTGTGGTGTTGCCGACATTCCAATATAATACGTGGAGCCCTGCATGGCCCTTTGAGTCTATGCACTCCTATCGACTTTTTTTGTATTGTTCGTCGTAACTTTCTGACCCACCCCGACCGAACGTCTGTGATCATCGGATTCTTTCTCACTCTGCAAAGATTCTAATTGTGCGATGCGAAGTGGAGAATTTTACATTACGAGTGGAAATTCGTCACCGCCCGTTGCCATGGCAGCAGCGGGAGGTGACGTCACGTCAACAGCGAATGACGTCACCGCGCAACGCGCCTCCTTAGTAACCGGCTCTAGCGACCAAGATGGTGAGTTGCGTGCGCAAGCGGCCGTTGATCGGCGTACAAAATAACGACGCTTAGTAGGCCTTCGTTTAGACGAATATAACTGCGCCAAACACTCCACTTTATGCCTTCGCCAAGGTGCACATAGCTGGCCGCGCGCAGGGCATTCGCTGGTATTGAATGACGGATGGGCCTAGACGTGCCTGCTGTTTCGTCCGGCCCGGGGTGGGGGCTCGGTAGCCGGGGCAAGGTAGTCAGGCAAGGCCGTAGGCTTGGCCATTTTTGACTAGGCCCGCGGGACGCGTTTCGTGAGTTTGTATCGATGGACTGTTTTTTTTTATATTATCGCGCAATCATCGGCGATGATGCGCAATAAGCCCGACCATCTGAGTTCGGTGCCCGTTCGCGGCTAACATCAGTTGCCCGTAGTATCTGAGACGGTCCTGCTTATTCAGACCTCTGTTCACCAACCCGTTACTGACCGGCGTGCGTGAAGTATGGACAAGTAAGCGCCATGACCGACGTGGTGTGGAGGCCTTCATCCGCTGGTGGATTGAGAATGACTGGAATTTTTTTTTTTTTAAATCTGCGCGTTATATATTGCAGTTGTACCTTTGATATTTTCAAACTCACCTTTGCTATATAAATGCTCGTTGAACGGATAAGGTGGTGTGATTGTTGACCAAATACGGTACCCGTACATCCTGGCAGTTGCTAAATGCATCAACTTTGTCATTTGAGTATGCTAATTACATGGAATAAAGGTGGTATTTTTGTCCGATAGTGATACGTCTGATCGTGATACGTGCGTGTATTTAAATGTCTCTTCCAAAATAAGTTTGGTCTATTTTTTGGCAGCATCTTGTGTCGAAATTCATACATGATATCTAAAGTTACACGTTGACTTTTAAGAAACGGTAATGTAGATTGGTGATGAGTATCCAGCACTGGAGTGAATAAAGCTGCCAACGTTTAAAGCGAATAACGCTCTTTAATAAACTATAGACATAAATGCAGACTGATTTATTCGCAATTACATTTTCCCAGTCACTAGTGTGTCTTTACGCAGTGTATAAGATACGAATTTCACCAACCCATTTAGGTTTGGTTGTCACTTCATAAAAACGTAAAGGCCTTCATCCAGCAGTGAGTGCCATTGGTAACGGCTGATGACATGCTTTACTCTCATCAGGAGACGTAAAAGTAGCAATCTATAATTGGGCTCGTATACATTACTAGTTTAAGCGGATTTATGTATTAAAAACGCAGCTGCCTGGAAATTAGGAAACCTTACGCGATTACGTATATGTATGTGTTCTGTGGAACCGCTATTTGGCTTAAAATATACTTTATTTAGATTCCAGACCATTCATTAGCTGCGCTCGTGTGTTAATTATATTATAATCAAAACAAACTATCTTCATGCAATGGTATGGCAACGACCTGCCGCTTACGTAAACACGGCAATCATAAAGAAACGCGCTTGATCCTGTTGTGAAGGATTAAGCAGAGAACAGCAGCCACAGATGTAGTTAGCTTAGAGGAGTCAATCTCATTCCCTTGATATTAATAGACCCGGTGGCGACGTTGTGTTCGTTTGCTTGCATCTTTGCCCTTCCGTTCAGCGAGCAGTGTGACTTGAGAGTTTTGAAGGGGTTGGTGGTTAAGTGATGCGTGATAAATGGAAGAGGGACTACTCGTAAGACTTCATTCTAATTCATTTTATCTACAATGTGACATGTTTGGGTGTACGATTGTGTTTCGTGAAAGTGACCATTGTGTGTGTTTCTTCTGGATACTTTTTCTGCTCTTATTTATTTTTTGCTCAATAGATTATGGTAATTGTTTTTTTCCCGTTGTGTAGGGTTTGCTATCCATCCTACGTAAACTGAAAAGTGCTCCTGATCAGGAGGTTCGCATACTCCTCTTAGGACTTGACAATGCAGGAAAAACCACTCTACTCAAGACGCTTGCATCAGAAGATATAACGCACATTACCCCAACTCAGGTATGATTTTATACAAATATTATCTTCAACTTGCATCTGTATTACTTGAAAAGATAGTTACACAAACGTGTTCCAGATGGTCACATTTATTTAACAAGACAATAATTTGTAAGTATTTGTGGTGTTAAATCTTGACTTAAACTTCACAAATAAAGTAATAACTGGTACGTGGCCTGATTTTTTTCCCGTTGTGTAGGGTTAATCTGGGGATTGCCTACGATCATTAAATTCAGTTAATTTATCGCTCATTTCCGGCACACTTCCACTGGTTGTTACAATGAAGATGCCAGTTAATCAGAGATTGTTAATAATCATACCATGTACCTATATGCATTTATTTGTTCTATATATATTTTGGGGGAAAAATACAGTATCACAATAGCCATGGTGAGATCATGCCTCCTTCCCTGACTTTTGATTTGGGTTGCGTTACTTCAAGCAACATCAGTGTAGCTGTTCCGTTTTGCAATTGGTTTTTAACAAATCCTATTTATAATTTAATGACTTGGTTTATGAGTTTGCATGAGTGTACACCAATCCATATACATACTCTTTTGTCCTGAAAGGCTAAGCATAATGGTACTTGTTATGCCTTAAGTCTTTTCCAGAATGTGATTGATAGTATGTTCACGATAGCAAAAGTGTTCTGAATCCAGTATACTCGAATGTTATTTGTTATTTCATGGTTGGTTGGCCTCTACATTGTCATCGATATTTATGCATATCTATGGCAGTTACTTAGACTGGGATCGTAATGATAGAATAATGAGGGCCACGAGAGCAGAGCACAGTGTTTTTAGAAAAAATATGTTAATAAAAAGTTGCATGTTGTTGATCAATGTGTATTTCCTGCTATAGTATATGTGTAGTGACATCCAGGATGTCACTGTATGGTGCTGGCCCGGGAGGGTCGTGGCGTGCGATGTTCCTACGTCGCAGACAGTTTTGGGTGGGTTGCTGTGTGATGCCGGCTTTACTTTCGCACGGCGTGTGATGCATTGGCATCGCATACACCCCGTAGATGGGTGTAGTACCAGCCCTAGCAGGGCTTGGTGAGCGCTGGGATAGCGCGGGCACCGTGCATAGCGTTTAGTGCGGGCTCCCACAAGGGGGAGCAGGAGAGTGTCAGCCCAGGGACAGGGTTGCCCCGGGCCATGGCACTCTAGTTGACTCCGTAGACACGTCATCATCCGGAGTGTCCACAGAGAAGGCCCCAGGTTGGGGGGTGCTAGGGGGTGATCACGTGTCCGGGGAAAGCTCTCAAGAGGGTGCTCGAACGCTCGAGAAGGCGGGCGGGGCCTGGGCGGAGCCAGCCCCGACCTGGGAGGATATAAGGTGGGTCCCTGAGAGGGACCGGGGTCGCTTCGTTCTACAAGCTGGAAGTTCCACGTCCTACAAGCTGCAAGCTCTACGTCCTGCAAGGCATCAACACGTGGCCGGGACCCGAGTGAGGGTCCGACCCTTCGTAGCTGTAACTCCTACGTTTAGTGTAGTTAGCTGGGTGGTCACCACCCTAGGCTGTATCTGGTAAAGGGGCAGTTACCCCTTTGTGTATTATGTGTTGATATAATAAATGTGTTGCCTCTAAAGAATAACGTCTGCGACTCAGTTGGACTCACTACATATGGATCAGAAACATGGATATTTGAAATGGAACATTTACACTTATATTACCGTTTGCCAAAACTTCACAATATTAATCTTGACTTGATTAATATCACGTTTTATACATTTTGTGGAGCACTTCGGAGAGCATTGTGAAACTGTTTTTTTTCTCTGCACAGGGCTTTAACATCAAGAGCGTGCAGTCGCAAGGATTCAAGTTAAATGTGTGGGACATCGGCGGACAGAGGAAAATTAGACCTTATTGGCGAAACTACTTTGAGAACACTGATGTGCTGGTTAGTTCCAACATAGAGCACAAATATATTATCATTATTGAAATGTTTGTATATGGGCATTTAAGTAATTTGGTGAACGTTCTTTTTTTCCATTTACAGATTTATGTGATTGACAGCGCAGATAGGAAAAGATTTGAGGAAACAGGGCAGGTAAATATATCCGAAATTATATTTGTAAGACTCTATGAACCATCTAAACACAAAAATGGTGTGTCAAGTAATATCTCAGTCATTGCCTGGCTCAATAACCTTTTGTAAGTCCTGTAATTTTACTCCGAGTAGTAATATGGGTATAATGTTATAAGGGTTGGGTGTTCCTCTGTTTCACAACAATGGAGTGTAACCACGGTTCCACAAAGAAAGTCCATGCGAGCACATCGCACATGAGGCGTACGCGTGTGCGCTTCCAGAACACTGTGACCAAGGTTCTGGGAAGCGGGTCAATGTGTCCACGGATCACATGGGACGTCCGCGTGTGCATGCGCCCCCCGGTTTGGTGTGTTGGGCAGGAATTGGCCGAACTCCTGGAAGAAGAGAAGCTGAGTGGCGTGCCTGTGCTCGTCTTTGCCAACAAGCAAGATTTGCTGACAGCCGCACCAGCTTCTGAGATCGCTGAGGGGCTCAATTTGCACACCATCCGCGACCGCGTCTGGCAGATCCAGGCCTGCTCAGCCTTGACGGGGGAGGGTGTGCAGGTACAAGTGTTGTTTTTTTCTCAGCTACACTGGTGCCATACATGGATGACTATAATACATTTCTGTTAACAATAGGTGTTGAATTTGCTTGTTTGAAATGTTTTTATATTTTTACTTTTAAATGACAATATTTTAAGTCAAATAATTTATGACCAGGTAACAGCCCGTTGGAACAAGTCTCTTTCAATTCAGACTTGGGCGATAGATGCATTTTATTTTGAAATTCTGATGTCAAGATGGATTTAATATACCCTGGTTCATTGCCTAAGTGGAATTACGTTTAATGTGCTGGTGTGTCATCCACCTAAATGATTACTTAATTTGCAATCATTTGTTACAATAATCCTTTGTGTAAGAACTGAATGTTCTCATAATCTCTCAAGTATATATTGTTGCATCCAATTAAGCACTGAAAATAACTTACATGGCCTTGTGACCTTTTCTTCTTTAGGATGGGATGAACTGGGTATGTAAAAATGTTAATGCGAAAAAGAAGTGACCCTCAACCATATGCAAAGCACTGTTGCCCACATGTACAAGGTAACCTCACTCATCCAGTTTGAAAAAAGTTTGTTTTAGTTTTGTTGTAAATTGTAGAATTATGAGACTGAGAGATGTAATTTCTATTGCTCATGGAAAGGTAATCTTTACAAATCCAGTATATACAAACTATTTGCTATAAATGATGCAACACAATTTATCATTCCCATATGTGATGAAAAGAGTAGAAAGGGTAGAGAATTTGACATGTATAATTTACATATTTTTTTCTGCATTTCTGTACAATAAAGTTATTTTGACAATTATGGCCATGTTTTTAGATAAGGCTTTGTACACCAGGACATTGTATGCAGTTCTGTCTGCTATCCTCCGTTTTATGTTCAGCGTTTTGTGGTTGGTGGGGATAGGGGCTATTCTGCTGGCAATTAAAAGTCAACTATTTAAAATGGCAACTTCGGTTCTACTTGCAATATGAAAATTAATTCTAAAAATGTATTTATCTATTCACTAGCATTCTAGTTATTGTGGAGTGCAATCCATTTTGGTGGTTTGTTCATCTTGACATTACAACTGTGCGTAATTGAGAAAAACACTAAATCTTAGGAAAACTAGTAACATGTTTTATTTGTTTATTGGAATTACAATATAAGAAGTTATGACCACCCCACACAGTAAATATCTGCTTTACATATTTCATTATGAACTGTTTATGCTGGTTGTCATCTATTTGTGTTCTGAATCAATGGAAGTAAAGTACAGTAGTATGATTTGTGTACCCATTTGGGTACATTTCTGCAACTTAATAAAAAGTGCACAATTTTTAGATGTTTGAGAGTGGTTTTTTTACCGATGCAAGTCATTTGTAGTGGAAATCTCTTAATTTGGCATCTCATAGGATATTAGAAAAAATGTTTGCTGGCTGGATTCATGCGAAAGTGATGTCACCATGGATATCTGTGATAACTACAATTGCATCCTACAGCGTTGAGACGGGTTTTTGTGTGTTGGCGTCACACCCCCTCCACCCATACTCCACCCTGCCGTGTATTCTGTGCAAATGTGATGGAGATAAAGGGCGAGAGAGAGGAGGGAGGAAAAGACGAAGAGGGAAAGGTCAGAGAGTGAAAGGGTGTGAAAAGGAGAGGAAAACGGAAAGAGGAGAGCGAGGGAAAGCAACAAGTGGTGGGAGGATTACGGGGAAGCAAGAGAGATTGAGACGGGAAAGGGAGAGGTGGCAATAAGGAGAGTGAGAGATAGTGGGAGAGGAGAGGTGTATAGAGGGAAGGTGAGGTAGAAGACGGGGCGTGCATGTATGTTGAACTTCATTCGCACCGTACGTAGCCGTATGTAGCCAACCATGCTAATAGAAACATAAAAAAGACAGAAAGATATTGAGTTAAATTGGGATATACAGAAACAAAAAAGACAAATATATTAAGATAAATTGGGATATACAGTACAGAAGGCAAGAGAACAGTGGAGAGACGGCTTAAAAACTATTGCTGGCTGAGAGGGACTTAGGGTCATTTCCAAAGGATGTGCGGGTTGCTCGTCTCATAAAAACTTTTAAGTACAAATGTAATGTAGCTCTCAGAGACACTGTCTTGTTCAGTTATATGTATATTGATTATGAATAAAGTCCGCCGACTCACTGATAACTTAACGAGTAAGCGTGTTTGACTATATACACTTGGGTAACTTAGCTCTATTCTGAGACAACATAACTCTAGCCTTCCAAGACTACAAGGTGCCCACTGCAGGATGATGAAGACGACCCGCTCCAATGTGACGACGGCGACGGCAGTTCCCTCGCAACAGCAGCCCAGAGCCCTGGTTCGCGCCGGCTCTTAACCCCCTCACCACTCGGCCACGCCCCTATTCCCGAACCCTCTCTCACCCACACCTGGCCCTGTCTGTCTCTGCCCTTATTGCAATTTACGACCGTTAGGTCACGTGCTTCCCCTCACACGACCCTGTCATCGCTTGTCGCATAAATCATTATTAGCAACCACTTAAATCCCAAAATTACCTTAACGTGACCCTGTCTGTTCCCGTTATGTTAATTAGTAACCATGGCCACGGGGAGCCGTACTGTCCCTACATCACCCCGTACTGTCCTTATACATACATAAAAACAGGTTTCACAATAAGTATGCTTTTTTACAGGCTTCATAGGAAATCAACTACTATTCTATTTTCAGGATGATTTCACTTCAGCTGATTACAACTTAAATTTATCACCCACTCTTGGGGGGTGGGGGCCACCTGGGTGAGGTAGTTTAGAGATTCTGCGCCGCCTGCTGATGACTGACACGAGTTAGATCCTCGGCCATGACCGACATCAATGTCCATCAGTGCCAAGCCATCTCTGAGCTGCTTCAGGACATCCTCCCTTCAACATGCACTGAAAAGTATGGTCTAACAACTCCCATGACACGGCATCAGCAGGCTGTCATCCAGCAGTAGATGAACAAAGTGCTGTAAATATTATTTAATCTCAATAAGCGATCACAATATCAGATAAATATATAATAGAACAAATTAAGAACTATTGTTTAGATTTTGCTTAAACTTTATAAAATATATTTAAGAAAAAAAATCGATTTTTCTATTTGAAGCCACTCAACTCAATTTCACAAATTCGTGAAAAAGCATTCAGAAGTCCAAGCACCTGCAGTCTTTGAACAGTTAATCTGTTGGCAGCTTAAGAGCATTTGAGCACTTTTTGGGAAAATAGACATTACCGGATCTAATACCTTTTACATGCAATTACAAATGCATACGTCAACATTTCAGCAAATATAAGGCCCTCAAGCTGCCAAAGTGCTTTGCTCTTCGCTGTGCTTTGAAGACCTCATTTTTTACTACACCGACTTGGTGTGTTGTTTTCAGTTTACCATAACCAGACAATATATAAAAAAATGTCACCACTGTTTACTTGGAATTATGTTGATATTTACTAATTATAGCACTGAACTTATTGCGGGATTGGTTTTAAAGGTCAAATGTTTGAGTGCCTGCCTGCCACCTCATTGCATATATTGCAAAGATTTTTTGTATAATTCTCCATTTGCATGCATGTTCAAGGAATTCCTGACTGAGTGGTGCAAAATGCATTAGAAAATAAATGTGCAGACCTTTATAGTATGTGTACCAGTATTTGATCACATTTGAAATCCTTCAATCCGTTAATCACAACTGGAGGCAGCTGTTCGCTAGTCCCTTGGGAGCCGTTGGTGGTTTGAGCTTCAGTGATCCCAACGCCTCTGAAGCGTTCTTTGTAAATCATTGGTGTCTTATTGTGTTTAGGTCTGGTACTAAATTGTGTCTCCTGTGCATTACCATCCTGACCCTATCATTTCCCATCACATGTGTTACCCTTTTCGCATTGCTTGCTTACCTCTTTCTGCAGCTATTTAAGATGCAAATGCATCTAGGCACTCAATGTAATTTATTGCACCACTGTGACACCATAAATACACATTTGAAAGCTGGTTTGCAGTCACTTTATATGTTCTAGGTGACAACATGCAAAGCAAGCACTTTGCTATGTTGCTGCTCCTGGTAGTGTGCCTCCAGTTGTGCCTGGTGATGGTTATGAACACAGATCAGAGCAAAAGCATGGACATCATTTTAAAAAAATGCCTAGGCAGGCCAAGAGTGGCCAAGCCCTACCCTTAAAGGCCAATCTGCCCAGCATACTGAAGCCGAGCCACAGGGGCAGACTGCGGGCCCTTGATGGAGCCCAGTGCTTCTGGAAAGTGCTCAGTGATGTTCCTGAACCAACCCTGACACTGCAGCTCCGGTGCCGCAGTGCTCCCTCGTGCACCTATCGGGGTTCCCCAGTCTCCTGCCCTGCATACGGATGCAAGCACAGGTACTTCTGGACGCAGGTCGTGAAGGCGCTGAAGCAGAGGGACGACTCGGCACGCGATGTCACGGCTGGGCAGCTCATCACACCGCTCTGCAAGAAGTCTCCTGCCTCCTGGCTCAGCCTCGTGGAAGAACTGGAGGCTAAGGTGACGACTGAGGCCACGACTACCACTGCCACGAGTGATGGGAAAATGGGAGCCAGAGCAGCCGATGAAGTGGGGGAGACGGGGGTAACAAGTGGCAGAGGAGGAAGGAGAACAGCGCAGCGAGCTCTGGTGCTCCTTGTGCAACTTCTTGGAGGGCGCGGTGCGGGGGGAAGTGACATTGTTGGGTTACCACGCTGTGCATTGCACAAAGATGCTAAGCAGGAGGACTTTCACAAGATGACTTTATTGACAAGTGTAGAATGCCATGTCCGATTGAAACACTTTAGTTGAAGCGCATATTGTTACGGTGTTACATATTGCGGTGTTTAATATGTTTTTTTTCCAACAGCTTGTTGACCGCAATACTTTCACTGAATTGATTGTGATAAATATAAACAGTATGTGCTATATGTATGTTGAACTTCTTTCGCACCGTACGTAGCCAACCATGCTTATCGTTTTAGTGGTATTTTTTTAATAAACCTGGAACAATCTTTCAAGAACACAGAACACCAAAAACAAGTATTCCATACCGTCTCATTGCTTGTTATTGCTTATAATGGCACTTTCGAAGCACACATGTTTATTCTTGACGCTGTCTCCTTCAGCAACCGTATTGCCCCATCTCCTTTGCAAAATAAAACGTATTTCAACAACTCCTGCTTACCGTCTGTGCATCCATGTGCTTCAGGACATCATAGGAATTTGTCCCTCGTGATTTCGAATAATCTGATTTGCTTGTTTTATGCAAATGTAAATATAGCGGCCTCTAGTGGCTGGAACTAGCTTTACATATCCCCCCCACCTCCACACCGTCTTACCAATGTGAAGACTTATGTATGTTTCCAGTTATGCGGAAACGTACGGTACTTTGTAATTTCGCGAATAATTGGAGTTAAGCGGAAAATTGTTCCAATTATTTGAGAAATGTTCCCTTGTATATGGAGTAAATTCGTTGATAACTCTCTTGGTCGGGCAGTCCCCCACTTACCAACGTACCCCGTTCCTGAAGCCTATTTGTAAATCGTCCAATTCGAAAGTCGAAACTCAATAATGTACTTATTAAAATGCAGTTAGGCCAGTGTTATCAAATGTGTTAGGATTCAACAAAAAAAGGGAAGCACTGTTAAAACGGATGAATAAGAATGCATATTGTACATTTGCGGAACCAAATAGTTTCGCGATTCGGTGCGCAAATGCGAGTTCACGTTCGCAAGTCGCACGGTAAAAAAGTTTAATATCTAATTACGGTAGCTAGTTCGTAAGTGCGGATGCTCGTAAGTCGGGAGTTCGTAAGTCGGGGATTGCACGCGATATCAATCGTGACGTCGGCGAGCCTTCGACACTTCACGTGCCCTTCACGTTCCTATGATCACTGTTACATTGCTATCATAGATTTATCTTCTTTTATTATTTTATTCTCATTCTACGTGACTTTACCGAAAGAACCAAAGAAGATGTATCCTTGCAGTCACGAAAGCTTTAAATCGAAAAATATAGATTTATTTTGGTGATTTCGAAAACGTTTTGGTTTAGCCATATTTGTTTGTTGTAGTACAGAGTTAGACTGATAACTTTAATCTAAATTGTCTTATGGTTGCTGTTGTTTGACTTGCATCCCACTGGGATTTTTGCACACAAAGTTGATATACGGTGCTTTTTTCTGTAAGATTTTGCTGTTTTTTTTTCCTGGATTTTCTGTTTGCGCGTAGTCACTTTATGATGTTTTTCTTGTTCATGTTTTTTGTTTGTTGCGGTTGCACCCGATTCAAGAGCCGAATGGCTCACAGGGCAATACCAAATAAATGAAACTGAAAGTGCACCTGGCCTGGCACAGGCGCCGTGGAAACGTCACCGTCACTTAGTATCGGTGTGACGTCATGCTTTTAAAGTTGTACACCGAATCGGAAGTAACGACGTTTGTAATTTTTAATTTAAAGCTTTCGTGACTGCAGTAATTCATATTCTTAGCTCTTTCGGTAAAGTCACGTTGAAGGGAAACAATAAAATAATAAAAAATATATAAAACAATTAAAAAATTCTCACGACGTTTCGACCATAACACAAACGGTCGTCATCAGGTTTGTAAGCCCATGCGGCGCAACATTAACTATAGTATGACGTCACGCAGCTTTAACGTTGCACCGAGGCCGAATTTAACGACGTCATGTCCACTGCGAGTCACGTCATTCCTCCTCTTTCCCCCCCCCCCCCGCCTTTCCCGCCCAACTCGCGCGCATGCGCAGTGGCGCTCATAACGGACTCGGTCGCTCCTCCAGAGGCGTGCGCGGCCAACGCCGAGCGAAGACGCTTCCCGAATTAACAACAACAGCGGCAGGAGCAGGAGCAATTAATAAATTAGAGTGGAATCTGCCAATCGTAAAATCGACCAACGCCGCATCCGCCGTGGCGGATTAGTCGGGCGCGAGTGGCTCTCTCTCTCTGGAGCGATGGCCGCGAACGCGTTACAAGTCGCGCCGTGTTTACGTTGAGCCTTAAATTAAACTTCTTGACCGTCTCCCGTCAAGTGGCGAGTTGTAGAGAGGTGGGAGGAGAGGGCCACAAAGGCCTGGTCCGAGGCCTTCCCTCTGTCTAACATAGCCGCATCCTTATACCGGCGTTTTAAGCGGTCGTCGGAGTATTGCCACCGTTGTGTGTGTGTGTTTATATATAGCGTCGTTTCTTACGCGTGGGAGGGCGAACATTGATTGCATCGGTGTGCTGGTGGGTTGACGGCAACAGGCGAAACAGGAGGTGACCGCAACATTTAAGTTGTGCCCTTCCTCATGAAGTTACTCTCCTGCTCGTTATTTCAGTTGCGTTTTAATCGTTAGCCCGGCGCAGCAATGTCGTACTTTCGCAAGATCTTCAAGCTGGGCTCTGAGAGGAGAAAGCCGAAGCAGTACGATCACGTCCGGCGGGACGTGGACCCGGCCGAGCTGTGGAGTGTGATCGGCGAACTCGGTGATGGGGCCTTCGGAAAGGTGTACAAGGTGGGTTCCCACCACCACCACCAGCAAACATCATCAGACCCTCGACATCATCAACGTCAGATTCAACATCATCACACGCGTCAATCTCAGACCCATCGCCATCGGGTGAAGCTGTTGGGAATGCCTCTACAAAATGGGTATCGTCATAATTGTTCACTTGTACCGCAGAATCATCAGAATTATGAAAAGTACTTGGAATAACTACTGTATCGCCATAGCGCGCATCGTCAAACATCAGAATTATATTATGTTTGGCTGTCGTCTTCGTCACAATAATGTCCACTGCTGGATGGAGGCCCTCCCCACGCTCTCGCCATCTCTCAGTCTGGCGATGGCAGAATCCTGCGATTGATGTTGCGGAACGCGTTCCCTCTTTGGTTTCTATCCTCGTCTAGCGGTCATAGATTCTTCTTTTCTAAAACTGACTTCAATTTCTCCCTAGCCTGCGTATGTTCTGTTTCTCAATTTATTTCCCCGTGTTTGTGATCCGTGTCGTAGCCGTTCGTGTGTGTCTGTGTGTGGGGGGAGGGGGGGGGCACTGATTGAACATTGTCTTCCTTTCGCCGCAAGGTCGGATCGCTCATCCCAAACTTTGTCCTCACACACACACCCGGTGCAATTTTAAGTTTCACGGACATTTTCTGCTCAGCTTCAAATGATGACATTTAAGCTGCGTGAGAAAAGCGTAGCCACGTTATGCGCCAGTCCAATTACAATTATTTAGATGTCCCTTACCGGTATGGTAATCCACTTACAATCGCCAGGTTTCCAATTACGGTTGCTTTTATTTAAAAAATGTGTTGGAATTTGTAAATCACTCCGATAAATGATCGGATATGTATTTATTCACAGTTGAATTCGTAGTTGAGATTTTAAACGTGTTTTTGCCCAGTGGAAAAAATAATCATGTTCGATTGTTGTCAAGTGTCACGATATTTCGTGATTTAGCTTTTTCGAATTTAGTGGGGAAACGGACGCTTGCAAACAGTGGCCACAATCATTCATTCGAATCGGTTTTACGAGCGTGGATTGTCATCGACATGAATAGATTTATTTCAGTCACTGCTACTTCACAGCTTTAGTATTGGCACATGGTAAACATAAAAACAATCCAAGTGCTTCACACATTTTGCATTTATTAGTGTGCTTTGAAAATATATCTGCCAAAATAACAATGGGTTTCAATAGACTTCATTGTGTTGGCACGTTTTGTTTGTGCAAGGGGTTAAGTTTCAATGGGCAAATGTCAATAGGGATTTTGTAACCTGACTTGATGCATGCGTTGGATTGTGATCTTCACATGAAATTGACAAACTTTTGCCAGCTTGTCCCACCTCAGGGATATTTAGAAGCTCCATATTTTGCTCATTTTTTGAGAGTATAGATTTCGAGACAACTGACACATGTTACCTTCACATTTGTATGCATTTGAAGAAGCATGATTGTTGATTGAGTCATTAAAAATCTTCTTTGGTTATTTCGGTAAAGTCACGTAGAATGAGAATATAATAATAAATTGATAAAATAAAATAACACCTGATGAAGGCCGCTTGTGTTGTGGCCGAAACATCGTGAGAATATTATTGTGTTATTTTATTTTATCAATTTATTATTTTATTCTCATTCTACGTAACTTTACCGAAAGAACCAAAGAAGATGAATCCTTGCAGTCACGAAAGCTTTAATTCGAAATTCATTAAAAATCCTTTACATTTTGAGTTTTAACTTTTTTTTGGGATCGCAATAAAATGCCTTAACAGGAGACTGTAAAAAATGGGGCAATCGTCCTACTTTCATCAGCTTCATTATTCACATGCAACGCGTGGGACACGATGCATTATCGATAGTTCTTCATGCACACTTATTAACTGCGCAAAAAGGTGTGCTGTGCTTGCAAGTGGCCCACGCTACGTTTGGCCCAGTGAATCCCAGCTTGGCACACACTGACACGGCAAACGTGTTTTCTCATGAATGATTCATTCACTGCTTGAATATACTGTATCGCCTTTCGGTAATGCTGAGGTTGAGCATTTTGCACAACTGCTCGTGTTGTACAGAAGCTGCATATTCCTAACAAAATGCATTGTCTTGGTGCTTTCCCTGACAAAATATTTAAGTTATTTTGGCAGATATTTAACCAAGCAAGAAGCGTGCCTTTGGAATGTGTATGTTTTCCATACTTTGTTAAAGTGAATATTGAAAACATTTACATACTTAAACAATGTCATCCTTTGGTTATTTTTTTAACTGTTTGTTATATTTTGTATTCCCTGTTATTTAGGCTTTAATATTTTATAGTTAAATTTTGTTTTCTTTTTGTCTTTCGGTAAAGTCACGTAGATAGGTTCAAAGAAAATAACAACAAAATAACAAACAATTCACAAAATTTTGTTTCTGTCATTGTATTTAGTAAATCGGCCACAATATTGCCAAACACGGCCCTGATAAATCCTGTACTTGTCTCACTGAGCAAAAAATTGTTTTCAATGTCGTTGACTTGCTTTATGGATTCCGACAACAGGCAATGGTAGTGGATGGAGTTAAGTTAAAAGGCAGGCTGATTGACACACATGGCTTACAATAGCCCAAGGATTAAAATCTTGTAAGGAGAGATGCAGACAAGCCCAAGAGGGAATTGGAATGTTTCTCACCACTTGTCTAAGTGTATTTTGCTGTGTTTGACTATGACTGGACGCACGATTAAAGAAGCAGAATATCGAACACATCTACGTGAAAGTGAACATCCTAACCTCTGATTTATTTAGAAAGGTTCCACACTGTATGCTCTTTAAGTACTTAAATTTGATACACCTATGATGCTGAACTATCCTGCACAAGGTTACTGGCAAGCTATTGGAAGTCATGTTTATTTTTAGGTGAGGATACTTCGTGAATTTTGGATACACATTACTATAGCAGTAACCACTTAAGGTCTGTGGGTTGTTTTTCCTGCTTTATTCTGTACACATTGTAAAGCATAGGCAGATTTTTGTGCATTCATATTCCTGGGAGAGAATGGGTGGCTCTTTAATGAGAAGCAGAAGGGATTTGCAGGGAAGTGCATCCAGGAAGGAAGGAAGGAGCTAATGGGAAACACATGTCTCTGTGTACCAAGTTTTCACATGGGCCCTGTACACGCTGTCATCAGCCTATGGAACCTGAAACGTTCTGGCACAAGTCAGGAGAGATTTTTTTAAGTTACAGTGTTAAAGTATAAAATGTAGCTTTTTTTTCTTCCCAAAACGGTTTAATCCCACTTTGATTAACAACATAGTGGCTTATGATGGGACATTGGTAATACAATCAGTACATTAGTAATATTTTACATCAAACAGGAATCTATATTTTATATTTGCAGGGAATGTGAGCACAAAAATCGGTACTCGTTATTGAGTTATTATTGACTTGGTTTGACCTCGTTGGTTTTTTTCTCCCCAAAGTTTTCCAAGCATTATGCTGTGTCCTCAGTTTATTATGTATGCATGTGAGATTGACTTACACTTTATTATTACTGTAACGTACCAGACAAGGGTTAAGCTGGCAGTTACTTTTGAAAGTAAATGATTTTACTCAGCATTTTTATACGCATGAAAGTGTCAGATGTTTTTTTTATCAGAATGTATGTGCGATCAAGTAATATACTACATACATTAAACTAAACCACTGACTCGGCATTGCCACAAGCTGAGTACAGCAGATTTGGGTTACTCTTGCATTATGTGAAGTTGTCCTGATTTAGAGCCAGCTAGAAAGCATGTAGCATGAGCTTTTTAGTGATGCTGTTATCGTTGTTTTACTTTTGTTTCCAAAAGTGGCCACGAGCCATTTGGCTAAAAAGTAAATCTTTTAATTCCTTAACATTTGTTATGTAGGTGGGTATGTGGACCAGTTTTAGTTTTCCATTTGTGCAGTTTTCAGTGTGACACTATGTTGTAGCATTTTGTTTGGAATGGAGACTTAATTTAGTTTAGTGGATTATATTTATCTTATTAACTGTGCTTGCATCACACATACAAGTACACTTGGTGTATGATTGTGTTGGCTTAAAAACATTGTACATGCATAAATATATCACTGTAGTTTGGAGATAACAGAAATTTTTTGTAAAATAAAGGCTATTATATCGGCAAATGAGATGAGATAACGTTTGTGGTGGTATTTTTTATGGCAAATACTGTTGACTTGGAAGTTGTATTTTATCTGTTGGCAGTTAAGTTTTATGGCTAGGAAGTCTGGGTTTGCACACTTTCCTGGTTACTGTTTTACAGAGTGCTCCTGGCCGTCTATAGAAACACATCAGGTTTACCAGACCATAACATTCTGTATTCTTTGGGTCTTTCGCTAAAGCCACGTAGATAGAAAAAGTAATACAACTATCATGACGTTTTGATCGCAACACAAGCAATCGTCATCAGGTGACATCTGCTGCTGCCACTTCTTCTAATGCTAAAAGATCTTGTTCAGGGCCGGCCTAGCCCTCATCTCAGAGAGAATAAGATTGCTCCGATTTGAACTCGACAATTTAGACAAGACTCTCTTGCAATCACACTTAACATTGACAGAAAAAATGTCTACATCTGATTGGGAACATGTAGATAACATGACAGCCTTTTCAGCTGCCTCAATGTCAGCTAAATGCAAAGATAACCTGATTGTCAAGTTCAACCTCTTGTCCAAGAAGAAGCCAGATCCACACATTAAAAAGTTAGACGGTGACAAGATTGTTATCAATCAGTGTAACAGCCCAATTTCCGACAGCCTAAAATCGGTTCTAGCTAAAGGGTTGTATTTCGTAGTCACCCCTAAACACATCACATTTGATGATATCATTGCCCAGGTCGACGTAGCCCTTAAGGGTTTGGGACACATTCCTGCAGACGTGGCAAGATCAGAAATCGCTGCAATCCTCAAAAACGCTAAGACACCTATTAGCAACATCAGTAAGGATGAGCGCTTTGAGCTTTCTCAACTAAAAAAGAGAGATGACATAGTCATGCTCTCAGCCGACAAGGGCAATGCCACTGTCATCATGGACAAAACCACATACAATAACAAAATTCAGGACCTACTTAATGATGGTAGCTATACCAAAATGAATAGAGATCCCACCAACCGCATGGTTACGAAAACCAACAATATCATCACTGATTCGACATCTTTAATCGAACCAACCAAGCGGCTTTCCTTAAAACCCTCTGCTGCGAGACCACCCAGATTTTATGGCTTACCAAAAATCCATAAAGAAGATACACTACTTCGACCTATCGTCTCCACCATTGACTCATCCACCTACAAACTGGCCCGATTTCTCTCTGAGACCTTACAACCATTCACTGGTAAAACCACCTCAGCTGTACTTAAATCAGCTCACTTGGTATCGTTAATTAAGGACATCTCACTATCTCCAGGTGATTTGCGTGTCAGTTTCGATGTAGTCTCTTTGTTTACCAAAGTTCCTGTGCCTGACACCATTGCAATCATTGAAGATTTGGTCCAACAAGGACTGAATGCTGATGTACCAGCCCTGGTTAGACACTGCCTCACCAACACTTACTTCACCTGTAATGGAGCATTCTACAAACAAGTTAAAGGTACCCCAATGGGTTCTCCCTTATCTCCATTTGTAGCTAATGTTTTCATGGAAAATTTTGAGACAGATGCCATCCAGGCATCCACCCTACGTCCTTCCTTGTGGAAGAGGTATGTAGAAGACATGTTCGTCATCTGGCCACATGGCCTACCAGCTCGGGGCCAATTTTTCAACCACATCAATTCCATTACACCCAGCCATCAAATTCACCATGGAGGTGGAAAAGGATGGCAAGTTACCATTCTTGGACGTTTTAATCGAAAATAGACCAGATGGCTTAATGGGAAACTCTGTCTACAGGAAAGCCACCCATATGGATGCCTACCTAAAACCTGTCTCCCACCACCATCCATCCCAGAAGAATTCCCTCATCAAAACTCTACACCATAAAGCTCGATGTATTTCCGACCATCACCACCTAGCCAGTGAACTGGAACACGCACACCAAGCCCTCAAGATGAATGGATAATCAGACTACACAATCCGTAAAGCTATCACCCCAACCGTTGGGAAAGAACCATCTGAAGACCCAATCAAAACCATCACCTTGCCATACATTGCAGGAGTCACTAAAATATTTCCAAAATCATGAGCAAACACAAGATCTAGGTTCGATTCAACAGTATATAAAATTCGTTATCTGATCTCATCTGTGAAGGATGTGATCCCTGGCATGCAATACCCTGGCGTCTACAAACTAAGCTGTGTCTGTGGCAGTAATTATATTGGAGAAACTAAACGACATGTCTCGGACCGTGTTCGTGAACATAAGGCAGATCTGAAACACGGTAGGACCAATACCTCAGCCGTGGCTGATCATTGTTTTAATGCTGTGGGCACACACGAAATAATTTTTTTCCAAGACGAAGACACTCTGCAAACCCACTGGCTATCGTTCATGAAGCCATCCAGATATATAAACACGGACATAATTTCAACCGAGAAGATGGGTACAAACTGAGCAATCATTGGAAGGACGTTATTAACCAGTTTAAGCCATAACTGGCTGTGATATTTCCATCCTACCTGCCGATGTTAGTAGTTATTTTCGACTCTGGTTTTACATTAACAGGTTAAATGTCTCACTAACACAGCCACCGTTGCTCGTTTTCCTCGATGTGGCGGTGGCTCTGCGATCTTACATTGACATGCTAATCTCTCACAATACAATGGCCACCTTCGCAGCTTCGTCGTCATGGAGGTGTTTCTCCGTTCTACCCGATCTTACATTGACATGCAAATTCCACTAGCACCCGTCCACTTTGCTTATGACCCTTGCTCTACACCCATCTCAAACCTTTATAACATCCTGCCTCAGCAGCTCCCCCTCTATTTTTTCACCTGATGACGATTGCTTGTGTTGCGATCGAAATGTGATTTTTTTTTCTATCTACGTGGCTTTATCGAAAGACCCAAATAATATGAATTCCTGCAGTCACAAAAGCTTTTAAGTAAAGACATAACATTATGATTACTGTTTGTATTTCATCGTTCACAGTACGCATTTAATTGTAAATTATAATTAAATATAATTCACTGTACTCTATATATACATATATAATCATGCTCGGAGTAACGCACGACGTTTCGTAAGATGTTATGTGTAGTTTGATTCAGATTTTTTTAAATAATACTGGACTGTTGTTTCAGGCCCAAAACAAGGAATCAGGCGTGCTGGCAGCTGCAAAGGTGATTGAGACGAAGAGTGAAGAAGAGCTGGAGGACTACATGGTTGAAATCGAGATATTGGCCCTTTGTGACCACCCTAATATTGTGGGACTCCTCAATGCCTTCTACTATGAAAACAAGCTATGGGTAAGGCTATTTTAGTAGCAGTTGGGTGATCACCTGATTCTTATACAATTTCCTAACCTTATTCCTTTATTTTCATGTTACCAAAGCATAGCTCTGTATTTCAATTGGGGTATATGTGGAATGAACACAAGAAGACATCACACTGCAACTGTCTCAAGAACCTTGATAACATCCCTGCAAATTTTGTCTGGTAGAATCATACATTTCAAAGTAAAACATTAATAACGTCTTATTGTTTTATTAGTTTGAACACATATCAATGATCAAATTAATAATGATGTTTTAGAGCCCTTTTTTTAATCCCCTGCTGGATGAAGACCTGAAGTGGCGAAGTATGGTCAACCCCCCCCCCCATTACTAACGTGACACATCATGTCAGTCATGGGGGTTTTTTGATCATACCATAACTTCTGTTAATTACTGTTTTTTTATCATACCGTAACGTCTACAAAAATATGAAGATCATTTTCACAGCGTTAACAGATTTGTACCACGTTGATCCAAAGCATCAACTCCTCTAAATATGATTTACGCTATAGAAGAGTTGTTTAGGTTTGGTTTACGGAGCACTGAGACGATACGTGTCGATGACGGTTGGGTTTTCGCCAGACTTCATCACTGTTCATTGTGGGATTGGTGAAGAGGGGGGGAGCTGCTTCAGCTATCACTCCCCACTAATGATAGCCTGACTGGGAATTTTACTCGGTTCGCAAATTTCATAGTGCCGTGCACTAACCAAAAAATTGTCATTAAAAATAAAGTGCAGTAATTATTCTTTGTTTTTTTCGGTAAAGTCAACGTACCGAAAAAAAAAAACAAAGAATAATTCCTGCAGTCACGAAAGCTCCAAATTCAAGTTTCAAAGTGCAGTAACACCGCTATGGCAGGACTATATTGTTTTTCAGCCTTTGGCCAGTCTTATCAATGCAGAAGGATGAACTATATATCAGCTGAAGGGAGGGTAGTGCCTGAGAGTCTGGTTAACTTTAATGAGAAGATATTAAATGAACACAGTAACTTAGAAAAATTATACTGTATATGTAATTTGCTGTAATACATTTGTATGCTGTTATGTAAGCTTTTAAACGTGTGGTCCTAAGGTTGATGTATTTGCATAAACAACACGCATACACAACTGAATTCAAATATTTATTACTAGTGTTTTTCCTGTCTAAGCTGTAAGTCATCAATATACATCAACAGTTCAACATGTTACTGCTGGTGTGGTTTACATTTGCACTACTCAAGAGGTTTATCACTGGGTCAGCGATTTGTCACAGTGTTTTAAACATTGTTAGTCTGTGTATCATGTCAGGAAGGCAAAATGCTCTCCCGGGTTTATACAGAATCGCATTGCTAAAAGCTTTTGGCCAAACCCGTTTTTTTGTAATGGCCACATTCTTTCTGTAGTGTTCCCCCGCTATCCTGTTGCTAGGGCTGGTGTGGGGTGTAACACAAGGACTTTATTATGTCTGTTTAAAATGTGCAACCCAGTGTGATGGATATGTTTTTTTTTTACAAGCCTTGTTTCATGGCCTTTATAGAAGCTCTGGTTTTGACTGTAAACAGAATGTCATCCCTCCCTCGCTCATGTATAAAGTGCCTTCATTAATTGTGTGCCAAAAACATAATGAATAGTACCATCCTTATTGTTTTTTTTAATAGACACAACTTCATAACATTGTTGAAATGCTTTCCAGTTAATTTATTGGTTAACAGCTCTTAACATGAGAATGTGTGGATTTTCCTTTTTATTTTCAAATGACATTTTAGTCAGCCATGCAAAAATAAAATCACTAGAGTAATCAGCCACACCCAAATAGGGAAATTTTAAATGTGTGCAACCATGACTACAGATTATAATTTGTTTCTGGGTAAATAACCCTCTGATGTTTACGCCGTATGGAATTTTAATTTTGAGGGGTATAAGCAACATTACATTAAAGTCATGAATATTTTCAATAATGCACACTTATGTGATATTATGCATGAACTAATAGATCCTTACATTTTAACGAAGATCTTTCTTTGATTATAAAGCATTACTTTGCCTTATTATGTAAAAATAAACAATTGATAAACACTACAAAGATGAAAAACACCTGACTGGGTGTTTTACACTCAAAATAATTGAAAAACATTTTATTTCGAAGGAAATAAACTGTAACGTAGTTTAGTGGTACACATTTCTAAATGCAACCTCATGGACCCGAATGATCATGTGACCGCTCCTTCGCTGCACATTCTGCAGTCTTGCTGTAATGTGAACACACGTTGTGCAGTACAATTGCTTTGTGTATTATTACGCATTTAATAAAAATGGAATGCATAATTCACATTTGATAATTGCGTGAAATACTAAGCAACAGCAACACACAGCTTATCTTGAACGCTCTGTAACAATGGAAATATTTTTTTTATTTTGGAATATTTGTGGTTTGACTAATATTAATTATTTGTTTGCTTAACAGATTTTCATTGAATTCTGCCCTGGAGGAGCTGTAGATGCTATTATGCTTGGTGAGTTGTACAGATCCGTTCCATGTTTTACGATGAGATATCACAAAATTATCTTTCTCGCTTTTGGAACTAATTTTTTAAAAATCTGTATTCTTTGTGCATCAGAGCTGGAGCGTGGGTTGGCGGAGCCTCAGATTCGTGTGGTGTGCAAACAGATGCTGGAAGCATTGAACTACTTGCACACTCACCGCATTATCCACAGAGATCTGAAGGCTGGAAACATCCTGCTTACCTTCGAAGGAGATGTAAAACTAGGTGGGCTTGCACCAGTCTAAATGAAGCAGCAGCAACAACAATCAATAGTTTTGTTTTAATCGTTGACAGATTTTGTCAAGGTTGTTTGTCAAGACAATGCATACAAATGAAAACAGTTTTAAGATATTTCGTTAAAATATTACTCATCATTAATTTGGATTACATTCTTATTGCAGCTGACTTTGGGGTATCTGCAAAAAACACAAGAACGTTACAACGCAGAGATTCGTTTATAGGAACCCCATATTGGTGAGTTTTCCCACCATCTGGATTACATTGTTACTATGTATTAGTGTGCATATTCATCTGTAATCACTGGTAAGTTGTGTTCGCATGTCTATTTAATCTATAATTTTGAAATTGTAAACATTGGATCAGGGTTATTCAACTATTTATCTTGGTGGGCCATAAAATAAAATTGGCACGTACTGTGGTGCTGTGTTATTTTAGATAATTATTTGTGTCTGTGCCTACATTTGTTTTAGGATGGCTCCAGAAGTGGTGATGTGTGAAACTATGAAAGACGCACCATATGATTACAAAGCTGACATCTGGTCCTTGGGCATTACTCTCATTGAGCTGGCTCAAATGGAACCACCCAATCATGAACTCAATCCAATGCGAGTCATGCTGAAGATTGCCAAAAACGATCCACCCTCACTTTCCTTCCCATCTAAGTGGTGAGACTAACGTGTTTAACATTGACTTGAATATACTGGAATTTTTGTATCAACATCGATTGTTTTGTTAAAATATAACTTCTCTAATCTGAAAATGTTCTGTGTGTGTTTGTGTGAGTCATAGGAGTTATCTGTTTCCACTGTATAAATAGTGTGTAACTAAGGAGATGCAAACAACACAAGCTTATGAAAAATAATGTACAGAGATTTGATTGTAATCTGTAGCAAACTATGCAGGTCGTCAATGTCGAGCAGTGAGTTTAGTTATGAATACTATTTATCTTTAATATGGGATATATAAACTTGTTTTAGTATGATTAGCACTAATATATTCCACACTTCAAAAGTAACAAAAATCAAAAATGTTTTCAAATTTTAATGTGCACTTGAATGGATTTTTTTGTCTTCATCGTCTATTTTTAGGTCAGCAGAATTCACTGACTTTCTGAAGAAATGTCTTGATAAGAATCCTGAGACAAGATGGAATGCACTCCAGTTATTACAGGTAGATGCTTTGTGGTCACATCATGACATTTTAAAATGAGCATTGCAGGAGCTTACCAAAAAGCATGTCTGTTTTGACTGGAAACTATTTTTAGAAAAATAAAATCACAACATATGTAGTTCGAAGCAAGAACTAATAGCTCAGTAGGTTTTAGTTGTAGGTTATTCATTTATTTTATTGCCTTTAGTATACTTTGCACGCCTATTGTTTTTTTGTATTGTTGTACATTTGTAAGGACAGTACGGGGCAATGTAGGGACAGTACGGCTCCCCGTGGCCATGGTTACTAATTAACATAACAGGAACAGACAGAGTCACGTTAGGGTAATATGGGACCTAAGTGGTAGCTAATAATGATAGATGCCACAAGCTTTGACAGGGTCGCGTGAGGACCTAACCGTCGTAAATTGTAATAAGGGCAGAGACAGGGCCAGGTGCAGTGAGAGAGGGTTCGGGAATAGGGGCGTGGCCAGGTCGTGAGGGGGACAAGAGCCGGTGTGAACCAGGGGTCGGGGCTGCTGTCACCATCATCCTGCAGTGGGCACCTTGTAGTCTTAGAAGGCTAGAGTTATGAGATAAGTTACCCAAGTGTATGTAGTCACTCGCGGTTACTCGTTAAGTCATCAGTGAGTCGGCGGACTTTAGTCATAATAAATATACATATAACTCAACAAAGACGGTGTCTCCGAGAGCTATATTGCACATTTTTGGCCCGCCCCTACTGGACATCCGTGGAAAGAGCTCTGTAGCTCATCGGATTTTTCCAGGATAAATTAGAGTCTGATCATATTTTTGCCAAGCGTATGGTACTGAATTTTGAAGAGCGCCCCCTATCCGTGGAAACAAATACGCTGTGGGATTGTCTTTGTTTCAGCACTCTTTTATTAGCGGTGTGGACAGCAACAAGCCTCTACGGGAGCTGATCGCAGAAGCAAAGGCCGAGGTCATGGAGGAGATTGAGGAAGACAATGAAGAGGAGGAGATGGAGACACCTTCTGTACTTGTTTCTTTTTTGTTTGAATTTTTACGGAAATAACATTCTTACCATTCAGTGTTTTTCATACATGCATTGAGATTTAATAGCGTATTCTTATTTTGCAAGGAGTTTATGCGTAATGTGCATGTAGCTTGTGTACAGCTATATTGACAATGGTGCAAAATCATGAGCTGATAATACTCTTTCACCTTTATAAATACCACGTCATTACAACATTTGTATAAATAAGAAAGAAAACTATGACGATCTCACACACAGTAAACTTGGCAAAGTTACCATATAGTTTTTTCTGATTCCAAGGCACCATTTGTTCATTAAGACACAACAATTAGCTTACTATTTTTTATGCAATTAGTCATTTAGTACACTGATTGTTCTTATCAGTAAGCTGGACATTAGGTTGGTGTGAATTTTATTACAATATTGCTCTCAAAGCCCTTAATTTTTATGTGCGTTTTCTCTGGATACTTCAATATTTACCCACATATTAAACGTTAATGGAATTGGCCAAACATCCCAACTATGGAACCTCCTGAAAAAGTCATGAGACTTGGTGAGGCATTCTTGGGTATATGCAAAGGGCATTATTACGTATTCAGATTATTATTGTATCTCTATTAGATTGCACAAGATCAAGAAGTTCTGCCATGTGGATGTGTTGTTTCCGTGCCTTGACAATGAAGCACACTGAAGTGAATGGTACATTACATGTGCAGCCTAATAGCTGTGTTAGTACAGCAGTACTTGATCATTATAACTATTGTATCACCTAAGAATAGTTAATTCTATTTTTAGCTTAGTTTAAAAGTCATATACTGTATACAAAATTGGATCTTATTTATTTCCATACTATTAAAATTTTCAGTTTCCACGTGAATTTGACCATTGTGATTAATTCATTTGTTTGTTAATGTTTACATTATTTTTTTCCAGCCAGGAACAGGACATAAGCGAGCTCCTTCGGATATCAGTGTGGCAAGCTCCGAGGATGAAAAACTGTCGCAACAATCACCGGTGAGTATATGTAGCTATTCAGATTTTTTGTGTTATGTTACAAGGAAGTGGTCATAGTTTGTATTTATGGAATACAGTCGACCACAGTTTTCAAAGTGAATAAGAGGAAACGATTTAATATACAGTAAAACCTTGGATTGCGAGCATAATTCGTTCCGGAAACGTGTTTGTAATCCAAAGCACTCGTATATCAGTTGTGATCACGTGACGCTCAGCAGACAAAGCGTATGCGTACTACTCGTATTGCAAGACCTCACTCGTTAATCAAATTAATATGTATTTAAAATTTTTGCTCGTCTTGCAAAACACTCGCAGACCAAGTTACTCGCAATCCAAGGTTTTACTGTATGTGGTAAACATAATGCATTTGGATTTGTTGGCTTTTTTTTTACAAAATCTTGTTTTTTTAACTGCAGGTACGGGGATTAGCATCTGTTACTGAAAACAATGAAGAAGAGCAGGAGGCAGCTGAGAAGCCGGAGATTGATGGGGATGGTCAGTTACCAATGGATGAATCTACCACAGTAGACAATGGAATTTCTGAAAAGTCTACAAGTGGCAAGGATCAGCAAGAAAATGGTAAGATTTTTATATATTTTTGGAAAAAGTGGAAATCGTTGTGTTCGGTAATATGAAGCAATGTATATATGCATTCTTTTGTTTTCAAGTAAGGTCTCAATATGACTAACATTGCCATTAACAGAGAATGAAGAGGTGGGTGATGAGACGAGCGAGCGATCGTTGTCAGATGAGGGGATTGGGAGCAGTGAGGGAGAGCGTGCGGAGAGTGATCGGTCTGCAGAGCCTCACGTGTCTGACGAAGATGCAACTCCCATAATGGAACAATCCACAGCAGACCTGGCCTTAGCGGACAAGGTACGGAAAGAGGGTTCTGAGTTAATCATATTTTTCCGTCAAATTTCTTGCATCTTAATTAACGTTTAGTCGTTTCAATATATGCCTCAGTAATTAGTCTGTGATTGGCTTTCTAGGCTGAAAATTCCCTGCCTGAAGCAAATGAGCCTACAGAAGAGCCCAGGATGGATAAAAGCATGCTGAATGACCAACCTGAGTCCTCCATTATAACAGCTTCTGTAACAGAGAACTCTGACAAGCCTGTAAACTTCCAGGAAAGACAAGCTGATGTGCACGAGACGGGCGAAGCCAAAAATATAAAAGTACGATGTTGCATTATAGATTTTTTTATATATGTATGACTACATCAATGTATTTCAAGAGTATTCTTTAAAATCGTGCAATTGCTTCCATTATACATTTCAGATTAGATGCGACCTCTAACTAACAGGTCAACCCAGCACACTTATACATTTCAGGAATAAAAAAATGTGTGTGGGCAAATGTATGCAATAGATAGTACACTTCTCGTGGAATATTAGCATTGATAAAACAGGACACTACACCAATGTCTGACATGTAATATTATTTTGTACCATTAAATCTAATCATTATAATGCACGTTCAGTGTTCCTTGATTTAGAGTGCAAATCTGATCTAAGGCTCTTGTTTAGTTAATGCTTGTCAGAATGTGGGTGTGTAACTTACGTTTTTATCTTTTGTTTACACAGGGAACAGAACTTCCAGAGTCTCCGTCTCTTTTATCAACTGGCAGTGAGCGGAGGGATAAAGAGCGAGACTCAGACTCTGGAAGTCTGTCCATGTCAGACAGCACCAGTGGAGATCTCAACCTCTCCATTTCGGCCACCATTACCCGCAATCGAGAAACGGGCTCAATATCGATCCAGGCAAGGCCCCTAATACTGTGGTTATTAAGTGAACGTAATGAAAAAAATGTCATGTATAAAACTCATTGCGTGCTCATTCACGAATGACGGATATGTAATGAAGATAGGAAAGTTATTTCAAATATCTCAGGAACAGACATAAAGTATTTCTCAATGTAAAATATTCTTTATTTGTCCCATTGTCTATGGGCTGTCTGAGCTGATGGTTTCCAGCAGAATTTATTGAAGCAGGTAAACATTTTACATGAATAAATGGCATTGTCTGTTGGTTATATACTAAAAAACACTTTAATTCTCATCTATTTAATAATGCCATTTGTTGCTTGATGTTTTGGGCCTCTGAGCCTGTGTTCAGCAACTGTTTAAAAAATATTTTCAAACATTTATGGGTCTAATGCAGGCAAATTCGTTTTTAATGTGCAATTATAGTTAAACTATTAGTTGAACCTTTTTTCAGGAGTCGCACAAACAGAAAAAGACGCTCAAGAGGACAAGAAAGTTTATTGTTGATGGAGTGGAGGTTAGTGTGACAACAAACAAAATAATGAATGAAGATGAGAAGAAGGATGAAGATTTAAGATTCCTAAGGTAAGCTATGATGATGGTCCAAAAACAATTACTGGAGAACTGTACTTCTTGTGTATTTATTACCGTGATACAATGCACACCCGCAATACTAATTCGTGCTTGGCTGTGTTGTTAAAAAGTAATGTATTGATAGTCCTGAGGCACCAAATGGATGGGTTCTGCTTGACTGCACTTTTAATCTAGTTATTGGATTTTTAAAAAAAAATTGTTACCGTCAGCAAAGCTTGGATGGAAGTCTAATGTAACTTGGGTTAACGCCGTTGGCTCGTGCCTGTGTGCATTCACAATGAAGGCGACAGGAGCTGAGAGAATTGCGGCTGCTTCAGAAGGAGGAGCAGCGCTCCCAGGCCTTGCTCAACGGAAAACTGATGCAGCAGCGTGACCTCACCATTCGTCGCTTCGAGACGGAGATGTCCGTGAGTGCAGCGTGCGGTTTCAGTCGAAGAAAAGCCTTTTGTCATCCACAATCCATGAGCGGGGCTGACTTAAAAATGCAATGTTATTTACATTCATGGCTTCTGTTTTGGTGGCAGGCGAAACGTCGCTACTTCGATGGGGAAATTGAGAAACTGGAACGGGAGCAGAAGCAGCGCATCGAGAAGATGGAGCAGGAGCACACGGCTCACCTACGTGAGGAGGCCAAACGCATCAAAGCAGAGCAGGACCGGGATCTTGCCAAGTTTCATGAGACACAGAAGCATCGCAAGAAGGAGGTAAGCAGACCCCAAACTGGACCGCGTGCATAATGTGTTGAGTGCAAATGCAGCTGGGTCAAACAGAATTAGATTAGATTATTTGCAATCAGTAAGTGTTGGTTTTAGTATCTCGTTAAAGGTTTGTAAAAACACGTTTGTGTTTACGTTGAGAGGTTTTAAATTATCGCGATTTAATATAACTTTAAGCTTTGTTTTTGACAATTGTTAAGTGAAGCACGTAATTTAATCTGCACGTAACCCATGTGGTTTAGGCTCCTGTTTCACACTTATTATTTACAATAATAGCGGGGTACCACGGTGGTGAGATGGTAACTCCTTCACCTGGTATGCTAAGGAGTTACGTATGGTGCGAAAGAAGTTCTACATACATACAGGTCGCGGGGTTTGATCCAGACCTTGATGCCTGTATATTTAGATTTTGTATGTTTTCCCTGTGGTCGTGTGGATTTTTCGCTGGGTCCTCCGGTTTTTCCCTCCACCTTCAGAAACATGCGTTTTAGAGTATTTGGCGGCTATAGATTTCCACATGATAAGCTGCCACTTTGTTGAGCTATCATTTGTGGCCAGACCGCTTCTGAAAAAGAGCCATATAGCTAAGTGGGCCTTAACTGGTAAGATAAAAATAGGTGTAGAAAACAGTAGAAATTATGTGCGTGTTTCTTTGTGGTGTGTCCTTATTGCGTACTGAATTTATGCATGTCGTGTTTTCTCCTAGTCTCAACCAGTATTTTCTTTCCTTTAACAAAAAAAAAATCCATTAAAAATACTTTGAATAAATATATTTTCCCCATTGTGCTTCAAGTGGAACCACTTCAAACCACTTGGCATGCTGGTTTGGTTTGGTTTAATTTTGGTGTGAAGTGTGTACCCTACTCCTGTCCACTTGTCCTTCCCCCTTTTCCGTAATGCATGATTTAGGTTAAGAGCGAGGTGGAAAAACTGCCCAAATCAGTGCGAAAGGATGCACTGAAAAGAAAGAAGGAAGAGCTTGTGCAGACACAGCAGAATGAGGTAAAGAATATGCTGATATTAAAATAATGCCAGTTAGACAAGCCACAAGAAAACTATTCAAATTTAAATAGTATCTGCTGTGTATGTTTATGCTTTCATAGCATGCATCACAAGCAGTACCTTCTGCTTCCCACCTCGTTCATCCTATTTCCTATTACTGCGGTTTGGTTTTGCTGTGTGACAATGTGGTATGAACCATAAATGAACTGAGCCCAGGGTTTAGTGCACACAAATAGAACATTGACATTTACAGGATGTCGCGCAAGCTGTGGTGAAGTCGTACCACATTTCCTCCAGCATTCTCATCGGTCTTCAGTCGAGAGATGTAAGAACCAGGCGTGTGTAGACTTGATTGGAATTTTGTCTGATAGAATTTGCAGTGTTTGCAGTGCAGGAACCGAAAACTTTTTTGATTGCAGTGAAACTTGATTCCATATAATGAGCAACTGGGTTGGATTACTGTTCAATGGTAAATGAGCTTGCAAAATCATATAATTTAATTTGAAACCTGATCAATTTTGAACACATATTTGTATGTGTGTGTAAATGTTGCATGCTGATGGTTTGCAGTACATTTTTAAAAGTTATCGTGATTGAGTGTTTACATTTTTACATTAAATATATAATTGTGATCAAACCTTGATGCTGTGGCCCTTTAAGGAACAAGAGTTCATCAGCAAACAGCAGCATGATCTCGACGGATCCCTTAAGAAACTGATTCAGCAGCACAAGCAGGAGGTTGCTGATGTCGAAAGGGAATTCCTCAACAGCAAACAACAGCTGTTGAGAGGTAGAATGGCCTCCGACGTACACCCGTTGCACATTCACAAACTGCATGGCATTCCTGTGTATCCAAATACCGTATGTTGTACAACTCTTACTGCGTATGATATAACATTTGTCTGTGTGTGCACGACAGAAAAAGAAGCTTCAATCTGGGAGTTGGAGGAAAGACACCTGCATGAGAAACACCAATTATTTAAACAGCAACTAAAAGACCAATATTTCCTTCAGAGGCACCAGTTGCTAAAGAGGCATGAAAAGGTATGGCAGACTCTCCAGAAACTATAAACGTAATGAATCAACGATGCGATTGTCAAAGACTACATGGACATTTATATTTGGTCTTCTTTCCAATGTAACATGACTGACATTGTTTATGAATTTTTACACTTTGACTTAATATTGTCAAATATTTTGTAGAACAGTTTAAAGTAAGTGATTTCCTTCTGCAGCTCACCCCAATGCTTGTTTATCTACACTTTATAACCCCTAAGTCAATGGTGGAAATTCCTCATTCTTATGGCAGGGACAAATAATTCTATAGATAACTACTGTTGACTTGTAAAAGTGATAGTTTACTAACCCAGTGGGTTTAAGAACAGATTCAACTTCTCACAATGATTTGAGTTTGCTACCTGCATTTTGTAAATTGTACAGCTAATCTTTGTTATCACCTGTATGGAGCATGTTATGATCCAAGATATTTATTTTCAACGTATGCCATTTGAAGTGTTCCTTTGGCCTTCACGTCGTATTTTGCAGCTGGTAGAAATTGTCATCTACTCGTCTAGGTGTCCATGGATGGCTTTCTTTATTACGTATGTGCGCGCCTTTTGTGTACAAAGGAGCTGGAGCAAATGCAGCGCTATTCTCAGCGCATGCTGGAGGACCTGAAGGCCCGGCAGGCCCAGGAGCGAGCACGCCTTCCGAAGATCCAGCGCGGGGAGGCGAAGACGCGAATGACCATGTACAAAAAGAGTCTTCGCATCAACCCCATTGGTTCTCCAGAGCAAGATCGTGAAAGAATCAAACAGGTTTTTAAAAAATGTCAACAATTAACTGGTCGTCTGTTGCCTTGTAAATTGTACGGTTGGCAGCATCTTGTTGGTTGATTTTATGATTGATGTTTTTTGTCGTAGTTTGCCCAGCAAGAGGAGAAGAGGCAGAAAGCCGAGAAGCAACAGCAAGCGCAGAAGCACGAAAACCAGATGAGAGATCTGCAGATGCAGTGTGATGCTAATATACGTGAACTTCAGCAGTTACAGGTATCCTATATTTTATTTACTCGTGAGAAGCTTAATATTTAACGATGAAATCACATTTTTTTCCTATACTACCCTTCAAAAACATTTTTTGGTGATGTGCCCTCTAAATTTCCCACTGTATTTTTTACAGTCCCTTACATTGTTATATAAATTGGTTACAATTTGGGAAATGGCCCTTCTACCATGTGCTACGAGGAATTTCCATTTGAAACGTCACCAATGATATATATTTATTTTAAGACAGTTTTATTGACCAAATGGAATTTTGTCATTGTGGACTGCTGCCAATGCTGCAGCACCACCAAATAATTAGTTATTTTAAACATTACGCAAAAGTCATGTTTTATAAACGCGGCAAATAATATAGCTCGTCTGAGATGGGGCACCCCTAACTGTAACCGACATGTCCCTCTAGCCATCCGAGTACACTTTTTCCCAGCTTGTCTTGAGATGGGCACTACCACTCTGGCCTTCTTCGTCATCGCTTCATTTCTGACCCGATCTAAATTAAAAACTATTTTCTTTAGAACTCCTTGTTTGTTGTCCTTCCCCCGCACACTCCGATTAACACGGTTGGCTACGTACGGTCCGAAATGAGTTCAACAACATACACACATGGGTACGTATGATCCGGTTTAATTTTGCTTGTGGTTTAGAATGAGAAGTGTCACCTACTGGTGGAGCATGAGACCATGAAGTTGAAGGAGCTGGATGAGCAGCACACCCAGGAGCTGAAGACGTGGCGTGACAAGCTTCGCCCACGCAAGCAGGTGGAGCTTGCACACACTCGCGTGCAGATGTTTGTCTCGTGTTACGGTATTCAATCATAAAGACGTTTAATGCTTTCGTCGACCTGACCACGTTACCTAACCTGCCAATGCCATGCCGCTCCGTAGGCACTGGAGGAGGAGTTCGCACGAAAGCGGCAAGAGCAGGAGATGTTTTTTGCCACGAGTGGCGAATCGGAGTGCTTGAACCCCAGTGCCCCCAGCCGCATCGCCAAGTTCTACCCGGTCACGACCTCCCAGTCAACTGGCTTCTGAAGATTTTTCCGCTGGCTGTTGACACTGGAATGCAGATGCTTACTAATTTAAAATCATATTTTTTTTGTACTTGCAGAACATTTATCACACAAAAAGCCTTGTGTAAACTGTGATTGTTGACTTGGATAACATTGTAGCAAACTGTTAATCGTACCATTATTTTTTTACTTCAATTATATTAGTCTACATTTTAAAATGTGTCATAATCTTGGTTTCAAAGTGAACACTTGGAAAATGTTGTAGTTTGACATTGGTCAATTGGTAAACAAAATATAGGACAGTGTAGCACCTCCAATTCATAACCACATTGGAAATATCAAAACACATTACACACGTTATTGTTTTATGTAATTTTCAGAAATTTCAAGGTTGTGATATTAAAATAATTGAACATTATTTGACGGGCTTATTTTACAAAACCACAGTAATGCATTCCTAACTTTTCAACCAGATGTGGCATTGTTTACTCTTGATTGCAGTTAAGCTTTTAACAGTTGTTTGTTTCTAGATGCGAATTATAAAACTATACCCTCTCACCTGAACCTTGCTTTGAAATCCCCTCCCAAAGTGGTCATAGCTATACCCTGACAATTCAAATGAGCCAATAGAAAATGCATAATCTATGCTAGGAATAATGGACAGGATGGAACTTTACTACAAGGTTTGGGTGGCATAGGCTTGAGCAGCAAATTTTTGACGTAATTTGTAAAGCGAAATAAATGACATCAAGGGACAGTATTAAAAGCACATGGAAGCATAGTGTAAAAGGGACCACGATGTATGCTGTGCAGACTATAGTCATGGATGGTGGCGAATTGATTTTATTTGACGCGGTCAAGGAATATTCAGCCCGATTGCCGATGTCCGTAACGAGTTTTCACAGAGTGGTTTTTAACACCAAATTTCACCAGATCACTTAAGCACTTTCCCCTCCCCATCAAGCTTTAGCCAGATAGTATTATGCAGCAGCGACTTTTCGGGTGAATGCAAATATTATTCATATGAATGCTATATATGGATGGATAGATGCGCAACTTGAAAAAAAGTGAAAGCAATAGAAATCTACGTTGCATAGATGTAACAAACAAGCTTATATTTTTTTGTAACAAAAACGTGTACAAAATATACCGTCCTCTATATAGCGTTTGATGTAGCTCATAGTGCATATGCTATAAATTACAACATGTTGCCGTGGAGTTTTGATAAACCTGTGGACTTGTAACATGGCTTGCTAAATGTGTATGAAACATTAGAATTTGCATGTTTGAACTGTTTCTCTTTTTGATTTTGATGCTGCTTCTGGAGGACAAAGATCGTGTCCGGATAATATTTTTGAAAGTTTTATTTAAAAGGGTGCCGTAAAACGTATCGAGTGACAAAGTTGACATTAAACAGTATTTTTTCACGTACAGTTCAGATTGTTATTTTACCGTGCCCTTTTAAAGACTCATTCAGAGTGAAGGCAGCCTGATAAAAATGTGCTCTGAAGCCGCTGGTATGTGTAGGAGTGTAGCATGCGGCAGTAGGAAAGCTGTTAATACCCCTCCACCCTCCCATCTCATGTTGTGACGTGATTTAAAAGTTGGAAAATAGGCGCCCTTGTATTCGAAGGAAAACAAGCTGCGTTATACTACTGTAAATGGTTGTGGACAGTTGACACCTTTAATTCTCTAAAAACTGCCCATTTTGCTACTGTTATTTTCTCGAGTACTTGAATGGGTTGTGTGCCTAGTCCCGTTTTTCTTTATGCACGTGCACGGAATATCTTGTCGATAACAGTGTCATGCTGAACGCAGTTAAGCTTAGGATGGGCTGTGTTTGGACAGATGCTTCGTCCATAATGCTTTTTTTGGCCATCAAGCATGAAGTTGAAAGCAAAGGTAGAAGTTTCTCAACTCAAGGCATTCAAATAGACACTTCATGTTCCCTACTTGTGAACAATCTTAGAGTTTGGTTCACAATATTCATTGCTTGGAAGTGCCTCTTTAATAGGACCTCATGACCTCAATGCAATTTAATTTAATGTTAAGGCCTTAAAGATGAGGTTGAAAGGATAACATGTCTTATTAAAGCCCCACTTGAGGTATCTGAGCATGGCAAGTGAATAATTTGAGTGCGTAACTGTTGTCAGGGAAATGGAAAGCTGTTGTCAAAATCCTACAGCCACACTTTGAAGCCACAATACCGAAGAGAACACTTTACAGTAGTCTAACCTGTATGTTTGACTTCTCATTTGCAGTCAATAAAATGCAATGTTTGTAGTGATGTATTCTACCTCTTTTGTGTGTTTACTATAACAAAAAGTTGGCTTAATTTTCTCTGAATTAAGATAGGTAATATTTTGCAGTACAATTACAAACGTTTCAATCCAACTCCATGTTTCATCAGTGATGTTGCCCTCAAACTCCCAGCCTCATTGTCCTGACTCCTTGCTGGATGCTGATCTCATTGGAAGCAGTTATAATGAATAAAATACAGCCCCTCTACATCCACCAATGGTTGATGGCCAACTTCAAGCCGTGTTGGTCAATGGGTGTTTTTTGTTTTGTTTAACCACACTTCAAGCTGGTCAGTGTGGGTTTGTAAAGGCAAGGGCAGGACTTTTGATGTCACGTGTTAGGTGTGGCCAGGAATCTAACTGCTCCTTGGGTTCATCGAGGGCAGCGCGCTAACTATTGTACCACAATACACGGTTCTCGCCACAAGCGGATACAACTCGAGGGTTTGCATCCCTGACTTTAGTAATATTCCACTGATTTGATCAATTTATCCTGATTGTTTTAAAAGTGTTACTTTAATGTACCTAGTGTTATAAGTTTATCACACTGTCAAACAATGGCAAGGTTATGTTCGTAGTAAACCAGAGGGAGAAACGGAAGGCCACATTAAAAAAAATGATTAAGAGTGTTCGGAAGAGGGACTTGGAATAAAATATGCACATGTTAGGAGTGGCTGGGGCTCATTTGTATGTTTTTTAAGGCTGGAGTGATATGACAATTATATTGGATTGGTTTCAACAAAATGCTATTCTAATTGGTTCAAACATTTTTTTATATGTAATTGCAATGTAAGCATTAATGCGTAACAATACACCCTCCTTATTTGACTTGGGCATTCACATGTTTACAGGCATGCATGTACAAAAGGAAGAAAAAAGTCCCTTAACTACGATGTATGTACACGTCTTGAATTATGTTAGTAAATTGTGTTATAGCGCGATGCTTCTCTTCCGTCTGTATGGAGAGTCACCTGTACAGAAAAAGTAAGCAAATGGTAAACAACACATGTTTAACACATGCGCTTTCACGATCAACATCCATAAGAGGTTTTTTTTGGGTTAGATCACGTAAATATGAAATATATCATTAAACCTGCCACCACCCGACGGCCAAACAGTAAGGTTTGTTACGTAAACAATTCTGGCTATCGCCTGATGAAGCTGGTTGTAATTACCAGCGAAAAGTCGTACTCAAATTGTAAATGTTGTGGGTTTACTTTCCAACACACCAGTGTGCTGATCTCGTAACGATTAGGCATGTTATGTTTACTTGACACACTTTACTGATTGGCTGTGTCAGGTTTAACGATATTCATATTTACGCGATAAAATCCACACAACCTCCATTGTGGATAACACACAGATGAATTAGGGTGAAAAGGAGGGTTTGCAAGATCCCAAAGCCCAACTCGCACTGATGTTTATGAATATTTTCTTTCAAGGATGGAGACATACAGAACCCTGTGCAAGTCATCTAAATAAATAATCACCTCTGTCTCCTTTGGGTCCTGCAGGTCCCTCTTGACCAGTTGCCCCTAGACAAGAAATTGCATGCTTTCAAAAAAAACTTACGTTCCAAATAATTTTTTTCAACCAAAAAGGATTTGTTTTGCACAATTTATGACCAATGTGCCTCAAAACGGGGCAAAATTGGTCCAAATTTCACTTGTATTAACATGCTGCGATGAACGTCGGTCTAGAGAGCCAATAGGGAAAGAGACAAAAACTTAACTTGACGTGGTATGCACAACACATTAATTTAATTTCATGAGAAATTCTGCGAGCCCATTATCGGTTAAAACACCCAACGGTAAGGCCGGAGATTCACTTATTCACCACTGAGAGTGCTCTCAGTGCACATAAGCGTTGCTGGTTCACGTACCGGGAACTCCTGCTGCACCTGGAATGCCCGGCTCCCCTGCATGGACAAGAGGCCATCTTAGTCACACACTCTCAGAAAACCTTAAAGGGCACTGTAAACATTGAAAACTTCACATTCCACTCTGGAAGTGGTGGCAGCGCATGGATGGACACGAGAAGCCGGGGCAGTTTACCTTTCTGTCCCTTCAAGCCAAAACCGCCATCTTCTGATCTCTCCCCAGGTGGCCCAGGTGGCCCAGGTGGCCCAGGTGGCCCTACAAACCTCGCAAAGGCTGGATTTTTGTTGGGGGGCGGGCGGGCGGGCGGGCGGGGGGGGGGTCGTTAAAATGTTTCAATATACAACTTTGGCTTTGCACAAATATTAATGAAGTATTATGAAGTGTCAACCTAAGCATATACAGATACATACTTTAGATGAGATTGTTTGATGCTTTGCAAATGTTGACACCCCCCCCCCTCCCACATTTTCTACTTCACCCACCTCCGATAGGGAGGGTGGAACCAGGTACACCTGGAGACCCTGCAGGGCCAGGGAGCCCTGGAGCACCCAATGGTCCTGGAGGCCCTCCTGAAGAAATATAACCAAATTCATATTCTTTGGGTCTTTCGGTAAAGTCACGTAGATAGGTTCAAAGAAAATTTAAAAAAACTACGACATTTCGATCACAACACAAGCGTTCGTCATCAGGAACCTATCTACGTGACTTTACCAAAAAATCCAAAGAATATGAATCCCTGCCGTCACGAAAGAAATATAACCAAGTGTTGTTACAACACTGGGTCAATCATGATCATCAGCCATGATCAATCCACTGCCGGATAAAGGCCGTCTCTCGTGAGTCCTGCGTAGTTTCAATCCACGCAAGCACCCACACACGAGCGGATTTCATCGCTCCGTATCTGCAGTGGGGCAACTTCTCCGGAGTGTTTCCTATCCTTGGCTGTCGCACTGTCGTTCGTGCCGATCGTAGGCCATCACCCCTTCTCGCTATGACGTGTCTCCTGCCCAAACCCACTTTGCTTACCAATCAAAAAGATATCTGGCTAATCAATGTTCCTAATTGCATTACGCAACATAATTCCAAGCATACATCTCTTCACGCATCTTTGTGCACTTTTCAGTTTGTTCCATTTTATTTGTGGTAAAGGGGCAGCCCTGCAATTGCTTGGTCTTCCACGTCGACAAAACGTGTTGGAAGAGGTGGCCGTACCCACACTTTACCCCACCACACGTGACCTGCCGATCGATGAACTGTGGCGAACCCATTTACATTGCAGGCTGGGCACAGGCGGAGTGCGGAGAGGTGAAGGGTTCATTAAAAAAACACTTTCATTGCTTCAACTGCCACGCCAAACTATGGAATTGAACCGGCGTGCCAACCATTACACCACGGCGGCTCCACGTGACAGGTAACGTGCAATGAAATCGAATAAAACTCTGCCTTGTTCTGGCGCGGGTTGACAGTCTTAATGACTCGAGATCAGGCGTACGCATACTGAGTGGAGAGTGCGTGCGTTGACACACACACACACACACCTGCTGGTCCCGGTGCGCCAGGAGGTCCTGGTGGCCCAGGAATTCCCACAACACCGCCACCACGCCCTGGTCCATTCTCTGCGCGAGAGAAAACGTTTCGCGATATCGGCACACTGCAAAGAAATACATGGCCGAATATCGGATGTAACTTTCCCTCCGAAAATCACCGCTTCGTTTATACCGCATCCCTCGCTCAACCCCACTCATCGACTCCAAATTAGGGGCTACGACCGACCAACCGACTGATGCATCTCCGCAGTCTCGCTCTATCCGTCTGGAACTCCATTCCCCCCCTCCTTGCATACGAAGCATTCGGTCTTCATCCACAATCAAGGAGCGTCTAAAACCGCACACCGGTTTCCACGGAGGTCAACCAGTTGGGCCCAAGTTGGGCCACCACACCTTCAGGTCGCACTCGAATTTAATCGCCCGTTTGCAGAATCAATGCGTCTGTTATGAATAGTCTGTTATTGTCCAAAATGGACGGTGATCGTATTACTAGGGATTAACTCCATCTCGTTTCTCTAAAACTTTTTTTGTGTTTAGTTTGTTGTCCTTCCCTCACACCTCCAATTAGCACGGTCGGTTATGTACAGTGTGATAGAAGTTCAACATACATAAGATGTAGAGGTTGTGCACTCAAAAGTTGGATTGGTGGCAGGAAGGAGGGGGACTTAAAAGAGAAAAAGATAGGCCTACAAGGAGCGATCGACATGACGAGAGTAAGGAACGAGTGGAAGAAGTTTGCCAGTCTCATCGTCAACCGCAACTGCCAGAAGGGAAAAGCGAGATAGACAGGAATCTTTGATCTGAGCTTTTAATTCTACTCTGCAGGCTTTCGTGGTTGTATAGCTCTTACATTTGGAATTCCATTCAACTCCCGAAGAAGCTCCCACAGCACGTGGAACAAAACGTTGGGCCATCACACCGAACGTGATGTGGTCAAACCTCGAAAACAAATCCCAGAGCTATGGCAAACTTTTAATCATTCAAATTTTCCGACGCGTGTGTTTGACACGCAGGCGAAACAGCAGTCGCGGACTCACGAGCACCAGCCCGCCCTGGGATTCCTGGAGCTCCGGGCACGCCGGGTTCTCCGCCTTCGCCTGGAAGATGAAGTCGACAAAAAAATGTGTGAGCTCGCCTTCAAAGGTCATAAAGACACACTTTTAAAAAGGATAATTAAACAAAAAAAAACTCCCATAGGTGTCAGCGATCTGCAGAATCTTGTGGAATTATGGCGGGAGGCTTGCCTTTCTCGCCCGGTGTTCCAGGGCTTCCAGGTGGGCCCATAGGGCCGGGTTCGCCAGGTTGGCCAGTGGCGCCGTATTCCCCGGGTGGGCCGGGATCTCCTGGGTAGCCTGGCTGACCAGGAGACCCAGGTGGGCCTGGCTCTGTGGGGTTGTGTAAAAAAGAAAACCAGAAAAGAGAATAAAAATCACTGCATGCACTGTATTCTCCAGATTATAAGAAGCACTCTTTCCCCCCTGTAATTTAAAGCAAATGTTGGGGGTATGTCTTATAACCTGGAGAATACATTGCCTTCCAGAAGACGTGCTTTCATCTAGTTTATCAGAATTTTTTTTTTCACAATATGGTTCTCAATATAAATACATCACCGCACAGAGGAAAGAAGACCATCACCAGGAGACGGCTCTCCATCCTACAGTGTTCTCCCAATTATAAAACACAAAATTACCACAAAGTGTATGGCGCATTTTATTTTCTGGAGCACCTTATAATGTCAAGAACGTGGTGAGTATTAAAATATTGAGTATTCAGGAAGCAAAAGGTGATGTTCTCACCTCGGCTTGGTTCTCCTGGCTGGCCTGGATATCCAGTGTCGCCTGAAATCACACAAACCCAGCAACAGTTGTGAGCAACGGAAATCCTTCATCAATTGCGGTGATGTAGAGAATCTCAGAATGCTCTGATGGCTCGACAGTCGAGGAACTCTGACTGCGGGACGTATATGGGATAAGTGCAATGCAAATACAAAATGATTCGCTCACCAATATCTCCTTTTGGCCCAGGTGGACCCAATGGCCCATCCAGTCCTGAAGAATTAAGAGACATTTTAGGCTCGTGGTTTAATTTCCTCCACTCTCCCCCCACCCCCACATATTTTTTTGCAAACTGTGGACTTATTGTGTCGTGAATTAGTTTCAGCCGGACACGGAGAGATTAACATATTCTGTTTATACAAGCATGTCAGCGTTGTGTGGACCATCACGAAGAAGAGGCATGTAACGATCTACCCCCTTCACGGTTCACTGAATCGTTATGACCTGAGGTTAAGATTAAATTCCACGTGGGACTCATCTACACGTACTCACCAGTCCCTAAGTTGCATAGCTTCTGAAATAAGAGAGAATTGGGCTACAAGGTTGCCACACTGCTCCAAGCCGGGTAGCAGAGTCTCTGTGTCTATCGAGTTTGTTTTTTGTTCCACATGACCGAAGATGATGCTGACAACGGCATCGCCACTTTCGCGTGTGACTGTGGCTCCGAAGAGTAAATTGCATGAGCGGCACTCTTTCTGCCGCTGCCACAGTAGAGTTTTTGGTGCAAGACGGTGCTGTTGACTCGTGTCCTCATCAGGTCAGGCCACGTGGCGAATCGCGGCGGTGATGTCTCCGTGCCAACCTGCCCACCTGGTGGTCCAGCAAAGCCTGGGATTCCGGGTGGACCGGGCTCTCCTGGTGGCCCTTGACCCACGTTACCTGTGCACACAATCGAACGGCTCGCAGTTTACACAACCCCCAGCGACAGCGAGCACGCCAAGGGAATGCGCGGCAAAATCCTTTTTTTATTCTGTCAAAGTTGCCTAGCACAGGGCTGGAGGTTCAAAAATTCCGAGCAGCCAGCAACAGACGGCACGACTAAAAGGGACAATGGCTGAGAGTTTAATGCGTCAAACAGCAGGAGGGTAGAAGCGGAAAGAGAAGTGTTGAGACCTGCAGTGCGCTGGCAGAGCACAGCGGCGAAGAGATGAACCAGTCAGTGCGGTACACGGGGTCCTCACGTCAGCCATACAAAGAAGAAGAAGACTGAGTCCTCAACATAGGTGGAGGAATCAACGATTGAAGTTCATGGGAACAGTAACCACTGTAGTCGTAGTATTTGTGTTAGAAGAATAAAAGGAAGATGACCGATTGCAAGTGAGCAGTGAATTAGTGAGCGGTTGGTTTATCAATAATAAGCTGTAGGCTGCTTGAGCAGAATGGCTGTTACGACCTTGCCGCCCTTGTTGTTATAGTTTTTGTAGCCATTTATGGCGGGGGGAAATTCTTTAGGTTAGCTTCTCTTACATCGCGGCAAGAGCTCCTGTGTTCTTTCAAATGAACTTTGAATGTCTCAAATGTCCCGTCAATGATTTCAGCTGAAATCCTAAGGCATTCCAAAGGCTTGTAAATGCCATACCTAGGTAACTCGATGCCAAAGTGACTATTGATGCTGGGAATCTCAAACAGCATCTGGTCCTGAGACCGAAGAGGACTGGGCAGGTCGACCCCTGTAGTAAATATTTCACAAAGGTAGGCAGGGGTGACCCCGTGGCAAACCAGGAATGCTAACACCAACAACTTTAATTGAACTCAGTGTCGCTGCCCAAAGACGTAACGTCACCTTCTAACAACGACGCGGCTACGAATTGGGACAATGCCCTCATGATGGACCGGACTGTGTGTTACACCTTCACTGTGGTGATTTGCTTCATACATCGACAAACATGCAAAATGCCGGCAAAATTTTGAAAGTGCATGCCCAGTTTGTGTGTGTGTATGCTGAACTTCTTTCGCACCGTACGTAGCCAACTGTGCTCATCGGAGGTTAGAGGTCCGCGCCATGACAGCAGTTTAGTCACCAGTGCCTTTAGGAATCGTTGTGAGTGTGAGCAAGAAGGTATTTGATCATTTTCATATTTTGTTGATATTCTAGTGTTGCCAGGAACAAACTCGTAGGAACGACAGTGACTCCCGGCACTGCTGGGGGAGATGCGGGACTGACCAGGATTGCCGACTGAACCTGGGAGACCGGGCAGCCCCTGCTCCCCAGGTTTCCCGTCATTTCCTGGAGGCCCCATCGGCCCTGGTGGTCCAGTGACGTAGTCGCCTAACGGGCAGGAGAACACTCTTGTAATTAACTCGAGATCATTATCATCATCATCATCAACCACGAGCAGTCCACTGTTGAAGGCCTTCCCATATCACAATCAACACGAGCTCGATTCATAGCTCCATCTCTGCTCTGGATTGTCCTATCGAGCAGTCTCGCGCGAGTGATTGGACTCCGTACGTCTTTAGCTAAAGGAATTGATCGGTAAACAAAATGCATGCTGACGAGGCTGATCTCGCGCAGCCCAAATTGCGGCGTGCGTTTTTTCCCCCCAAATGTTCAAATGCGCTGATGAGTCAACATGAGAGTGGTTCAAGCTTACCCTTGGGTCCAGGTGGTCCTATCAATCCGGGAGGGCCAACTGAGCCCGCACCTGAAGGTGATAAATGGTACACGTAGGGTTTTTTATGAACGCGGTCAACCCTTCATTCACCAGGGTAACCGGGACCAAAGGACAAGGTTTGGTCCCCCATGCCGTTTGTGTTTTACCCAGGATAGCCCGGGATAGTGCAGATTTCAACAAAACACAGATAATGCAAAAAAAAAAACCAAGCATTGGTCACCTACGTGCAAAGGGGGTGAAGATGTAGGATGCATCGTCTGTGTTTGTCGCTTCTTAAAAGTGATCGTCTTTACTCGCCCAAGTGTACGCCGTCCCCCGTGGAAATGTTCACAAACAATGACCCTCGACAAAGCGATGAGCAGCTGATAATAGAACCGACCGCGCGTAAAAACGTTTCTTATTATACAAGTGGGGGTTCATCCTCACCCCCGGATAATCTGCCCACAGGATAATGGAGAGCTAACTGCGCAAAGTGTTGTGATGTTTGGTATCTTAGGCATACGCAATAATGATTTCAAGAGTGATTGTATTTTATTGCGAAGCAGCGCAACAAAATCAAGTGTCACCTGGAGGACCTGGGGGGCCCGGAGGGCCTGGTGATCCGCGTGGCCCCTGAACATCTGATCCTGCAACACAGCGAAGCGTCACACAACGTCCCTCCGAAGTGGCTGAAAGAATTATGGAAGTAACGATTACAGATCATATACTAGTGTGGTATGAATTTGTTCGATGTACAGGGTGGTCGAGATGTCTTGTTTACCCACATTTAATTATCTAAAACTTCATATTTTTAAGTAACGTTTATGCAAAACAAAAATGAATATACAATAGAAAAAAAAAGTTAGGGGTCAATTAATTGGGGATCACAAGACATCTGGACCACGCTCTACAAGTGGCAAAACCATACACACGAATCGAAGCAAAATTATTCTCACGCGCACGATTCGACGCGTCAATCATGAGCGCAATCATAATTTTTTTCTCCGTGTGTCCCCAACCCCTCCGCAAACCCACCAATGTTACACCGACAGTGCCGTCGGCATGACGGCACTAGACGAATACTCCCACGATGAACTTGAGCAGCGCATCGCCCCCCCCGTGTGTGTGTGTGTGTCAGAGACCGGTTTGCACAGGGAGAATGTCACACGGCGGAGGACTTTCTCCACCGTCACATCCCTCCTGCAAACAACGGCTGCGACTGCATCGTCCGTGCAACGCGTGCTACCACGCCAAAGATTGGAGCAACGCCTCGCGGCGACTAAACCAGGAGACTCGCGGTGCACGGGAGGAGAGCGGTCGAATGTTTTGAATGCAGTGCTCCGCAGGTGTCACCTGAGCCCGATAACCCATCTCTGCCTTGAGGCCCAGCAGGGCCAGGGGGTCCGGGAAGTCCCGGGGGTCCCGGGATGCCTTGCACCTCTGTGGGATCGAGGAACATCTCCATTGGCTGCACATAAGCGGGTGAAAGTTATTCTTTGCGTGGCTGTAACGTTATACATGCCTTTAAGTTTGAACGAGTGAAAGAAGTGAAACTCCTCTGGTTACCGATTAAAAAAAAAAAAACTCCTCTCCACCGTGAAGGAGAGGACGTTTAAGCGACACGACTCCTCCAATCTATGAAAACGTGGCAGATTTTAGGAGCTATATATTTACATGTGTATATATGTATAAATACAGTCTATGTATATGCCGTATATTATACTGAATACACATGTGTATATACTCATCTTTGCCCCCACCCCGTACGAACAATATCGCTAAAGTTTGCTATTTTATCACGAACGGGAGGAGTTTTTAACCGACAAACTCCTCTTGTCCGTGCAAAATGGCAAATTTTAGGAGTTATGCCCCCCGCAGAATAGAGGAATTCTCGCGAACCGTGGGGGCGCCACAAATTGTAGGCCATCGCAGATAAGAGGAGTGCGGATTTGTGGAGTTTCACGACAAATTTCTGAATGAAATCATAATCATGATGGACAGTAAGAAACGTTTTAGAACTAATGTCCAAAAGCAACAGGGCGCAACGTTTCCGCGAGCAGAGCACGTGATGAACCGACAGACCCAACGGGTTCAGTGATCGAGTCAGACCACGTGCTCCGATAGCAATGACCCTGTGCACCCTCTTGCAAGGTGATCAGAAGGTTTAGAGAAAGGGCTAGGCCACCACATCAACTATTAGCCACATTGCCGCCTATGTAGCTGCCTTGGGTTTCTGATCCCACAAAGCCAGTTACGGACGTCGGACACTATGCTGACTGCGCAGTGCAAGTCATAGGCATGCGAGGGCATCTTCAATCTTCACCATCGGTCGGTCTGGCTCGTCCAGGCGGGCCCCTGTCCCCTGGCTCTCCCTGGTCTCCCTTGGGTCCTCGGTCTCCTCTCTCTCCCTTCTCTCCTGCAGGGATGCAGTTCAAGTCAGGTCAAAGCGGAGAGTGAAGCAATTTGGGGTCGACTGCAGAGGAGTGTACGAATGTGTGTACTTTGCAAATCCAGCGAGGTTGATTGCGGAAGTTCATTCCTACCTGGGATGCCTGCACTTCCTGAAGGTCCCAAAATGCCTGTGGGGGAAAGGAAAAGAGAAACACTGAAATAGGAAACTCATTCACTGAGTGTCCAATAATACAAAGGAGAAATAACAGAGATTATTTCATTCCAAATGTGTTCGTACAAGTTCAGCAACTTATCGTTTTTGTGGATCTTCAACAGCCACTACTCGTGTAATTGTACTGTGCAGTGTGCATTGTATATGCGGGTGTCCCCTAATTATACTAACTGTGTAACGAGATGCAATCCCATTGCGCGTAAATGATTGAACTTAAAAACGTAAACTTGTCCTAAACCCATTTATTCAACAAAATATATTCAACGATTCATACATTTGAATCCTGTTTGCGAGTAGGATATGTTTCTGAAAGTGTGTATGAATATGTATCAACCATATAGACTTTTCCCCCCACCCCTCCCTCTCATCGGATTGACAGCACTTGTTCCAACAAACACGTTCATTGGAAAGACAGGCGCCCAGGCGTAAAACTGAACGCCATATTCAGGTGCGTGTACGTGACAATATAAAAAAAAAAGTTAGATAAACAGCGGATAAAGAAATATATGAAGGCGTAACGACGGCACCTGGGACTCCCTGAACTCCGGGCTGGCCAGGGGGGCCAGGGGCACCAGGGGGGCCGGGGACAGCAAAGGTCTGCGAGCCGTCTGCACAAAAAAGGGTTACGTCAACCATCACCACGGATGAATGAATAAATGAATTATTTAATGAATTGTTGAAGGAATTAGTGAATGCAGTGGTGAATTCATTAACGAACTGACGAATTAATTAATAAATCGACGAATGAATGGATGCATGAAAAATCACGGTGGCTTTTTTTTTTTACTCTCATGGTTTTCAAAATCCATTAAACATCGAGCTCTGTCGGTTTTAAAAACCACCCCGAATGGTGCCCGGCCGTGCCAGAGCTTGGGAGCCTGGATAGTTGCTTGGATGTGTGACCACCATGGACACAACAGGTTGTTGCTGTAAGCTGCTGCGGAATAACATTGCTGGCAGCAGAGGGCAGTGCAATAAATGCACTGTTAAACTGTACTTCTATGCTCCAGTGTGTATGCTCCCCACCTTCAATCTGCACTGACAAGCACAGTGAAGAATGGTTAAATAACCACCCACAATCCGCATGGCATAAGGAGGCCCCTCATCCAGCAGTGGAATGACAAGAGGGCTGCACGTGCTAATGCAGCCGTAACTTGAAACTCTGACAGTGCAATAACATTAGCCGAGTACAGAGATAAGAACACATTTAATGGTATAACAATTAAACTTTCAGTGAAAAACTACGTACCGAAATTCAAAATCTTTCCAGGAGAGCCAGTTTCTCCTGTGACACAGAGCACAAATGGAAGTTTAAAAAAAAAAATCTCCTCCTGCTGGGCATCGGCATTGACGTTTTGTTTATTAGTTGCTGGTTTGTGTTGTGTTCACCTTTAGAGCCTGGTTCTCCAGGGATTCCTGATTTCCCTGGCTCTCCAGGAGTACCTGAAAATGTATTGAGTAGAAAGGAATGGAGGGAATGAGCCACCATGAAAGTGTGTATAATAATAATGTAGCAAATTAAAATGATTTATTTTCAATGTCAAAACAGTACCTGCTTGTCCAGGTGGTCCTTGTGGGCCTGAAGAGAAACATAGGATAACGATTTAGAACTGCCAGTTGTGGAAATTGATGAAATCATGGCTGTTTCAGACACGTTTGTTTCAAAGATTTCCTCTTTGCCCTCCAATATATCCAATGAAAATAATGCTTTACGAAGGCACGTTCCATGTTACATGTCACGAGCGAGAGTAAAACTACAGTATGTAGCATTGCCGTACCAGATCCAATATCTCAAACAGGGCAACAAGCAAGGGTTGTTGGAACTCCTTACCTTGAGCGCCTTGATCTCCCTGGTTTCCTTGAGGTCCCCTCGGCCCAGGAAGTCCAACAAGCCCTGGCTCGCCTACATCATAGGCACACATTTCATGAATGCCTTTGAGATAGAGTTTCGACTGCAAGTTGAAATTATATACACACACACACTCATGACCGCAGTATCGTGCATTTGGGCAAGCTCTAACTTGGCGAATTCGGGACGAACGTGAAATCTGAAATCTTTTGCTCTGAGAGGCAGGCCATCATCCTGATTTCCACAGATGGCGAGGCACCAACGGCGTCATACCTCTGGATCCTGGCCGCCCCTCAGCACCACCGTCACCTACACAAGCACATTCATAATCTTAGCAATTTCTTTGAGAAAAGCTAAACAGTTTAATCATTATTTCTATTCAGCGTCATGAACGACATTCGTGACAAGTAATTTCAGAACCAGGTTTAAATGCACCCCCCGATCACCAACCCGCAATTACCACCTTGGTGAAGTGTGGTTTAGCAACCTCCGTGAAGAAACCATTGCTGAGAAGCATTACGACAGCATTGGATTCAGAAATGGCTTCGTGTTAATACACCAGCACATGGGCAAAACAGGAAGGCAAAGATGGCATTGCTTCCATAATAAAGCCTCCATATTAAAATGACATTGATTGTTTACAACCACGAATACCATGATTTAACCCGGTCCTTATTACAATGCTGTCTTGCTTGCTTAAGGACCTCTGGTATGTGCCCTAGGACAATTGGTCGTGTCTGTGTCCGTGTTGGTCATTGTTTTCATGGTTCTGCACGACACGGGGTACCCAAGGAGTTGGCCCTACCATGTAAGGCTGCCTTGCCGCACAGCTCATAACCATTATCACTCTGTCTGTTACGGTCCCTCTGTTGTTCTCTATGCGTAGCTTTGGTGGCCCCTTTATGCTGGGAATGTTGGGGTGCTCCGTGTTGGCTGTTTGGGGAGCGGTGGCACAGTGGTTAGCGCGCTCCACTGCGGACCTAGCAACCCGAGTCGTGACGACTATCTGAACCGGTCCTGGGCCTCCCCTAGGTCGACTCAGCCTCAAATGAGTACTTGGTGTGGTGTGAAAAATCACCACTGGGGAGACAAAGGCGGCCGGGCGTGGTGTTGGTCACCTTGCCCGCTGTGTGCCGTGCCGGCGCTCGCTAACAGGACTTAAGTCTTTTTAAGGCTATATGGGGGACCTTTGTCTCGTGTGTAGATATCATGTCCCGAGTTTCACCTATTCTGTAAAATTGCCAGGCGCGTAAGAATGCTTTGTCCATCAACGACAGTCGACTCGAATGCCTGTGATATGTGCTTGTGACACAAGTATTGATCATCTTCAACGTATGTGGATATACAGTTAAAAGACACGCCAATGTTAGACACAATGGAGCGACCGAAACCCTACAAATGTACCTACGAAAATAAATGCTGCAAACGAGACGGTGAAATCGATGTGAAAATGTATCGATTCCTCGTTGGAGACGTGACCTCCCAAGGTATGACATCTCTGTTGAATCGCTGCCAGAGGTGTGGATCATTGCACGCCTGAGTTAGTGCCAGTGCGTCTCCTCGATCAGTTCGCATCGTTTGTTTCAACGGTTCTACTTAACTTGACTCCTGTGTTCGTCGTGGTCAAATCTTGTAAGCAAAATTTAGTCTACTTGCCGTTGTCCAATCAATTCCACGTTTTGCACGCGCACTCAGATCCGGTGACAATGCATGCCTGTATCAAAATCGGCATCAATTCATCGACGAATTGGCTCCTTTAAAGCAATTAACATTTTGTATGGACGCCTTATTATTTTTATATTTGCGTGCAGGTCAAAAACGCCGCGGTCCCTAAACTCTCGGTTCGCCTCGCCCAAGAAGCAGGCGCCACGCGTCTCAAAGCGCATCCTGCTCCGTGTCAACGAGTTACGGGCACCCTCACTCCACACAAACAAACAGTTGTACATTGAAGATTCATTCGCATCATCGACGTACTTCTCGCCCGTGCGTTAAACGAAGTTGTGAATAAAACCGGTGGTTTAAAAAAAAAAACTTTAACAAAAAACGAGTTTATTTGTCCTTTGCGTGGTCACGCACCTGGCACGCCCTTGACTCCGGGCTCCCCAGGGCTCCCGGCAGGACCTCGAGCCCCGACTTCGCCTGCAGCACGGCAGCGCATGCCCATGATCACGATGATTATGACGACGGCGTTGTTGTGTGTTTGTGTATTTGTTCGCGACTAAAATTTCATCACAAAGTTATTGGGAGAAGAGGGGGGTGGGTGTGTGCTGAGTGCTGTCGTAGATCTTTATCTCTGAAGAGCCCTCCCACCTGGTTTAAAGTTCAAAGGAGGTTGTAAAGTTTAAATATTTGGGAATATTTATGTGTGTGTAAAATTTCCCCCCCCCTAGTCACCATCAGGTCATGAGATATCGTCCATCCAGAACTGCCACAGAGCATCATCCTCTGTGTTAGGGAACAGCCCGCAGAAGGTGATATCACAGAACTATTTATGAGATACCTTCAAGTGACCCCTTAACCTCACTAGAGGTGGGTGCATTACTTCCACGTGTCCTGCTATAGAGATGTAGCATGGCAGCCAATCGACGTGTTTAAGTCGCAAAGCTGGAAATCAGGCAAAATTTAATTAAAACCACAAATTTAATAGGCAGTTATTTTAGTTTGTTAGGCTGATAACATCAACTCATTCCGCAGTTTAATTACGAATGGCTTATCAGATTTGAACCATGAGCAGCGCTGGCTTTGAGCCACCCAACAATCTTTACGACCAAAACTTTTCAAATGTCAGAGAGCGGAGTGTTTCGTGGTATTATGAAACAAGAGTAAACCATTGTGTTCCACAGATGACTCAAAATGATGCACACCTAAATGATAAAACTAAAATATTGATCCCTTCTATGGCAAGTTGGATCCTTATCTCAAAATGCCCCCACTTGTTTTTTAGTTTGGGAGGTAAATTTGTGTTGTTAATATTTTGAATATGTTTTATGATTTCCTATGAATGCGTAATCATTGCAACTCACCGGCAGCGCCTCTCTGTCCTCGTTCACCAGCCTCGCCTAGAAAAAGATTTTTGTTTACAATGTAAGAATTGATTAATTATGCATTCTCTAATTTTATACGTAGGCTTTCACGATCGATATTACGATTCGTATCTTCTGATACTAGCATTGTCTTTGCACTGTTCGCCTTTTGGCGTTCTCTAGTCTAACACTGGTGGTTAATGCAGACTTGATGCCTTGTAAAAGGTATCTATTTGGTGTTTGAACGTCTGAACACCTGCTGTTATATTGCCAAAGGGTAAAACCTTTAATTACGATTTATAGTAAATTGCTTTTGGGTTAACTGCAACCCCTCCACCAAATTAAAGTCACGCGGGCGAATGCGGCAATTAATTTGTTTTTTCTGCAAAAGATCTGAATGTTTAAAAGTAAGACTTTTTTGGGACATTCATACGACGCATCACTGGAGATGACATCTAGCATCACCATGGAGTGTTGACAAAAGCTGAGATCTCACGTGAAAGAGATTCCTCATCCGGGTTCTTCAGTAGGCGACATGACATCATCAGATCAGCCACGCAGGTGAATCGGTTTCATAATTAGAGTTGATTGGTTGTGATTGGCAGATTAACGTGATAGGGTGAATCAATTTAGCAATTGGTGAAAATAGTCTTTCCTTTGTTATGTTAGGGTGCATTGTGTTAGTAATCAAACAGGATACAAAAAAATACTAATGTGGTTCTAGTTAAGCGTTATTTGGTTAATAGGGATATTTTAATCAACATGGCGATAGCACGATGAGGAATTAGTGATACAGGTTGATTTAAGATATTGTTGGTGTTACAGTATGACTTTAAATCATCAACTGATTTAATCTAAATGGCTAGAATTTTTTTAATGTAATTATGTATTTAGTTGAGTGCTAATTTAAAACTTATGCTGGATGTGATCTCCAGTGGAACTTAAAACATCGTCAATAAATGTATTTGCCTTTCAGCATTCCTCCGATTTTGCTGATAAACCAAATCAATTGGCATTTATGCCAACGCGACAACTTGATATAATGAAACTGTCGAGTGGTGGAGCGTTGATGATGTAGTGACATCGCGGACGTCACTGTGTAATGCCGGCCCTAGAGAGGCACGGCGTGCGATGCATTGACGTCGTGGACACCACGTGGATGTGGGTGTAGTACCGGCCCTGGAGGGGCTCGGTAAGCGCTGATGGATAGCGCTGAGTGGCACCACGCTGGGCGTGCAGTGCCGACCCCTACAGGATGGGGTGTGAGAGTGTCAGCCAGGGAATGGGGTTACTATAGGCCGTGGCACTCTGGTTGACCCCGGAGGACACGTGACTGGTAAAGTCTACACAGGGGGCCCCCAAGTGGAGGGCTAGGGGTGGTCACGTGTCAGGGGGAGCTCATGCTAGAGGATTCGAGGTGGTCGTGGTCAAGGGCGGGTCCAGCCACGACCAGTGAGGATTTAAGTCGGGTCCCCAGGGGGACCGGGGTTCAGCGTTGCTGTTGTCATCTTGAAGATCTACGTCTGACGTCCGAGAAGAGTCACCAACACGTGGACTTGGACCCAAGCTGGGGTCCTGTCCGTTGTAGCTACTCCCAGTGTAATTAGTGTAGTTAGCCTGGTGGTCACGTAGCTAGTTACGGTGTAATTAGTGTAGTTAGCCTGGTGGTCATGTAGCTACTCCCAGTGTAATTAGTGTAGTTAGCCTGGTGGTCACGTAGCTAGTTACGGTGTAATTAGTGTAGTTAGCCTGGTGGTCATGTAGCTACTCCCAGTGTAATTAGTGTAGTTAGCCTGGTGGTCCACCACCATAGGTGGTTATCTGGTAAAGGGGCAGTTACCCTTTGTGTTGGTATCAATAAATGTGTTGCCTCCAAAGAGTACGTCTGTGACTCAGTTGAACTCACTACAATATTCACCCTCGATATACTTATTACGAATTATGCATTATCGCTGCAATGCTTGGGACAGGACACATTGCTATGTGGGATACTGGTCAGTGGTCGGGACTGATTGCAGTGCCAGCTGAATCATTAAACAAATATTTGAGGATGACCACCACGGAGGTGAAACGATGAGATTGGTTCGTGTGGGCGAGCGAGATATATTTATTTCATCATGGGGCTGTGAAGGGCGGCGACAAACTTCTGGAGGCCTTTGCTCCAGCCGTGGATAGAGCACGGCCGACGGTTTTGTCACGCTACAAAGACAAAGATCCCCCGTTTAGCCTTAACCAGACTGTTGGGGCAAGTGCTGTTAGCACCTATGAAGGTCGACGCGGCACACGAGGGGGTGGGGTCTCCAACACCACGCCCAGCCGCCTTTGCCTCCCCGGTGGCGATGTTTACGCACCGCACCAGGTACTCATTTGAGGCTGAGTCGAACGAGGGGATGCCCAGGACCGGTTCAGATAATCGTCAATGGTGTTGGCCGTGAGCGGGAATTGAACCCGGGTTGCCGGGTTAGTAGCGCATCGCGCTAACCGCGACACTATCGCTCCCCACCAATACATCGAGTACATGCGTTCCACATTTTACTCCAAGATTTTTTACCGTTACGTATTGTATAAATATCCATACATTATCTACGTATCTATATAGACACACACACACACACTGATACTGTATTGAATGTGGTGTGTTCCTACATGGCAGAAATCTCGATTGAAATCCCGTAAGCCTGCAATAGTTCAGTCCGAGCACGAACGTTGCCTCCTTACCTTTAGCTCCAGGAGCACCGTCAATGCCCTTATCACCTGTGCACACACACAGAGAAGCAGTGGGCATTCAATTCTCAATTATACGAGCTAATGGGGAGTGAGAGGGATGGCCCAGATCAAACAAACACACGCGGATAATGCAAAATATATGCAAAGTGGCTATAATAAAGTGTGTATTGTCCAATGTAGAATGTAGGAGAATGTGTAGAATTCAAAATGTGTTTGCATTGCTTCTCAAGAGAGATTTGGTGCCCCAGTATATGATGTTGGCCGAGAGCCTCCATCACTTCCCATATAAATAAAAAATATAATCTCATGCTTGGCGCCCCTCTCTGGTACAGGTGGACCCCTTTCCCCCCCAGTCTCTGGTACAAGTGGACCCCTCTACCCCCAGTCTCTGGTACAAGTGGACCCCTCTACCCCCCACTCTCTGGTACAAGTGGACCCCTCTACCCCCTCAGTCTCTGGTACAAGTGGACCCCTTTCCCCCCCAGTCTCTGGTACAAGTGGACCCCTCTACCCCCTCAGTCTCTGGTACAAGTGGACCCCTCTACCCCCAGTCTCTGGTACAAGTGGACCCCTCTACCCCCCACTCTCTGGTACAAGTGGACCCCTCTACCCCCTCAGTCTCTGGTACAAGTGGACCCTCTACCCTCAGTCTCTGGTACAAGTGGACCCCTCTACCCCCAGTCTCTGGTACAGGTGGACCCCTTTCCCCCCCAGTCTCTGGTACAAGTGGACCCCTTTCCCCCCCAGTCTCTGGTACAAGTGGACCCCTCTACCCCCAGTCTCTGGTACAAGTGGACCCCTCTACCCCCCACTCTCTGGTACAAGTGGACCCCTCTACCCCCTCAGTCTCTGGTACAAGTGGACCCCTCTACCCCCAGTCTCTGGTACAAGTGGACCCCTCTACCCCCAGTCTCTGGTACAGGTGGACCCCTTTCCCCCCCAGTCTCTGGTACAAGTGGACCCCTTTCCCCCCCAGTCTCTGGTACAAGTGGACCCCTCTACCCCCAGTCTCTGGTACAAGTGGACCCCTCTACCCCCAGTCTCTGGTACAAGTGGACCCCTCTACCCCCAGTCTCTGGTACAAGTGGACCCCTCTAACCCCTCAGTCTCTGGTACAAGTGGAACCCCTCTACCCCCCCAGTCTCTGGTACAAGTGGGACTCCTCTCCCCCCCCAGTCTCTGGTACAGGTGGACCCCTCTACCCCCCCACTCTCTGGTACAGGTGGACCCCTCTACTCCCAGTCTCTGGTACAAATGGACCCCTTTCCCCCCAGTCTCTGGTACAGGTGGACCCCTCTACCCCCAGTCTCTGGTACAAGTGGACCCCTTTCCCCCCAGTCTCTGGTACAGGTGGACCCCTCTACCCCCAGTCTCTGGTACAAGTGGACCCCTTTCCCCCCAGTCTCTGGTACAGGTGGACCCCTCTACCCCCAGTCTCTGGTACAAGTGGACCCCTTTCCCCCCCAGTCTCTGGTACAAGTGGACCCCTCTACCCCCAGTCTCTGGTACAAGTGGACCCCTCTACCCCAGTCTCTGGTACAAGTGGACCCCTCTACCCCCTCAGTCTCTGGTACAAGTGGACCCCTCTACCCCCCACTCTCTGGTACAAGTGGACCCCTCTACCCCCAGTCTCTGGTACAGGTGGACCCCTCTACCCCCAGTCTCTGGTACAGGTGGACCCCTCTACCCCCCACTCTCTGGTACAAGTGGACCCCTCTACCCCCTCAGTCTCTGGTACAAGTGGACCCCTCTACCCCCAGTCTCTGGTACAAGTGGACCCCTCTACCCCCAGTCTCTGGTACAGGTGGACGCCTTTCCCCCCCAGTCTCTGGTACAAGTGGACCCCTCTCCCCCCAGTCTCTGGTACAAGTGGACCCCTCTACCCCCAGTCTCTGGTACAAGTGGACCCCTCTACCCCCAGTCTCTGGTACAAGTGGACCCCTCTACCCCCAGTCTCTGGTACAAGTGGACCCCTCTACCCCCTCAGTCTCTGGTACAAGTGGACCCCTCTACCCCCCAGTCTCTGGTACAAGTGGACCCCTCTACCCCAGTCTCTGGTACAAGTGGACCCCTCTACCCCCCCACTCTCTGGTACAGGTGGACCCCTCTACTCCCAGTCTCTGGTACAAATGGACCCCTTTCCCCCCCAGTCTCTGGTACAGGTGGACCCCTCTACCCCCAGTCTCTGGTACAAGTGGACCCCTTTTCCCCCCAGTCTCTGGTACAGGTGGACCCCTCTACCCCCAGTCTCTGGTACAAGTGGACCCCTTTCCCCCCAGTCTCTGGTACAGGTGGACCCCTCTACCCCCAGTCTCTGGTACAAGTGGACCCCTCTACCCCCAGTCTCTGGTACAAGTGGACCCCTCTACCCCCCACTCTCTGGTACAAGTGGACCCCTCTACCCCCAGTCTCTGGTACAGGTGGACCCCTCTACCCCCAGTCTCTGGTACAGGTGGACCCCTCTACCCCACTCTCTGGTACAAGTGGACCCCTCTACCCCCTCAGTCTCTGGTACAAGTGGACCCCTCTACCCCCTCAGTCTCTGGTACAGGTGGACCCCTCTACCCCCAGTCTCTGGTACAGGTGGACCCCTCTACCCCCAGTCTCTGGTACAAGTGGACCCCTCTACCCCCCACTCTCTGGTACAAGTGGACCCCTCTACCCCCAGTCTCTGGTACAGGTGGACCCCTCTACCCCCCGTCTCTGGTACAGGTGGACCCCTCTACCCCCCACTCTCTGGTACAAGTGGACCCCTCTACCCCCACTCTCTGGTACAAGTGGACCCCTCTACCCCCAGTCTCTGGTACAGGTGGACGCCTTTCCCCCCCAGTCTCTGGTACAAGTGGACCCCTTTCCCCCCCAGTCTCTGGTACAAGTGGACCCCTCTACCCCCAGTCTCTGGTACAAGTGGACCCCTCTACCCCCAGTCTCTGGTACAAGTGGACCCCTCTACCCCCAGTCTCTGGTACAAGTGGACCCCTCTACCCCCTCAGTCTCTGGTACAAGTGGACCCCTCTACCCCCCCAGTCTCTGGTACAAGTGGACTCCTCTCCCCCCCAGTCTCTGGTACAGGTGGACCCCTCTACCCCCCCACTCTCTGGTACAGGTGGACCCCTCTACTCCCAGTCTCTGGTACAAATGGACCCCTTTCCCCCCAGTCTCTGGTACAGGTGGACCCCTCTACCCCCAGTCTCTGGTACAAGTGGACCCCTTTCCCCCCAGTCTCTGGTACAGGTGGACCCCTCTACCCCCAGTCTCTGGTACAAGTGGACCCCTTTCCCCCCAGTCTCTGGTACAGGTGGACCCCTCTACCCCCAGTCTCTGGTACAAGTGGACCCCTCTACCCCCAGTCTCTGGTACAAGTGGACCCCTCTACCCCCCACTCTCTGGTACAAGTGGACCCCTCTACCCCCAGTCTCTGGTACAGGTGGACCCCTCTACCCCCAGTCTCTGGTACAGGTGGACCCCTCTACCCCACTCTCTGGTACAAGTGGACCCCTCTACCCCCTCAGTCTCTGGTACAAGTGGACCCCTCTACCCCCTCAGTCTCTGGTACAGGTGGACCCCTCTACCCCCAGTCTCTGGTACAGGTGGACCCCTCTACCCCCAGTCTCTGGTACAAGTGGACCCCTCTACCCCCCACTCTCTGGTACAAGTGGACCCCTCTACCCCCAGTCTCTGGTACAGGTGGACCCCTCTACCCCCAGTCTCTGGTACAGGTGGACCCCTCTACCCCCCACTCTCTGGTACAAGTGGACCCCTCTACCCCCACTCTCTGGTACAAGTGGACCCCTCTACCCCCCACTCTCTTGTACAAGTGGACCCCTCTACCCCCAGTCTCTGGTACAAGTGGACCCCTTTCCCCCCAGTCTCTGGTACAGGTGGACCCCTTTCCCCTCCTATCTTGTCAGGCTTGCCGCCATGTTTGTGGTCATGAGGGCACTGACTCATAACGAGTGAGGGCCAGCAAATAATTAATTCGGCGCCTTTCCGTAAATATATACATGAAATCACAAGCACTCTGGATTATCTGCCCATGGACATTCGAGGGGTAACTCTCGTTCCACACCAAAAGCGTTTAGCGATGATGATTTGTCGTTCTGCTTTGTGCGCTGGGTGGCGGCAAAGTGGGACGATACCTTTCGCGCCAGGGGTTCCCGCCTCACCCTTGGAACCAGCAGTGCCGGGACTGCCTGAAATTCAAAGGCAGTGAATTAAGAGGTGGCCCGGGGTGGCTCAGGGGCCCGCTGCCATCGTCACCGCACCGAGCCAGAATCACGGACAACATCGGGTCCCAATACGGGCATCGAGTAACGGCGGTTCGATTGATCTCAGCCCATTCACCAATGATAGCTAAAAAAAAAAAATTTACTCGACACTTAGTTTGGCTTATAACAGTTATGAGAATCAAAACACGTTATTTTGATTTGGCGTACGATATTCTTTGTAGGGCATACATAACCAGGTGTATCTCGTGTAGACAGAGGCCAATTGAAGCGACTTTGTAAAACGTTGTGGCGTCGACTTTGTGGGGCCGTTCTCGGACACTGGGTGGTACGCTGCTAGCTGCAAAGGTTATGAATGGGAATGTCTTCATCTCATAGCTTGATACGGATAATGCAATGCGTAAAGAATACAAATAATAATAGAGCAAAAGCTTATAAGGACAATAAAACATTTAACTTTGTCCAACGTGTTTGTAAGCAGTTAAATGTCAAAAATCTGAAATAGTTTTCCAATAATACCTCTTGTTTATACAAAGTGCAGGAAATTCTACATTTCTATGGTAGGTACGATGTATTCATTATGACAACCACTGTTGACTTCCCACAGAGTGGGATTGATTTTGATCAAATTCATGGGATAAAGGGGCTCCGTCGACTCTTGACTAAGATTCGAATTTTCAAGCTTCTCATTGCGAGTCACACGCTAACCACCGAACCAGGTTATGTCAGATAGAGTGGACGATGAGGTGTGTTTTTTTCCATAGAATAATTACCTTGGAATCCAGGTGGCCCCTGTATGCCTTGCAAACCTTTAAAAAAATATATCATGATTTATTAAGCTGACAAAAACCCAAGGGAAATAACAATTGCATAATGTGAAAGTGTTAATGGAGTTTGTATGCAATGCTAACGTTCTTACACACCTTTAGGACCAATAGAACCAGGCAGACCAGGGGACCCAGGGAGACCTGATTCTCCAAGGCCGCCTGCATGAAACACCAGACAGTGGACAGAACCATAAGTTAGATTGGGCTGATTGACATTGGGCTGATTGAGATGGAGAATTCGTTGACACTACACAAGTAACCACAGTAACAGGCTTTGCCCACTTTTTAATAGTTTGAACATCACACTCCTCAGTCGCAAAAATTACTTGGTTCACTGATGGGGTCCATATTTGTAGGTATTTAGCACAAGACTTAACATAATTTAGACCTGAAGACTGACCCTGCCCTACGAGTAAAACCATCAGGCACTGCAAATTAGGTTGCAATTTTTGTGGACCCAAATGAAAAAATATAATTGGGTTTTATAGCAATAAGCGTCGACTTAACTGTATTTGTGCCCAATTTTAGCTTTCTATACAATTCTATGACGTTATTAAAATGAACATCAGTCAGTCAACTACGATAGGCACCTGACATCTGAAATAAACTAATTTGGCGTCCTCTTGTAGCCCTTGCTAAGCAAGCCTGTACGCTGGCGGGCTCAGAAGGCATCCATCTCATTGGCAAACGACTGTGGCGAGCGGCGTTGTTTGATCGGTGGGGATGCTGCTGGATGCTTTTAGATGCTACCCACGCTCCTCAGTCTTTGTTCAGCCTGCATGCGTATCTCACGGTGTTATCGCGGACTGTGCTTTATCTTATATTATACATTATTTATCATAACGCGATTTTTCGATAACGCGGCGTTCTTTAGGAATGCAATTGCTACCACATTATAGAATAGACTGTACTTGTCCATGTGAATCCGTACCTCGTTCTCCCTTCTCTCCGGCCCCGGGAGGCCCTGTTTCTCCGCGTGGGCCGGGCAGGCCCTCCCTGCCCCTCGGCCCAGCAGGCCCCTCGGTGCCTGGCTCCCCTACACACGGAGCGTCACCCCGCGCCATTCACAGCATACAAGACGGGCAATGCAAAATGTTTTTGCTTTTTAAAATTACACACACACATTTTTTTTTATACACTACAAACAGGCACAGCAGTAGCGTGGCATAGTTGGCATGGGCCCCTGTGCGACAAATTAAATGGGACTCCCTTGTCCAATTGACCCCCGCCCCCCCTTCTTTGTAGCCCGGAGCCTGGGCCTCTTCGGCAACGTGGGCCTCCGGGTGCGGTTGCACGTCCTGCACACTCAGTGGCTACGCCACTCGGGCAGGGCTGCCTGGGAAACACTGCCGGTGACGCAGTGCGTCCAGATGCCTCTGGCTGCAATGAGTGCTGCTGTGAATCAAAAATGAATGGACGCACGGGCGCATCAACGAAACGCTATTGTAAGTGGGAAAGTTCAGAAGGCTTGCCGTTGCTTGAAACGTTATAATGTGACTTTTGGTTACCATGTAATTTAGGACTGTATTTACGGTCCATACAGCAAAGCAGAGTATGTCTCCGCATGTTTAAAAGTATGTTTCCCTGGACATTTCAGGTATACTATTTCATGAAACAAACAATTGTGTTTTTGCCCCTTGGCAAATTTTTCATCATGTGAATGGCAACTGAGGATCCTCCGTTTCATGTTTCGAATTTAGAAGACAGATAATGCTTTGCTTTTTTTTTGGCTTTCAGAGATTTGTTAACAAAGTGCGGAGATATAATGTGGCTTTGTTGCCAAATAACACCTTCAAGACATTTTCTTCCATAATTCTAACCAAAGGTGATGTATTTATTTGCAGTACCTGTCTGTGAGGTATGCCACGTTTGGAAGGGAAAACCTCTAGTTACTAATAAGCAGGTCAAATGACGAGAACAACTGATGAAATGTGGACAAAGTTAACGAGGGAGTGGATACCGAGAGAAGGCAAATCACGCAGAGGAAGAAAGCAGAAGAGATGGTGAACTTAAATGTAATACATTGGAGAAAGGAATGGAAATTATAGGCTGACAACAACATTATTTTCTAATAATACTAAAAACACAAAGCAATAATCAAACCTTGGCTTCCTTTAATTCCCTTCGGTCCCTCTGGCCCGGGTGGTCCAGCCATTCCTTGGAAACCAGGCTGACCTGGGAACATATAACACAGCTGTTGCCCGCTATGGAAGAGTGTGTCACTTGAATGCTGCTCGTTTGGGCTGAACGTGCCTTGCACAATGAGAGTGTTTGTGGTAGAAGTATTCACCCTTGGGGCCTGGCAGACCGACTTCTCCCTGCACTCCGGGATCCCCTGTGCGAAAACAAAGTCTTAGTAAGAAAGCGGTCATGCAAATCTGTAATGGTATTAATTACATTTTTTTTTTATCCTGAGCCGACAATTTCACAAAGTGACTTAAGTGCACCAAGCACCTCTGATGCCAGGGAAGCCGACCGTGCCCTCTGTACCTCGATCGCCTGAGTCTCCCTTTGAGCCTGTAAGGAATACACAGTGTAAACTAAAATAAACGTTCTCATTTCACCAAGTAAGGCCCACTGAGCTGTATAGCTCGTTTTCAGAAGCGACCTGGGCCACAAATAATCGCTCAACGAATTGGCTTATCACGTGGAAATGTATAGCAGCATGTTGATTCTAAATGTAGAGAGAAAAACGGGAAATCGAACCCACGACCTCCTGTATGCCAGGTGAGGTAGTTAACATCTCGCCACCGTCGCGCCTCTGTGTCAAGCTCAGGGTCAAGAGGTCGTCACGGCCAGTGGCCATCAATGCCCCCACCACACTCTTCTCCATCGCAGCATTACTCCTGTCGACTAGGCCTCGTCATTGACACAACTTAGAGAACTATAGCAACATGAGAATAATGAAGCAATGCGTTCCGGGGTTGTCTGACAAGACTTTGAAAGTTTTGTTGTTTCAGGGAAAAAAAGGCTCTAAAATTATGGTCTAAGCGTGCCACAGACGGGCCACACGTGTAAAATAGGCAACGTCTCGGGCAATGCCTCTACTCCTTCATCCTCTGCTCTGAAGAAGGCCCGGTTGGTCAAAGAACGCGACTCTTCAAGGCAGTGTTATTGACACATACTTTGAGATTTTGTTACTTAAAATAAGAGACGTGGAAAGATCACCTTTCTGTCCAATGTCTCCTTTGTCTCCCTGTTGACCTCTGAACCGGGCTGGGAAGACATACAAAAGACACGCGCACGCACACACATGAATGTTAACTTCGTTTAACTTTAGACAAGTAGATATAATTGCTTCTTTCATTTTCTAAACAAAAATTCGGGCAAAACAAAGCGCATTGTGCTTACGTTGGTCGCACACTAAATACTGAAAACCACTTTTAACCTCAGTGTAAGTCGTGGAGTGGTGGAACAGTGGGTGGCAACAAAGCGCCATTAATCCAGGGCACTCCATTGCATTCGCAAATGGTCAGTATGGGACCTTACGAGCTTCGTCTCTCAGGCTCCCGCACCCGTTCCCTTAGGGATGGACTCGACCGAACGGGAGCATCTCTCTCTCTCTTCTCTCACCCACGACGTTGTCGGACCGCATCTCTGAGGCGAGGATGCTGGTGATGAGGCTCTCCAGGCCGGCCTCGTTGAGGTCGGCGATGCCCCCCCCGGAGCGGCCACGGCCGCCGGCAGCCCCGAACGAGGAGCCGCTTCTCCCACCGCTGGCCCCCAGGTCGGAGTCGGTGAGCGCCCCCTCCAGAAACACTTGGTTGCCCACCTGACGCAGCCGCACGCCGTCCGACGTCTTCTGCCCCTCCAGATCGATGACGCGGTTCTTCAGCGACGACACCTCGCTCGCTGAAATCGCGGCGGCGGGGTGGTGGCGGTGAGTTGTTGGCGGTGGTGGTGGTGGCGGTGGTGAGTTGTTGGCGGTGGTGGTGGCGGTGGCAGTGGTGGCAGTGGTGGCGTTGGCAGTGGTGGCGGTGGGGTGGTGGTGGTGGGGTTGTGGTAGTGGGGTGGTGGGGTGGTGGCGGTGGTGGCGGTGGGGTTGTGGTAGTGGGGTGGTGGCAGGGGGTGGTTGTGGTGGTGGGGTGGTAGCGGTGGCAGTGGTGGTGGTGGGGTGGTGGTGGTGGGGTGGTGGTGGTGGGGTGGTGGTGGTGGTATGGCGGTGGGGTGGTGGCAGGGGGTGGTGGCGGTGGTGGGGTGGTGGTGGGGTGGTGGCAGGGGGTGGTGTGGGAATGAAAAAACGAACGAACAAAAGATGAGCAGCGATCGCCTGAGTGGCTGTTGTTGTGCACCGGGGCGTGCGACGACGCTGCGATTCATCGGCAGGGGTGGAGCCAGGATTTTGACTTTGGGGGGGAGCTGACTTCAATATTCTGAGATATCCAGTGTTTATGTTTTCCAATGGGCGCCACAAATGTATAAAACAAATTTTATTGGATTTGAACGCGGAGTTTATTAATAGGTCGGAGCCGCTGATGTGGCTAATAAGTTCGATAAGTTCGAAAGGCTGCCGCTCAAGCAGCCTGCAGGGCAGCACAAGGTGGCAGCCTGCAGCATTATGCAGCAGCCAGATATCCGGTTATCCCGATTACCGACTTTCCCAAAATTTCAGGGGGGGCTGAGCTCCCCCCAGCCCCTCCTGTGGCTCCGTCCCTGTTCATCGGTTAAGATGGAGAGGATGATGATGATGCGATCTCCAGATCAGGTTTACACCCTCTTAACACAGACAAACATGTGTTTTTTTGGGAAAAGGTTGTTTTTTGGGATTTGTCGTGTATTCCTCATCGTTTTTCTCCAATCCACGTTTGGTTTTGGAGCTATAAACTGGATGGTGAAACCAACAAATGCCTCTCGGTAAATCTCCAGCAGAATGGCCACAGGAGCAAGAGGAAGGCCTGCACGCTACGGGCTGGTCAGCAACACCACTAATGTTATCAAGAGGCCACAACGTGAAATGTGCAACCAAAAATGGCCCAAGTCTGAGCCAAATACGAACAACTGTTGAGCTGGGTTCTCTACATCCACCAACTTGAATGAAGTTGGCAGTTGTCTGTAAACTGTCAGTACCTTTAAGCCACTCAAGGACAATAACACGGATGTCCTCCGAGAGACTTGGGCCAAAAAAAAAACCTCAAGAGAGAGAGAAAAAAAAGTACAAAATAATCATCCCCTCGCGGTAACGCGCGCGGCGTGTTGAGCGCACCGAGGGAGAGGAGCCCCAAGAGCAGCCCAAGCAGGAAGAGCCAGGCGAGCAGCAGCGCCAGGATGAACATCCACCAGGAGCAGCAGGCGCACACCTTCCCTCCGTTCTCCTTCGTGCGTACCTCCATCACCGCCGCCTTCTCGGCGCCGACTGCCTTGCTCATCACTGTCACGCGCGAACAGAACGTGAGCGCAGAAACTCAAAGCGGACGTCAACCTTCGGTCGCAGCGCGCTGATTCTTTTCCTGCGTTATTTTAACGGCCGCCTCCATCCTTACTAGTCCATGGGATGAGGTGGAGGTAATGTATTCTGGCCATCGACTGGACATCTGTAAAACAAAAAAAGAGCTTCATAGGCTCATTGGACTTCTGTCTAAATAAAGATTCTGATTATACCTACAAACCTCTCGGACGGCTCGAGATTCACACCGTAGCACAGGATGGCCGCAGAAGACGGCTTCCGCTAAACTACTTATGGACCCATTCCAATGGGGCCTCTCTCGCGTGAAGGCTTGCGTCTTCGCCCTCCACGAAGAGTGGTTTGGCACATGTTGCTCATGCAATTCAATTTATTTATAAATTAGACGGACAGGAACATGACCGTGCTTCGACGAGCACCGTCTAGAGCGCGATGGGCGTTCGACGGAAAGCGTCTTACCGACTGTCTCGGCCCGTGACTCGATGGTGTCCCCTTTCCTGGCCGCAGACGCTGCCATTAACTGCCTCTTCTCTTCCTCCAGTTGTCCAGCTGAACGCAAATTATGGTGGAGATGTAACAGGCAACGGACTTTGCTGGCAAATGAGAGTCGCCGGGAGAGGGCCGATCACAGATACTGACCTCTCAGTTAAACACGTAGCAGGCTTTCCCGACCAGTATTATTCATAATAAAGGTTTTTTGGGTTAGATCGCGTTATTATAAATGTGTCGCAACCCTCCACCACCCGACACGGCCAATCAGTAAAAAATGTGTCATGTTAATAAGTAATACGCAATACATATTGCAATTCCTTATAGAGGAGTCACATGGCTGATTACTGGTCTATGACATAATTGCAATACCCCCCCACCTCCGCCTCTGATCACGAAACCTGATGGAGCTCAACAATTATGACGTCATCCTGCACTATTTAAGACCGGAAGCAGGTGGATGGCTTCACTATTCTGGCAAATCGCCTGAAGATGCTGGATGTAATTTCCGGTGAAACGTCGTACTCAAATTCTAAATGTTGTGGAGTCACTCTTCAAACACACCGGTGGCGCTGAAGAAGTAACTAATTGGCGTTTTGTTAACGTGACACATTTTTTACTATTTGGCTGTGTCGGGTGGTGGAGGGTTGTGACACATACCTACTATAATCACCCAGGAATGTCTGTCCTTAACGTTCGTGACGTCACTCCACATCGACCAGCCTCCCTCATTAATATTCATGAACAGGTTACGTCCTCCACATGAACACCCCCCCCCCCCCCCATTCATAATAATTAGCGGGTGACGTCACTCCACATGGGGGGCCGAGGTGCCTCCTCCCCCCTCCTCGGCGTCAACTGACAACCCTCACTACAAAGGCAGAACCCTCACGTCATCACGTGATCTCCGTGACGCTGTTGTTGAGACATCAAAGTAAAAAGGACGTCGTGATGAACAAGGGATTATAACCTTTAAATTAAATAGGTCTGTGTCACCGCGCCCTTACAAACTGCACACGAATGGATGCAATGAATATAACACGTCGCAGGGCTGATTTTCGCTTGCAAGTTTCAAATTTATTGCAATACACCCGTCCTTGGACGGGAAAAAGGCTCGTTTATAATAACGTGATCTAAGGGGCGTCACGCGTTTTTGGACGATTTTTTGACCCCCCCCTAGTCACACGGCGTCACAAAAAGTCAGACCCCCCCCTCAAATATGACGTCACAAAGCTCTGCCCCCCCCCCAAAAAAAAATTAAACATGCTTCAAATGGCTTTAAACTATTGTCATTGTAGTGCGTATTTAAAGTGGCGCTGCACTCTCATGTTGTAGGAGAAAACATTAAAACGTCTATTTAATTATGTAGAACGTGTTTGTCTATTTTTATTTAAAGTTGCGCATTTTGACCCTCCCCCACTAGGTGCGTGACGTCATTTATGGACGGCTCCCAACCCAAAAACCTTTATCATGAACTTACCTCTGAGGTTGTTGACAAAATACTGCTTCTCCGACTCCATTTTAGGGAAGAACTCCGGCTGAAACATGGGCCCCCCTGCGAGTAAACACGTTGACCATGGAGCACACAATCACGCCCGTGCATACGTCCACAGTCTGGCCTAAAACGCATTAGTGCCTTGAGAACGTTTATCATGAAATTACTGAAAAGTATCGTCATTTGTTGATACCTTGTTGGATTTGGCCCTCTCTATGGTATGTCAATCATGAGGAGGGGGTGGGGGTGGGGGGGTTAACCGTACATCACCAGGCTGTTTAGTGTGGGTCGGTGAGGGGGCGAGAGTGCCTGGCATTTGTTAAGATATCACTCACCAGTGGCGTTTAGCCATGGATAGCAATCGAACTCGGTTTAACCAGGTTCAGCGCAGATGAATAAACCACAGCGCCACCGCATCCCCCACCATAAATGTGTGTTTGTGTTAGCGTGGGAGAGTAAATATGGCTTGGTTCTTCACGTATTTAAACCGGGTGAGCCGTTATTGTGCTGTGAGCGACATGCAAAGAGTATGCTGCAGAACTCAGAAGGAAGCTTTGCTTACCTTTGAGGTCGTTGACTATAAACTGCTGCTCAGCCTGCTTCTGCATCATGGCATCTGAGTACATGGGACCTGCTCATTGGGGATGGGCACATGGGCTTCGGGTGTCATTGTACTCAATAAACTAGGGCAGTGCGCTTTCAGGCAGAATCATGCACAAAGCGGTTTAATCTGTTTCGTTTTGTATTAAGATTAACATCTCCAAAGCGCGTGCGCAACAAACTTTCTCCCATCCGCGCGCCGGCACTCACCCATGCCGTGGTGCTGCCCGGACCCCATGGGCATTCCCATCATGCCGTAGCCACCTTGCATGGCCTGGCTGCCCCCACGAATGCCAATTCCTCCGCCTCCAATTCCTCCTCCCATCGCCGATGACGCCTGCGGCATCATCGGGGCTCCCCCGGGCAGGCTGGCGTGCATGGCATATGCCGACAGCTTGGGGTCCATGCCACCGCCTGCCTTCGATGACTCCGTCCCGGACTGCCCGTACACTGCGCACGCAGGCCAGAGGTCCGGGGAGGCCACCGGTCAGTGTGGAATGGCACCACCACGCCGTGTTTCCTGTCATTGCCATTTTGTAATTGTCACGTGCTGTACAGGTTTCGCTTGCTTTGTGTTGGTTCGGTTTGTGCGATTTCACACTGTCCATGCGGCTAACCTCTTTCTACCTAAAATTCGCTATGGAATTCGGTTTGAAATCACTCATATGCGGCTACGGGATCAGACACGAGGACAATATTCTGTGTAGCGGTCGTCTTGTGCGGTTTTGCTTTGTGCGCCCTTTATTTGGAAAGCATCTACCACATAAAGCGAGAGAAACCAAATATTCCAGGTATCTCTTCAATAAGATATGCCTGGTCTAAAGGGATTCCGTATTTATATTGTTGAAGCCTCTTTGTCAATCCACCAATGGATGAAAACCTCCCACCCACGCTGTGTTGGTTGGTGATTGGGGTTTTTTGACCATACTTCACACTGGCTGGTAGGGGTTAAAGGTTAGGGGGTAGAGCCCAGGACCGGTTTGGATATCACTCACTGGGGACGTTAGCCGGGGCCAGGAAATGAATTCAGGCCGTCAGGTTCATGCCCTAATCCCACTCAATCCAATAACTAAATTAGTAATGGGTTACTAAATAACAATGGCCTATTACTCCCACAACTACTGTGTTGGAACTGCATTTTGGAGTAAACGTACATTAATAGAAGATGACTGATTGGAAAAGGATGATGTAAACTAAACTATTTTTATTTTTCCAGGCAAGGTCCACTGTGTGATATAGCTCTTTTTCAGAAGCGACCTGGCCACAAATAAACGCTCAACGAAGTGGCTCATCGTGTGGAAATTTATAGCCGCCAATACTCGAAACGCATATTGATTCTAATTGTGGAGGGAAAAACCCAGAGAACCTGGAGAAAAACCCACGCGACCACGGGGAGAATATGCAAACTCCAAATATACAGGCGTGAGGGTTGGGATCGAACCCACGACCTCCTGTATACCAAGCGAGGTAGTTAACATCTCGCCATCGATGGAGGTGCAAGATATCAGAGTGAGTAATACATTGCAACCAATTAATATGACACTTCAATTGTCAGGAATGTAATTTTTTAAAAAAACAACACCATCAATAGAGAGAATGTAAATTCAAGCCAGAATTCTGGCTCTCCCCCAGCTATCGGCGACTCCCCTCACCTGAAATGGTCTCGTCCACTTTGATGAGGGCCTCCTCATCGGAGCGCTCCTCTCTCTTGCTGGGCAGGGGGGGCTTCTTGGGGATGGGCAGCGCGCGCGGGGGGCTCGAGCTGGAAGAGCGTGTGCCGCGCAGGAGGCGCTTCACGTCATTCAGGTCGGCCCCTGGGGGGGAGGCGGCGGCAGTGGTGGGGGGGGGGGGGGGGGGGACGAGAACGAGGTGCCGAGTCTTCGTTGCGATCGCTCGCGCGCGGTCGCGCCGCTCACGTCGCCCGGTGCGAACCACACCAGGTGCTCGTGGCTCCGATGCATGCACATTTATTGCGTTGCGTTCCACTCCTCCGCGTCAAACCGTCGGCGGCGGATGTGTTTCGTGCCGAACGCCCAGGTTTGCGCGCCGAACTTTTACGATGAAATGTAAAGGGCTCGCGTGTGTGAAACAGAATGGACTTAGTCAATGACAAAGCGTGGTTGGTAATAGCCAGGCTGCACGGAATGAAACTGGGTTGGGTGGCGGGGGCGAGCCCTGTACAATTATCCCCCTCTTCATATCCCAGGACCCAAGATCATCTGGCCCGTGGGTCCTGGTGCTGTTGCACTGCCTGTACACTCGATAGCTACGCTAATGGACTGGAGATGGCACAGGAGGCTCATGCGATGTGAGTTCTGGGCATCTCTATACCGATTGAGGACAAAAATCTGGCACATTGGTCTCATAGTAGGTGCTGCGTTGGGGTGCCCACCCAGTAAATGCACAAGTTTTCATGATGACATGGGCAATTTTGTCTAAAATTTCGACTGCCACTGCGAACTTTAATGCTCATTTAATGAAGTTGATACTCGATTATCCGGCGGCTTCGGGGGGAAGGGGATGCCGGATTTTTTAAAAAGCCGGATAATCACGTGATTTAAAAAACACAGCTTATTTTTGCAAATGCTTGCACACCATTATGTTTTTAGGTGTTATGTATGTGTTTTCGACCCCGGACCGCCGGATAATGCTGGAAGCCAGATAATTGCACGCCGGATAATTGATGATCAACTGTATATATTGATTTTACCATTAAACCACTCAACAAATTGCATTCAGTGCAGTACTGTGCGAGATGCCTTTTCTGGGGGTGCGAGACATGCTAGATTTTTTGAGAAGGTAAATAATTGAAACACTATCTTCTTTGGTTCTTTCGGTAAAGTAACGTAGAATGAGAATAAAATAATAAAATAAAACAATAAAATTCTCACGACGTTTCGGCCACAACACAAGTAGCCTTCTTCAGGTGAAGGAACAAAACTGTCAGGACGACAGAGCTTTAATGAACGCTGCTAAGATTCGTAGCGTTTTTTTAAGCTGGTTGAGAGAAGTGAGGCACCTTGACAAAGGGGTTTACATATCAAACAGGATAATTTCTCATTGAAATAGCTGGAGGATTAGCTTGTGACTGGTCACAGAAATAGCTATGTTAAAGTCAAAGCCTACACATCCACAGAGGCACCTAGTACAAATCAAACAGGATAATTTAGCATTGAAATAACTGAGTGATTAGCTTGTGACTGGTCAACGAAATAGCTATGTTAAAGTCAAAGCCTACACATCCACAGATGCACCTAGTGCATGGACGCCAAAAGGGGGCTGCAACAACTCAAATATCATACAGTAAACCGATGTGAAAAAACCTGAGTCTAAATTACATCAATATAATAAATGTACTCAATATATTCTTCAATAAGCAGAGCTATTAACAGCAACTGGGTATACACTACACTATATAATGAATACCATATAGTAAACAGATAAAAAACTAAAATATAAACTACCTCAATGTTATCAATAAACTCAAAGTGCCTCACTTCTGTCAACCAGCTTAAAAAGACGCTACGAATCTTAGCAGCGTTCATTAAAGCTCTGTCGTCCCGACAGTTTTGTTCCTTCACCTGAAGAAGGCTACTTGTGTTTTATTGTTTATTTTATTATTTTATTCTCATTCTACGTGACTTTACCGAAAGAACCAAAGAAGATGAATCCTTGCAGTCACGAAAGCTTTACATCGAAATTGAAACACTAATTAAGCATGGGCACGGAAGTGAAACGACTTTGTTTCATCAAATCCTACGTATGCATTAACATTATAATGTTTTTACGATTAAAATCCAAAGGCTGCAGTAAAGGTTATGCACCGCTGCTCTACGATATACAATACTTGTTGCTTGTAAATAGGACTCTTCAAACAGAGCAGCCCAGAGTGCTTTACAATGACCCCCCCCCCTCCAAAAACCTCCAAACTCTATGAAGAAAGTGTCAGTCCCCATGACGCCTTTGAAATGGAAAATTTGACCACCAAAGTGAAATCAAGTAATGCAGCGATGGATGATCACAATGAATATGGCAAGGATAATGAAATGATGTTTGTTTTCTTACTCTATCGCTAAGGGGCGCTGTACCCATGCCCATTGACAGCTCGACCGCTTGTGCAACACTCCACCAATCTCGCAATGTGCCTCCTGCTTCGGTGCGACGGGGAGGTTGATCAGCAATGTGTCTGCTACGTTCGTGTCGCGGTTGGTGGGCCAGCCAGTGGACAACTTCGCGGAGTGGCCTGGCGACATATCTGAAATTCTGCCGGCGAATGATCGAATAAGGCAGTGAAGTTCTACCGTGGTGGTGCACGTGTGAAGGGGGCGGTGAAGTTCTACTGTGGTGGTGCACGTGTGAAGGGGGCGGTGAAGTTCTACTGTGGTGGTGCACGTGTGAAGGAGGCGGTGAAGTTCTACTGTGGTGGTGCACGTGTGAAGGAGGCGGTGAAGTTCTACCGTGGTGGTGCACGTGTGAAGGGGGCGGTGAAGTGGTGCTGTGGTGGTGCATGTGTGAAGGGGGTGGTGAAGTTCTACCGTGGTGGTGCACGTGTGAAGGGGGTGGTGAAGTTCTACCGTGGTGGTGCACGTGTGAGGGGGCAGTGAGGTGGTGCTGTGGAGGTGCACGTGTGAAGGGGGTGGTAAGGTTCTACTGTGGTGGTGCACGTGTGAAGGGGGCGGTGAAGTTCTACTGTGGTGGTGCACGTGTGAAGGAGGCGGTGAAGTTCTACCGTGGTGGTGCACGTGTGAAGGGGGCGGTGAAGTTCTACCGTGGTGGTGCACGTGTGAAGGGGGCGGTGAAGTTCTACCGTGGTGGTGCACGTGTGAAGGGGGCGGTGAAGTTCTACTGTGGTGGTGCACGTGTGAAGGGGGCGGTGAAGTTCTACTGTGGTGGTGCACGTGTGAAGGGGGCGGTGAAGTTCTACTGTGGTGGTGCACGTGTGAAGGGGGCGGTGAAGTTCTACTGTGGTGGTGCACGTGTGAAGGGGGCGGTGAAGTTCTACCGTGGTGGTGCACGTGTGAAGGGGGCGGTGAAGTTCTACTGTGGTGGTGCACGTGTGAAGGGGGCGGTGAAGTTCTACTGTGGTGGTGCACGTGTGAAGGGGGCGGTGAAGTTCTACTGTGGTGGTGCACGTGTGAAGGGGGCGGTGAAGTTCTACCGTGGTGGTGCACGTGTGAAGGGGGCAGTGATGAAGTGAGGGGGCTCGGCTATGACTTGGAGGTGATGGAGTGCACTGGGCCGAGAGAGTGACTTACATCGCCCATCGGGAGAAGCGCTCTGCAGGCGAGCTCGGATCTGGCTCTCTGTCGGACAAGACATCATCATCAGCCGTGGGCAGTCCTGTCCAAGCCAACCTCTTAGTTTTCTTGACAGTTTGAATGATCTCATTAACATGCATATGGCCATGGTATCATTGGGACATAATGTTCCAAAGGCCATTCTTTAGCATGGAGTGGCACATTGCACTGCTTTCGAAATATACATTTGGTCATGCCTGATAGAACAATTCGATAAAAATTGAGAAAATTACAATAAGATGCTTTTGGTAAAGTGATACATCTGCATGCGACGTCGCGACACGTTAAGAGTGTGCAGTAAGTCATCCACTTACCTCGAGATTGGCTTCTACCTCGTGTAACATCTAAGTAAGGGGAGAAAGTGCGGTTGTCAAAGTTAATATAATCCTCAAACTCATTACAGTATTGTCTATACAGACTCAAGTGTACATGGGTGCAGACAGAGGGTGAGGGAAGGGGGAGGGCAGTTGACGTCGGGGATGCGTTCCTGAAAAGTTGCAACAAATATGGAAACGATGTAAATCAACGCAATATGGAAACGATGTAAACGCAATTTACAGGGTAGGAGGTGGAGGCGACGGATACGAGAAAGGACGAATGCTGTCAGCGACGTGTGGGTTGAGGCGATGCAAACAGGTAGTTGGCAGGTAGTGTTATTAATAATGTGACGACGTATTTGCGAAACGGCGTAAAAGGGGGAAGACGTAAATCGGGGCATTACTGTATGATATTTACACTGAGCAGGTAAATAACATTCTGGGTTTATCACCCTTTTTCTTTTTTCACGAGTGGAGACCCATTGCCCCCTACCGGCCCCATTGCCCCCTACCGGCCCCACCGGCCCCATTGCCCTACCCGGCCCCATTGCCCCCTACCGGCCCCACCGGCCCCATTGCCCCCTACCGGCCCCATTGCCCCCTACCGGCCCCACCAGCCCCATTGCCCTACCCGGCCCCATTGCCCCCTACCGGCCCCACCGGCCCCATTGCCCTACCCGGCCCTATTGCCCCCTAAAGACCCCACCGGCCCCATTGCCCTACCCGGCCCCATTGCCCCCTACCGGCCCCACCGGCCCTATTGCCCTACCCGGCCCCATTGCCCCCTACCGGCCCCACCAGCCCCATTGCCCTACCCGGCGCTCCCCCGAATCGCTGTCCACCGCTAACAATCTCACGCTGACATTCCGCGTCGTCTTTGCGTGTTCCCACAGTGGCTGGCCATCGAACAAAGACGGTGGTCACCGCATCGCGCACTTTCAGATGCACCTTTGCGACCGTCTGGAACGCTCTTCCATCCGAAATTAGGCAGCCACTGGAGCTATGCACTTTTAAATGCTTATCTAGATTGAAAACGAATTTCTTCAGAACTGCTTTTGGTGTTAAGTTTGTTGACTTTCCCCCGCACCTTCGATAAGCATGGTTGGCTATGTACGGCGCAAAAGAAGTTCAACGTACATATGCACGGTGTGCATTAATTGTTGCTCTACATCATTGACTTACTGATTTCCTTGCGGGTGACTTCGGGGGAGGAATTGTCACTCGAGCTTCCTGCAACGACAAAAATATCACACGATGGAACAGAAGGCATCACTCACGCCAGGTGGCAATGTGAAGTGTGACGAGGAGTTAAACAAACAGAGACCTATATATTCTTGGTTCTTTCGTGACTTTACCGAAAGAACCAAGAATATGAATCACTGCAGTCACGAAAGCTTTAAATCAAAATAGAGACCTGTATGTTGAGCTTTCATTGCCAGAATGGGGCTAAGTGAAATGTCCGACTGAACTTCTGTGGAAACAGATGTTCAGTCGGTTCCTCCGGTCTAAATAAAGATGATTTGATTCTGAAATATTCCAATGGCCTCAGAACTTTCTAGAATCCGGTAACTGGTAGCGGGCATTGTCTGCTATTGGCTTTAGTGTGACACTCCATGGGAGGCAAATTACTTGTTCCGCTGATCATGGTAATTATTTTACTTTCAGTGTTTAGCACAAGACTTGGGAAACATGTGTAACTTCAGGCTGGCTCATCCCAATGATCAATACCAATCCACCACCAGGCTTGAATTGTTGTCGGCTCAAAATAAGTCATTAATAATTCCTAGTTATTAGTGTAAACGTCACTGTATACCAACTTTCAACCTCAAGCCTTTGGAGAACAGCAAGATATTTGACACCAGTCGTTCAGTCACGATCGAGTATGTACATCAGATGATGTTTCCAGTACTGTACTCGGACTCCACTCATTGCCAGGAGCCAATCTACACAACGATCCAAGGGCGCAGCGCGCACGGTGCCGTCCGTACGCGCAGTTTCCCCTTCCACATCCACCTCTGAAGCCAGGGCACGGGTGGGAGGTGGGGTGTGGGGGTGACAGAGATTATCCGTGTGGCCTCGGTGGAATTGTAGCACGGCTCGTATTCAATGTTGCCGTGGGGCTCTCCTGTCCCCTCCTGCGCCCGCTCTCTCGCGAAGGCCACCACGTGAACTGTGATCAACATCAAGGCGGCGCACAGCAGTGCGGGCACAGAAAGCCGCGCCAGAGCTCCTGGCGTCTCGTCAAATTGTAAAAGATGGTCGCCCGCTTTGATCGCCAACGACGACGCCTGCAGCGACAGACGGCGGACGTCTCGTGTTGAAAGTTTGGGCCCTTCCGTGCTCGGTCGACAAACGGAGCCGGCAGGTTGTGTAAATTGCACATTGTCACGGTGGGGCCCAGTCGATCCGTCGATAAGTTGACGACTTTTAATTTCACGCAAATGCTGGCAACTCATTTGATCACTCCCCCCCCCCCCCATAGGCAGAGTATCTTATTGGGTGAAAACCACATACCAGCATCACCCCCCCCTCCCCCCGAATTGTGAAAAGTTCGTGATAGATAGATAGCCTTGTGCTGTAAGAATGGCGCATACAAGTGTACCAATTAGTTGATTTCATGATTTTAATGACACCTCCCCTCACCTCCCCCTCACCTCCCCCAGCCCCCACCTCCCCCACCCCCCACCTCCCCCTCACCTCCCCCACCCCTCACCTCCCCCACCCCCCACCTCCCCCTCACCTCCCCCACCCCCCACCTCCCCCACCCCCCACCTCCCCCCCACCTCCCCCACCCCCCACCTATGTCGTAGCTCAAGTTGACCGTGGGCTTGGCGCTGCGTCGCTCCAGGCTGGAGAGGGGGGAGCGGCCCCGGGTCCCGAACTGCGTGGAGCTCATCGTGGCCGAGCGAGCGGCGCCACCTTTTGGTGGGGGATGGGGGGGGGGCCATGGGAGGGCGAGAAGAAGAGGAGGGTCGAGAGGGGGTGGGGTAGCACGGGGGGAGGGGGTCAGGCGTCAGGTGAAAGGACCACAAAGGAGAGGAGGGCGTGCTGGTTGCACATCTCTTTTGTGGTCGTGACCACCCCCCACCCCTCACCCCCCCACAGCTCCAAGCAAAAACAGTAGCAGGAGCTCTGGAATGTTCTCGCTTCACAAAGTTTGAAAGAGAACAACAACAACAACAACACAAAGAATCGGTGCAAACCCCCCCCCCCCCCAAAAAAAAAAAACCTCAGCTGCGTGTTCGTAAGAATTGCCCTGAGGTCTCAGAGTTGGGGTTGGGGTGAGACACGGCCAAGGGTCACTACCCATCAATTATATACGTGGCGGAGCCACTGATGGTGAGGGAGGTGCCGCTTGAGGAGGAGGAGGAGGAGGGGGGGAGGAGGAGGAGGAGGAGGGGGAGGAGGAGTGGGGGCCCTCACCCGGGCTGGGCGGCGTGGCAGGGGTCACGCCCGTGGACTTGCGGGCGGAGTGAACGGTGGTGGTCACGGTCGTGCCGGACTCTGTGGATGAGTCGAACGCGAACCCCGAAATCACTCGCGAGGCGTGCACGCACCGCACCGAGGCGGCGGAAAATAAAGGCGCAGGTCGTCATCGATTGGCACGATCGCCACGCGTGATCAATGCACGTCTGGGCGAAGAACCCCCCCTCCCCCCACCAAACTACCCGCCAAAAAAACAATCAATTAATACATTTGGTTACATTCCCACACATCAATATACAGCACTGCTTTAGTATGAAAATACCGGTCGTATATTTTAAGTCTCCAAGTGAAAAGGCCTTCCACACCAATTTGTTTAATCGAGTAAATGGTGTTTTGGTTTCAATTTCCCGAGTGTCAGGTGCGGTCCCGTTAACAATTGCCGCTCGTATTCTTAGCTCTTTCGGTAAAGTCACGTTGAAGGGAAACAATAAAATATATATAAAACAATAAACATTCTCACGACGTTTCGACCATAACGCAAACGGTCATCATCAGGTGTGAAAACCCGCTGTTTTTTTCGAAACGTCGTGAGAATTTTCATTGTTATATATATATTTTATTATTTTATTGTTTCCCTTCAACGTGACTTTACCGAAAGAGCTAAGAATATGAATTACTGCAGTCACGAAAGCTTTAAATCAAAATTGCCGCTCGGTTCGCTGGCGTTATTGGCAAAGCCTCATTCACAGGCATTGTGGGCTTATGAGTAACCGCCATTGCACATACACACACACACACCCGTTTAAAAACTAATACAAGATTGACAGTGTATGTTGTTTTTTTACATATTACAAAACGCGCACAGCGAGAGTTCGCGAAGAGCGTCAGTTTTAAATGCGCGCCGCGTCCCCAGCGGTTTCATTCATTCCTAACGCCAATAGCCGGAGAGCAAAATGCGTCCCCTGCGAAGCTGCGTTCCTGCCGACTTTGAGCCAAGTCAAGCATCGATTTTCGCCATCCAAGAACTCGCGGGGGAAGCGCGTCTCGCTGTGTTAAATCCTGCCACGCAGGTGATGGGATGTGATGAGTTTGCGGCGGGGGGGGAGAGGAGGAGGGGTGCGAGTGAGGTGGCAGGCGATGAGAGGTAAGAGGATGTGGGTCGGAGAGCGACACCTTGAAAATTATTGACGTCTAATTACACATGCCCCCCCCCCCCTCTCCAACCCCCATGCTGTTTACTACTTTTTTTCTCATGCCCCCCCCCAAAATCCCTCCCACTTCACACTACCCCCGCCCCCCACCGCTCCTCTCGCTCGCGCACTCAATACACACACAAAGTGCTTGCCACAAATGAGCCACAACACCTTGCTGATCTCGTTAAGGAGCATACGTAAACCCTCACGTGAACTCGCAGCGGCTTTTGGCTACCCATCGAACAAAGACGGCCACTGCATCGCGCGCTTTCAGGTGCGCTTCTGCGGCCGTCTGGAACGCTCTTCCTTCAAATATTAGGAAGCTAGTGGAGATATGCATGTTTAAATCTAGGTTGAAAACTTTTTTTTTTTAGAACTGCTTACTGTGTTTACTTTGTTGTTTTTTTTTTCCCTCGCACCTCCGATTAGCACATTTGGTTATGTACAGTGCGAAAGAAATTCAACATACATACACTCATTGGTTTAGCCTTGTACGACCGTAGCGATTCTCGCAGAGAAAACTATTTACAGCGCAGGGAAACAGATAAATTCATCGCACTTACTGGGCGGCAAGGCGGGCATCCCACTGGGTGACACTGTGAAAGTGAAACGTTGCACGAATTATCATCGCAGCAGTCAGCAGCTCCCGAGTAAGAAATGCGTGCGCGTGTGTGCATACGTGTGGGTGGGTGGCGTACGCGCTTTAAACGATGGTAACGGTGGGATGAGTTATACGTTGTGCCCTGCAGGTAAAATATTATACCGCTGGTTTGCACGAGCAGATTTTCTTTTTCTTTTTGAGCGAAAGCATTTTTTATAACTATTTGTGACACGTTACGTGACGATGGAGCGCACTTTTCAGTCAAATCTGACAACCCATCAGCGTTTGTTTAACAAGCCTGCACGCTGTTGATGAGGCCAAGAATGTCTAAATATGGTCCACAGCGGTGCCTTCTAAAATAAAATAAAAATACTTTTGGGTGATGTTGGTCCGGAGAGCCCACAACCTCCTCACTAAACATTACTTACATAAATGGTAATAATGGCAAGAACGCCTTAAAATGCTTTATCAATACAAATTGCAACTTTTAATGTAAAATTATATTGCGAATGCAGATAAAAATTGAGCACACGTTGATTTTGCAATGTCACTATTACAACGCTCATGCAATGCCGAGTTATTTTAATATCAAGGGTGTCAGGGTGAGCTGTGACGTGCGATGTGGCTGATGTTGAGAAGTGGTGAGGAACGAGAGCCCACCACCCCCGTGTACCTGTCTTCTCCACGGCGCGGCTGGTGACCTGAGTCCCCGACTGACCACGACTCGGACCGGACACCAGAGATGACTGATGAGTCACCTCGCCACCTCCTCCTCGGCTGCCGGTGCTGAAGGTCGCGCCCACAACGGGGCCGTGCTCGATTCGTTTGGTCGTGGTCTGGATGACACTGTGGCCCACGGCCCCACCACCACCACCACCGCCACCGCTTCCACCACCTCCGCCGCTCGTCGTGGTAGAATGAACGACCTTGGTGCCTCCACCCCCAATGAGCTGCGCGTCGGACGTTGAGCGAGCGTAGGAGAAAGAGCCGGACTCACCGCCTCTCACCTCGCCGACGAACGTGCGACCCGAAGACCCCGAAGACAGATCCAGCCGGTCCCTCGCCAGCACCTCGCCACCTGCCGCTGCTCCCGACGAGACGAAACCTCCCCCACGCGCCGCCGAAGAGGACCAGGCGGTCTCCACCTGTCCGCCCGCCGTCGTGAAGCTCTGGGCTTCCCCGTCGGCGCCGCCGTAGCGGACTTCTTCGTAGATCGCGCGTTCGGCGAGGCCACCCCCGTCCCCCGCACCAACCGAGCCAAAGCTCAGCAGCACCCCGCCGCCGCCGCCGCCGCCGCTGCTCCACGCAGAAGACGACTGAGAGAGCCCGGCAGAGCCGGACGCAGCCAGGTCGCCCTCCTCCAGGATGAGAAGGTCGGTGTGCTGCGAGCCCCCTGCCCCCCCAGCCGTCACCTGAGCCCCTGGAGGAGGAGGAGGAGGAGGAGGGGGACGCGGCGACGATGATGGAGGAATGAATTTGACTCTGAGCGACACGCTGCAAAAACCGCGGCCGTCAAACGTGCCACTCTCCACCTTCGCAAATTCCTCTATTAACGGTGTGTGGCTTTTTTTTGGCAGAGGTTATTTGATTTTTTTCTTGCGTGTCCTCAGAGTTATTTGCGCAGGACACTCGACCCGCCCGAGGCAGCAGGTGTATCTTACGGGGGAGGGGGAACAAAAAAAAACCCAGCGTGTTGATCTGCTGCTGCTGCTGCTGCTGCTACTGCATGTCTGTGGTTTCTGTGGGCTAGCCAAAGAATTCGCCAACAAATATTGATCGGGGTATTTCTTGACCGTATTTTACGTTTCGCATTTAAACAAATTTAAACAGATTCACTTTAAGAATTTTTTTTTTTAAAAATGATGCGTGCTATCACGTTATACATTTGCAGGTAAAATATTGGCTTAAAGCTTTCGTGACTGCAGCAATTCATATTCTTTGGGTCTTTCGGTAAAGTCACGTAGATAGGTTAAATAATAATAAAAACTACGACGTTTCGATCGCAACACAAGCGGTCAAAACGTCGTAGTTTTTTGTTATTTTCTTTGAACCTATCTAAGTTACTTTTCCGAAAGACCCAAAGAATATACATTTGCAGGGTTCATAAATACCTGATCCAGACACGCTCAGGCCTTCAAATGAAATCTTCTTGTTGGATTTTTGGCTGATCATGCGTGCCGATGGATCCGCTAGAGAAGACACAATACAATAATCTGAAGTCAAAATATATTAATTAAAATCCGAACTTAAACTAAATTTCAATTCGAAAGATCCTTATTGTAAATTCATATCAGCGTGAGTGTTCCAAATCACCATCCAATAACCAGCACATTTATCGACTGAAAATCAGTACAGCAAATAGGATTAATGAACACCCACGCGTGTCGTTGTGATGAAGCCTGCACTCGTTGAAGTGTCCTTGCTCTTTACGCTTAACGGGAGGAAATTAACGGTCATTATTTTACATTTTTGCCCAGTGTATTAATGTCCAGGACTTATCTAAAGCACAACGCAGCTGAGACTTTAGATGTAGAGGGATGCTTAATATTAACGGTATACATCGCAGCACTAATTGACATTCCCGCTCCCAGCTTAACATGTAGGATTTCGCCACCAATATTATCCATACGAGGTTGTTTTGGGTTAGATCGCATAAATATAAATGTATCGCTAAACCCGCCACCACCAGACACTGCCAATTAGTAAGCTTTGTCACGTAAACAAAACATGCTCATTCGTTACTAGTTCAGCACACCGGTGTGTTGGAGAGTCAACCCACAATTGTAAATGTTGTTGGGTTCACTCTCCAACATTCTCACTCCCAGCTGTGGATTCCTCCAATCGCACCCCTTTGATGCATTTATGATTCAAGGAAACATCTGGCTGTTGTGCTCCTATGCACAGCATAATACAAATTTGTAGATAGATGCGTGATTGATGGACTGCATTCATCTAGTACATCGAGAAAACAATTTTTCGTCTCGTTTTACACGGTTATTAAAAAAAAGTTGTATCGCTGCTATCGATAATCACTTTACCCCAACGTAAAAGCTAACTATATTGTCAGATGACATGTCACATCGTACAATTCATATTCAGATACTTGCATTGAGATGGAGCGATGAAATTAGCTCGCGTGCGAGTGCCAGGCGGATCGCTGCTTTCAGAGGCTGTCGGCGTCAGGGGGAGGCCTTCATCCAGCAGTGGATTGCTCATGGCTAATGATGATCATGGTGACTCGCATCGACCGCAAGCTTTATTTGCTTGTACACCGTAGCTCAGTGTCAGACCGGGAGCACAGAGGAGCCGGCTGTGGGTTTTATATCAGAATCTTCATTTATACCGGAGAAATCCAATGAGCCATGAGTCTCTTTTTCACAGATGTCCAGTAAGATGCCATGATATATTGCGCCAGGATGACTGAAGTGAGCTACAGCGGCGTCGAGACTGAGCAGGAACGTGGCCCTGAGCACTCTGAGTCATGGACACGGTTGTTCTTCACACGCGTCACCGCCAAAGATAAAAAAAAAATCCAAGCGGGATGCATCGCGTCTCCCGTGGGGTTTTTCCCACATTACCTCTTGTCACACCACCTGTGGCCTTCATGAAGTGGTGGTGATCGAGATGGATGGGAGGCTCAGAGGTCAGATTACTGAGCCAGCACGATTGTTGAGGCTGGAGTTGAATCCTGGGTTTCAACTTGCCCATGACTAAACCCGAGTATCAGCCTGGTCACCAATGACCATACAAAAACACTGCACACATGAAATTGCTTCTGCGCTTTCATGTGGATACATTTCAATTCCGAAATTTTATGTGACCGTATCAAGACAAGAGTCGATGGGAAGGCCACTTTAAAGGATTTTTTAGAAGTCCTGTAAAAAAATCTCTTTGGCAGCCTTTCTCCCACTGGTAGGATCGCACTTCTCATTGAGATTTCAGAATAGATGCTTAGTGTCATCATTACATGATGCCAGTAATACAGTGCCATCGTGACATGTTGCCAGTAACACAGTGCCATCATCACATGATGCCAGTAACACAGTGCCATCATCACATTTATGCCAGTAACGCAGTGCCGACATGACATGATGCCGGTAACACAGTTGGAACCAATTGAGAAAAGACGTAAACAACAGAAATAAAAATCCTTTTACGGTGGCAATTACAGACTCTTGAAAATGCATAACAAATCATATGGCTAGACCTCTCATTTAACTATTGTCCTCATCACCGATCTAACTTGTTGAATTACATCTTAAAAGCGTGTAGCGCAGGGCACAGCTCACCTTCTGAAGTCTGAATTATGGTTGTCCTCCCAGTTTGCCCTGATGCTGCAGACCCTGTATGAAATCAAAGCACAATCGCAGGAGGACCGTGCAATTACACGCAGATATGTTTTGGTATTTTCATAATTACTTAACCAATTAAGCGACGAGGCTTGCTGACAATCGCTGGTAGACCAACCTGAATTGGAACTCTGATAATGTTTTGTTTGTTAAACGGAAAGTCGGACATCACGTCGAACATCACGCGGGGAAAAACCCCGCAAGTCCATCCGAGAGCCGTCCAGCGCAAACAGTGAAAACCCAGCAGAGCAGTGTTAATAGGAACTTGAAAGCCGGGCGGTGGTGCGCGCCTGCGCCCGCCGTGAATCACGCGTACCTGACTGAACAAAGAGCCGGAGATCCTGCAGCGCTTTATCCAGGTCGGCCATGGTTCACGGAGAGCGGCAGAGACTCGGGGAGACCATGCTGCGGATACAGAGTACAATTTGGCCAACAAGCACAACAAGCACAACAAGCGCAATAAGCGCGTGGCGGCGGCCTCGCTCGTCAGATTGCACGTGGCATTCTAAGAAAGCTGCGGTTATTGAGAGAACGACGGAGCTGCGCGAGGTGCCGCAATGAGTGCGCATTCTCACCTGTCCCCGCGCCGGTTCACTCGCACGTCTCCCGAGTCTAAAGCCGCATCCGCCACCTCGATATGCACACTTGCAAACAAAAAAATCTACGAATTTCAATAATTGGGTCGAAAAAACAAACAAAAAAACGATGGCTTTTAACGCTCGCGACTGTCACTCATCCAGGAACGAGAGTGAAATGTGGCTCCTTTGCAAAAAATGGGGGGGGGGGGGGCGTTGCAATGTCTCAGACAAAAAAAAACAACACATCGTCAGATATTGACGAATGGCCCTGAAGCTGGTATTTGCAGCACTGTTCTTGCTTGCCCGTTGGCCTCCATGTGCAATACCTTGCATATCCCACCGACAGTTATGCAGTTAGACACAGTTGTCGCGTTTATCCGAACCAAACGTGAAACTGGTCCTGGCCTGCTCGAGATGTGCACAAGCAGAGTTTTACGATCTACTTTTCTGCCATTCTGTCACGTAACCGTTAACTTAATTTAATGCCTCTACTAACACCGGTCCTATCATTATGAGGAGCATCCTGGGAGGAGTTGCTAAACAGATCACATTCAGCAGAGTGAAGAGTCCTCCATAAAATATTGTCTTCTGGTCTATTTCAACAAATTGTGTTATGAATTCATATCTAATATCGTTGCCGCAAGCCAGGGAGAGGGGAAACCATGCCTGAGAGAGAGAGAGATCGTCCACCGCGGAGATGGAGCGATGAGATGAAATCGTTGTTGTCGTGCGGGAGCCGAATCCATCGTTGCACTGCGGGACGGTGCAGGAATGTAACGACTTTGGGAGGCCTCTATCTAGCAGTGGAGTGATCATGGCGGATGACAATGATAATCAGCATAAGCCAGTAAAAAAATACCCCGATGATTGTACCCTGACAACGGTAACTTAATATGAACTGGGAAATTGCCCTGCAGACCCTCGCTCAATCTGGTTTCAGTTGGCCCTCCTGTTACTGATATTGGTGATGTTTGTTGAGGGTCTTCACCGGGTCCTTTGGATCATATACCAAGAGTGTCGTGTCGTCAAATGAAGGCACCATGAGAAACGTTTTTTCAGGGAAGTGCAATTCTCTATGTTGGAAAACGACACGCGAGCATTGATATCACGGAATATTTCCTGAGATCCCTTCAAGTGACCCCTGGTACTCAGGGCAGCACTTTCTCCCACACCCTGGTGCAGAGCAATGTCCGTGGGATGATAGTCAAGGTAATATTTTTTAATTCTCAAAGCTGGAAATTTTAATTATCCAGATAAGTTTACGGAACCAAATTTTATGATGGCTTTTTACTGATTGATTTGTGATCAGGCTCAGACCATCAACTCACTACACTTGAGAATCAAGGTTATACACAGGCAGCTGCTGCCCGGATTCGAACCCAGGATCTCAACAGTGCCAGCTCAGCACTCTGACCCATGATCTCTGAGCCACCTGGCCACCCAAATACATTTGTAATGAGAGGACAGATATTTAAGTTGGTTGGAATAACCGATTTCAATGCTTTTCAATTCAAGCATTCAACAATGTTAAAAAAATACTATTAAACTAATATTTGGTAATATATAGCTGTTCATATATTTTTATATACAAATATCCTGTGATAAAGGTACAACATTGTACGATGATAATAATGCCATTAATTATCTAGGATATTCTCTAATTCAGGAGAGTCCTGCATTGGGATGTTTGGTCAATTCATTTTAATCTAATGGTTTGTACGTGAGAGAAAATCGGAGTGGCTGGAGTAAAGAAAATATTCACTCATCCACACAGATGGGTTCACGATCCCACTTGCTGCTGCCATCTCCTAGCCATCTCACAGCCCAGGGAAGTTGGAAGAACTTCTGACCTTCTAACCATTTAAACGTCGGCTCCTCCAACTACTGTACAATATTAACGCCCTCTCATTACTCTACATATTGTAAGGCGCATGAAACCTTGGCCCTTTGCATACTGTCTCAGTTGTCAGGCAGCAACTCATAACAGTGACGGTGGAATGCGTTGAGATTGGTGCGCTTTAGCCACCGTGGGCTTGGGAGGTGTGAACTCGCGGAGGGCCGCTGTGCTGCGCCGTGCTACCGCGCCCGCTGTGCATCGACGCCTCGTCACGCGACAATCACGCTTTCGCGACTCTGCATTCAATTATTTCATGAACAAAAAGTCAAAACACCCGCTGCCGCATTGAGGTGGAGAGATTGACCGCCTCCAATGAGATCGAGCGGCCCGCACCTCGCGTGACACGTTCATGGAGCGACGTTTTTTTTTAATGTTCGCGAGAGAAGCGCGCTTTTTGTGTGTGCGGCGTGCACGCTCACCCCGGATTCGTGTTTATGCAACGCGCCAAGAATCCTCAACTCCCTCTCGTTGGCTTGTCCGTAATTTAATTCAACCCCAAGATGAATCTCACCGTAGTGGCGAAATGTTATCTTCTTTGCCTGTATTGCAGGAGGTCATGGGTTCGATCCCGACCCTTACGCCTGCTGCTGTATATTTGGAGTTTGCGTGTCTCTCTGTCATCATCATCACGGTGGCTAGGAGATGTTAACTACCTCGCCTGGTGTGCAGGAGGTCGTGGGTTCGATCCCGACCCTGACGCCTGCTGTATATTTGGAGTTTGTGTGTGTGTGTCTCTCTCTCTCATCATCATCACGGTGGCTAGGAGATGTTAACTACCTCGCCTGGTCTGCAGGAGGTCGTGGGTTCGATCCCGACCCTGACGCCTGCTGCTGTATATTTGGAGTTTGTGGTGTCTCTCTGTCGTCATCATCACGGTGGCTAGGATATGTTAACTACCTCGCCTCACACGAGGGCTGAACGATTTGGGGGATATATGTAATTGCGATTATTTCTGACATTGTGATTCGATTTGCGATAAAATGTTTTAAGTCATGCTTGAGTTCAATATTCACTGTGTAATAGATGTAAAACACGTGATGGAGCATTACCACGTGATACTATCAACATATGAACTGCTCTATATATTCCAATGCAAAGATGAGAACTTAAAATATATTAATTGCTTCCAACATGTATTTATTAAAAAAAATGGAATTGAAATAGAACAATCAAACATAGAACAATTGTTAAGTTAAATAAAGTTATAATAATAAAAAATAAACAATTCCAATAAGAAGGTAATAGGACTTTTCAAATCGCAAAAAAATCGCAGCCTTTGCGATTTGCTAATTGCATTGTTTCAAATTGTGATTTCGATTTGAAATCGATTAATCGTTCGGCCCTGGTCCACACACAGACTTGCGTTGTTGACAGCAGACCACAGTTTCAAAACGATTCAATAAAAATAGGGGAACGCTAATAAGAGTTTGAAGTGGTTTTGAAAAAGTGCACTTGATAATGGAATGCAATATTCCCATATGTACAAAGGAGGATGTTCACAATCAGTGTGCATCAACCTGCAGAGGATACTGACAAAGGAAATTAAACAAAAGCTGAAAAAGTTCTAGATTTGAAGCTTTCGTGACTGCAAGGATCCATTCTCTTTGGTTCTATTCGGTAAAGTCACGTAGGTAAAAAATTAAAACAACAAAAATCACGACGTTTCGGCCACAACACAAGCGGCCTTCATCAGGTGAAGGGACCAGACTGTCTAGAGGACAGCGCTGGAGTGAACACAGCCAAGCTGCTGGTCGCCTCCCTTTAAGCTGTGAGGGGGCAAACAGCAAACGCCCTGACAAAGGAAATTAGCATGAAACGCACCACTGACAAAGTTTTGAGGAAGGTTAGCGTCTCGATGAGCTGTGACTTCCTGTCTCGTCTGTTAAAAGCTCTAACAGATAGGTGAAAACCCTCCCCGTAGAGGCTATCAATTCTAGATTTGAAGCTTTTGTGACTGCAAGGATCCATACTCTTTGGTTCTATTCGGTAAAGAATTGATAGCCTCTACGGGGAGGGTTTTCACCTATCTGTTAGAGCTTTTAACAGACAACGAGACAAGAAGTCACAGCTCATCGAGACGCTAACCTTCCTCAAAAGATGCCGCGACCACAAGGGCGTTTGCTGTTTGCCCCCTCACAGCTTAAAGGGAGGCGACCAGCGCTTGGCTTTCTTCACTCCAACGCTGTCCGCTGGACAGGTTGGTCCCTTAACCTGATGAAGGCCGCTTGTGTTGTGGCCGAAACGTCGTGATTTTTGTTGTTTTAATTTTTTACCTACGTGACTTTACCGAATAGAACCAAAGAGAGCTGAAAAAGTGCTTCAAAGCACGGTCGGTTACGTACTGAGAATAATTACACCGACCGACGGTAAGAACAACACATGGATCAGGCAATAAATACAAAGTCGAGATATAGTGACTGTTTAAAAAGGTTGTGGGCTTTTAGGCAGGACATATCACTAGAAGAGATGACGGACAAGACTAGTGTCAGAATGGCAGCCAAAGGAGGTGACGTATGTCAGCAGTGGCACACCAGGGATGAGTCAGTTCGTGTGCAGGAGTGAGATAGATTGTGAACATTGCAGGACTTAAGAGGGATGGTGACGGTGTTGGGATGCCTTCATCTGGCAGTGAATAGACCGTGGCTAACGATGATGATAATGATGACGCACGTGTGTACGTTGAACTTCTTTCGCACCGTACGCAGACAACCACGCTAATCGGAGGCGCGGGATGATGATGCTGATGATGATGATGAAGGAGACGAGCAGGCGAGCGGCTCCTTGCTGATCGAGCACATTTGTGAAATGGCTTTCACGCACCGATGGCACACGGAGAAAACGCGTGCGGTTTGCGTTCGTGAAAGAGTGGTTGGGGGGGGGTGGGTGGGGGAAGGGTGCCAGCTTATCAGCAACACCCACAACCCCGCGAGGCAGGGCAGCGTGAAGAGTCGCGTCCAAACGCATCGGCGACCGCACGTCTCGCGCCGAGTGAGTCAACCGCGTTACAGCGCATAGCTGGGAGAGTAGACATTCCATCTATACACACACGCGTATGATATATATATTACAAAATTAGCAGATGTTTAAGCAGCTCGTCAAAATAAATTGTTACGCTCACAAATTGGCAATCGATATGCCAGTTTTACATTTTACGCTCAATTGGGATTATACACTGCAGTCGTTCCCTCCGCTCCACATATCTGATTAGCACGGTTGGGTACATACGGTGCGAAAGAAGTTCAACATACATAAATCACAATCTAGTGGGAAACTGTTTGCAGGCCAGG